GGGAGGGGAGGCAGGGGGTGGGATACGTGAGAAGCGATGGGATCAGGGGTGGGGGAGAACAGGTCCTGAGGCCAGACCTATGACCCTGGGTTGTTGTTTTGCTCCGTTTGCAAACCCTTTCTTAGAGTTCCAGTTTTTCAGTTTCATTTATTTGGTGTAGCCCTGTGAGCCATTCGGCTCTTGAATCGGGTGCAACCGCAGTAAACAAAAAACATGAAAAAAAAACATGAACAAGAAAACATCTTGGAGTGACTATGTGCAAACAGAAAATCCAGGAAAAGACGCCAAAATATTCTATAAAAAGCACCGTACACCAACGCTGATGCAAGTCAAACAACAACAACCACAAGACAACTTAGATTAAGGCCATCAGTCTAACTCCGTACTACAACAAACAAACATGGCCAAACCAAAGAACGTTTTCGAAATCACCAAAATGAGAGAGCATGGCGCATGAAACTGAACTAAAACTATTCAACTATTCTTATTTCACCAGGCAAGGCCCACTGAGCTGTAGAGCTATTTCTCAGAAGCGTCCTAGCTATCACAAATGAGACCTCAACGAAGGGGGCCTTATCATCGCGTGGACACTTATAGCAATAGCCCAATACCCTAAACGCAACGTTGACGTTTAAATGTGGAGGGGAAAATCGGAGAACCAGGAGAAATATCCACGCGACCGCAGGAAAAACGTGCAAACTCCCAAATATACACGATTCAGTCGGATCGAACCCACGGCGATGGAGTTAGCATCATGCCACCGTGACATCCTTAGCTTGCCTCTTACGAGTTTGATCATGGCTGCTACACTATCATCATCATCCTCCTCCTCTTCTGATCGTTCACTGCCTTCTCCTGCTGTTGTCATTGTTTTCATCATCATCAGACATCTGCCATGATCAATCCTGCGATGCAACAATCGGACCCAGTGATTGGTGCACAAGCTGGTCCTGCACCTACCCAGCCAAAGCCACGCAGAGATCCACAGACTTACAGAGCGCCTCGAACGCACACAAAGAGACCCACACACTCACAAAGAGACCCACACACTCACAAAGACACACACAGAGACCCACACACTCACAAAGACACCCACACCCTCACAAAGACACCCACACAAAGACACCCACACCCTCACACAGAGACCCACACACTCACAAAGACACCCAAACGCGCACAAAGAGACCCACACACTCACAAAGAGACCCACACACTCACAAAGAGACCCACACCCTCACAAAGACACGCACACAAAGAGACCCACACACTCACAAAGACACACAAAGAGACCCACATACTCACAAAGAGACCCACACACTCACAAAGAGACCCACACCCTCACAAAGAGACCCACACACTCACAAAGACACGCACACTCACAAAGAGACCCACACACTCAAAGAGACCCACACACTCACAAAGAGACTCACAGAATCACACAGAGACCCACACACTCACAAAGAGACTCACACACTCACAAAGAGACTCACACACTCACAAAGACACCCACACCCTCACAAAGACACGCACACACTCACACAGAGACCCACACACTCACAAAGAGACCCACAGACTAACACAGAGACCCACAAACTCACACAGAGACCCACACACTCACAAAGAGACCCACACCCTCACAAAGACACGCACACAAAGAGACCCACACGCACACAAAGAGACCCACACACTCACAAAGAGACTCACACACTCACAAAGAGACCCACACCCTCACAAAGACACGCACACAAAGAGACCCACACGCACACAAAGAGACCCACACCCTCACAAAGACACGCACACAAAGAGACCCACACACTCACAAAGAGACCAACAGACTCACACAGAGACCCACAGAATCACACAGAGACCCACAAACTCGCACAGAGACCCGCAGACAAAGATCCCCCATATAGCCTCAACAGACTGTTGGGGCAAGTGCTGTTAGCGAGCACCTATGAAGGCCGGCACGGCACATGAGGGGGTGGGTGGCCAGCACCACACCCGGCCGCCTTTGTCTCTCTAGTGGCGATGTTTACACACCGCGCCAGGTACTCATTTGAGGCTGAGTCCACATAAGATGCGGTGGAAGGACAACAAATTAAACACCCAAAAATCTAATTTTGATTTAAAGCTTTCGTGACTGCAGGGATTCAAATTCTTGGTTCTTTCGGTAAAGTCACGTAGAAGGGAAACAATAAAATAATAAAAATATTAAAAAAGCAGTTGGAGAGAATTGAGTTTTCACCTGATGACGGACGCTTGTGTTGCGCCCGAAACGTCGTGATTTATTTGATTTTCGTGATTTATTTGATTTTCAAATCAAGAATGAATTATTTACATGATGCCGCTGCTGCTGCTGCTGGTTCAATGAAGGACACTGAACGTGGTGGCCTGTATACGTGCCAGTTCGTATTTAAAACCTCCCGATGGAAGGTGACGGTGGTAAACGCCATTATCTCGGCGAGATAAGATAACTTGGGTAGCAAAAACCCCTTCAGAGTCTTAGATCCACAACAACAACTACGTACACGCAATCTGGTACCAGATAAAGCTGCCCCGAGTGAAGGCGCTTGTGTTGGGGCCACCGAGAACACGCGAACATCACGGCGGCATTGTTTGTGTTGTTTGTGTTGTTGTTTGTGTTGTTTGTTGTTGTTTGTGTTGTTTGTGTTGTTTGTGTTGTTTGTGTTGTTGTGGTATTTGTTTGTTTGTGTTGTTCGTTTTTCCATAACTTTACACTTTTTAGGATTTTTTTTTTCTATTTAATTGCCAATTGCTTAATGGTGGCAGGCAATCATCTGACCCATAGGTGGCAGCCATCTCAAGCCAGAGGACGAGAGGACTCTAGCCGCCACGCATATTAATAAAGGATTTAAAAACAAAGTTTTTAAATTCTTTATTAAATCTTCGTTACGCGCGGTGTCCGTGCCGTGATATTTGGCGGAGATTGTTGTTCTCGCTATAATTCCGTGTGTTCTACGAGCCCCCCCCCCCCATTTAGCTTGTTGTTTGCGTCCTCCGTGTTTGTTTGGCATTGCATTGTTTCCATATTCTTAGGTTTTTTTCGGTAAAGTCACGTAGGTAAAAAATTTAAATTAACAAAAGTAAAATTTTAAAAAGCTTGTGTTGCCTCCGAAACGTCGTGATTTTTTATTTAATTTTTATTTTACTTTTATTAATTTTAATTTTTTACCTACGTGACTTTACCGAAAAAAACCTAAGAATATGAATCCTTGCAGTCACGAAAGCTTCAAATCTTGAATTGCATTGTTTTGTTTTTAACCCGGGAAGGAGCGGTGGCGCAGCGGTTAGCGCTACGAACCCCACGTCCTGAGTTCGATTCCCGACCACGGCCACCAACATCGTAAAACCGGTCCCGGGCATCCCCTAGGTCGACTCAGCCCCAAAATGAGCACCTTATGCGGTTCGTGTAAACACCGCCCTGTGGGGAGACAAAGGCGGCCGGGCGTGGTTTGCTGTCCCACCCACCCCCCCCTCGTGTGCCGTGCCGGCCTTCATAGGCGCCCCAACAGTCTGTGAAGGCTAACACGATGGTGGTGGGGGGTGGGTGGGTTATTTGTCCGTGTTCCCGTGAGGTTCCGAGTTGTTTGTGTTGTTTTTGGCCGCATTGTTGTCGCCCTGCGTGCTGTGTCTCTCCCCCCTCTCCCTCCCTCTCCCTCCTACCTCTCTTTTTTATATTTTTTATTTTTGTTTTTTTACGATAAGTGCAAACAAGAAGATGCTCGGTGTATTCGGCACTTTGCTTCGTTCATCATTTCGTATTTTTTGTTTTTTAAACTTGGCTTTATGTAAAACCCCCATCTCTCGCTCGCTCTCGAGCTCGCTCTCTCGCTCACTCTCTCGCTCGCTCTCTCTCGCTCTCTCGGGGACATCAGTTCATCATTAACTCGGACACGCCGCCGTGTTCTTCGGCGCTCATCCGCGGGTCGGCGTTAACTTGCACAAACATCAGCACGGCCGTCCGGGGTGGGTGGGCAGGGACAGCGAATTATTCCACTCCCGCTGTCGCCTACTCCTCTCCCCCCGTGTCTCTCCATTGATAATCTTCACTGACCCCCCCTCCCCTCCTCCTCCTCTGTATCTCTCTTCTCTCCTTTTATCTCTTTTTTAATTTTTAAAAATATTTTTTCCCATTCACTCCCTCCTTGCGGCTCCCCGTTGACTCTCCCCCCTTCACTCCCTCCCCCGTGACTCTCCACCCCTCCCTTCCTCGTCTTTACATCCCTGGCGTCTTTGTCTCACCGTCCCATCCCTCTGCTCTCGCCTCTCCCCGTGTCTAACTTAAAGCCGATTCTCTCTCCTCTGCCCCCATCGCTCCCTCCCCTCTCCACCTCCATTTCATCAAATCTCCATTCACCCCCCACCCACCCACCCTCACCTGTCTCTCCATCCCCCCTGTCCCCACGTCTCATGTCACTCCATCCTCTCCCCAGCCTGCATCTTCCCCGCTCCCTGTGTCTCACTTCATTCCCTCCGCTCATGCCTCCCCGTTTGACCTCTCTCTATCCAATCTTGATTTGAAGCTTTCGTGACTGCAGGAATCCATACGCGTTGGTTCTTTCGGTAAAGTCACGTGGGTAAGAAAAGAAAATAAATCACGACGTTTCGGGCGCAACACAAGCGTCCGTCATCAGGTGGGAAAGCGTGGTCATGCTCTCTCTCTCTATCCCTTCACCACCTCTCCCCTCCGTCCGTGTCTCCCCGTGAACTCCCTCCTCTTGCTGCCTTCACTCCCCATCCTTACTCTGCCCGTCTCCCCGTATCGACCGCACTTCGACTTGTCTCCCCATGCCAGCGACCTTCTGCCCCTCCCCGCTCTCACCTCATCCTCCCTCCCTCCCTCCACCACCCCCCTCTGCTCACCCCACAGCCCCCACTCCCCATCTCCCCACCACCACCACTTAGCGCTCCCCTCCCTCTCCCCTTTCGCCCTCTCGTCGTCGTCAACACGGCTCCTATATAAAGGGTCTCTGTGCTCCCAGTCGGGCAGAGGTCTGCGTGCACAGAGCCACAGCTGGAATCAACCCACAGGACGAGTCGACGGCCGTCAAAGTCTTAGCGCTTCAGAGTTCCATCACTGCGCGTAGCGAGGGCTTTCTGCAGTGGTTCCTGAATTAGGCGCCTCGTCGGAAACGTCGGGTTATTTTAGTTTTTTGTGTCATTATTGTAATTGGTGTATTGTGGTAGAGCAATACTTAGCGGCGGCAGCATCAACAACATCACATCTGGTGCCGCGAAAGGGTGAGTTGTGTTCGCTTGCACACATCTCATGGGGCTATTGATGATGATGGTGGTGATCGTGATTTCGTGTGCCCGTTTATGACTTCTTCTGAGAGATTCAGTTCTGAGCAATTTCGCCATTCAGTTGTTTCGTCTGAGAGTTGGTGAATTGCAGATCCATCCATCCATCACACCCACCTCGTTCACCCACGCGCCTCCAAATGCACGGTTGAAACAGTTGCCACGTTATATGGTCCATTGGATTTGTATCGGCAGCCGCACAGAATCGAGGTCGATCGAGAGCGCTGTTTGCGAGCGCCTATTAAGGTGGGCATTGTGCGCAACACGTGCAGTGTTGTGTGCAGAGGCGCAGTCTTGCAACTGATTACTCACGCCACTGCTGTCGGAAGGGTCCCTCCTATAGGGACCCTCTGCAGTTAATTGGGCTTCGTACCCACAACTTTACCCTAACAAAAGCGACTTGCCGATCCTCTTGACTGCTGTTGCAGCCATTCTAATACCGCTGGGGAGATAATTAACATCAATTATGTAGTCATTCTGCTGCGTCGGCAGTGGCGCACAAGCGCGATTTAAACAACGCATGTGCTCGCTCTGAAGAAGGGCCATTGTTTGAAACGTCGCCTATTTGTTGTTGTTTTACCTGTTTTGAACACCGCGCCACGGTGTTGTTTCACATCGCCGAATGTGTCCGAGTGTCATCATGGATAACGTAACAAGCGGAGCACGATAACGGTGGGGAATTATTTCTGACTTCTGCCCATGATAAGACGCACTCCCCCCCCCCCACCGTATATTTTTTTGTTATAAAACATTTATTTTCTTATTCCACATTCTCACGTCGCTGACATTCTGGACGGTGTTATCAGTCTGCATCGACGGTATCAGGTACACAGGACTCATCAGAGCAGGCGGGGGTTGAGCTCGGGTATTTAAAACTGTTCCAAGGTTTAGGATGGACCCCCTATGTACGTGCTGTATTCTTCTTATACTCCGGTGTGTGCGTTATTTGACACCCACCGGGCACAAGATTTGGGGTGCGTCTTCCTTTTCGGAGCGTCTTATACGAACACCCTTTGTTTGAGAACGTTTGATTTTACTTTGAATATTTAAAAAAAAAGTGTATTTTGTCGTACTGTGTATGTGACGGTGTTGAATGGCTTGCCCCGTATGTTACCAATGGCGTTACTAGTCACATGCCGTTTGTAAAAACTGGTCATTAGACATTTAATGTTTTTTTTGTTATCCGGCTCCATGGTGTAAAACAAGTGCAGTCTCCAACTCGTGTCACCCACTCCCCCTCTGACCGATTTACAATGAAGGGCGATTGCCCGAACCGTTGCCAATTATATATTTACGAATTTTTAGGCCACACGCAGTGCTAATTATTATTTCGTTATTCATTCGTAATCCGGAGAATACGGTATATGCCACGTAGGCTATTGTAGAAATACAAACATCTATAATAGGTTTTGTTTGGGGTGAGATCACGTATATATATAAATGTGCCGTTAAACCCGCCATCACCCGCCACAGCCAATGTTTAGTGTCACGTAAGCAGAACGTGGTCAATTCGTTACTAGTACAGCACTAGTGTGTAGTGTATAGTGTAGTGTATAGTAGTGTAGTATATAGTTGTGTAGTGTATAGTGTAGTGTATAATGTAGTGTACTAGTACAGCACCACCGGTTGTGTGTTGGAGAGTAAATCCACAACATTCACAATCCGAGTTCCGACGTTTCGCCAATAATCACAACCGGCTTCATCAGCCGACAGCCACATTAGTGGAGACATCCTCCTCCTGTTTCGTTCTTAAATAGACAGCGGATAAATATGTCGTCACCTGAGCCCTTCAGGTGAGAAGGCCGGGGGGGGGGGTTAATGAGTGTATATACATTACAATGGGTATCCATTACCGGTTGGATTATTTAACACACCCTCTTATGGATATTGGTCGCGAACGCCTACGTGTTCTATATATATACATATCTATCAGTATAGATATTCAGCATATTCTTAGGTTTTTTCGGTAAAGTCACGTAGGCAAAACATTCAAATTAATAAAAGTAAAATAAAATAAAAATCACGACGTTTCGGAGGCAACACAAGCTTCCGGCTTCAGGTGGAACCGTCACAGCCACGACAGCTGTTGCCTCCGAAACGTCGTGATTTTTATTTTATTTTACTTTTATTAATTTTAATGTTTCACCTACGTGACTTTACCGAAAAAAACCTAAGAATATGAATCCTTGCAGTCACGAAAGCTTGAAATCTAGAAAAAGATATTCAGCACTTTGCCAATCCACTGCGTGGATGAAGGTCACCCCACGCCGTGTCGGCGTGACGTGTGTTTGACCATTCTTCAAGAATCGGTTCAGACATCATCATCATCATCGCTCGCCGCTGACGTTACACGCCGCGTCCATAGCGCAGTGCGCTATAGAGTAGATCAAGCCCACAATTCAGCCTCGTCGCATACACGCAACGTACGTACTCATTTACCTCCTTGCCCTCCCCCCTCACCCCCACCCCTGTGTGTGACTGTCCAGGTCTTTGTCCCGTGTCAGGTCTCACAACTCATCAGTGGCCACGTGTGGTGTGTCGCTGTTGTTTGCAGCCCAGCCTATCCCCAACCACCGCAGAACAGACCCAATCCTATCTCAGCAAAGTCCAGTCTGAACTCATCTCCAACCCAGACCAGTCCTATTCTAAGCCTCTAGCGGTCTTGCCTAACCAAGAAGCCGAGTGCAATCCTCACTCAATCCCCAGCTCGATCTCATCTTCAGCCCAGGCTCTCTACCTCAGCTCCCCACATCCTTCCCAGGCCACCGGTTAGCCATGGAACGCCTCCACGGCGGAGAGGTGTCCGTGATCCAGCACGTGCAGAGCGTCTTCAGCGGGCAGCAGCACACCCTCGACTTCATGTCCAACGTGGGTGACATCCGCACGGCCTTCCTTGTCTACTTCCCCATCTGCTTCTACCTGCGCCGTGACGTGGGCATCAGGATGGTGTGGGCGGCCGTGCTGGGAGACTGGGTCAACCTCATGTCCAAGTGGTGAGATCCTGCGGGTGATGAACGGTGGCCAACAACGCTCGCGACACACCACGTTTAGAATGAACGTCACACGTTGAGTGTTTGGATGCTGGACGTTTTCCACGCGAGTATAAGCCACCTTAATTTGGGCTATTGTTTGTGGCCAGGTCGCTTCTGAAAAAAGAGCTAAATAGCTCAGTGGGCCTTACATGGTAACAATAAAAAAATCAAGTTTATAGTTTAAATCTTGACTTAAAGCTTTCGTGACGGCAGGAATTCATATTCTTTGGGTCTTTCGGTGAAGTCACGTAGAGAGGTTCAAATTAATAAAAATAAACAAAAAACTACAAGCGATCGTCGTCATCCTGGCGACCGCTTGTGTTGCGATCGAAACGTTGTCGTTTTTAATTTTATTTTTTATTAATTTGAACCTATCTACGTAACTTTACCGAAAGACCCGAAACATATAGTTTGTAGTTTAGTTTTTAGGGTCGGCAGTCAGGCAGTGCAGCGGGAACAATCCTGCCTCACAGCAACAAGCACCTGGGTTCGATTCCTGGAGTTTGTGCATTCTCGCCCTGTTCCCAATGGGTTTCCTCTGGGCTCTGCGATTTCCTCCCATGTCCTAAACAACGTACCAACTGGTATTGGCCATAACATCCCAATGCAAAAAATGCACCAACCAATGATTCAATCGGGATCAAACACACACAGAAGCGTGTCTCCCGCGTCGTGTCACCTTCATGCCACGTGTCATCATGTCCCTTGTGAAGGATCCTGTTCGGACATCGGCCTTACTGGTGGGTTCACGAGACCACCTTCTACGTGAACAGCACCGTGCCCTACCTGCAGCAGTTCCCCATCACCTGCGAGACGGGCCCAGGTGAGCAAGCCTCCACCTCCCCCACACACCACCCCTTCACCAACACGCAGCGTGGTGTATCTATGTGGGGGAGCAGTGGTGCAGCGGTCAGCGCGTTGCGCTGCGAACCCAGTTGCCAAAATTCATAGCTTATCGGATTCCTCTGGTATCAATACATATTCCGATTCCCGATCACGGCCATCATCAGTTGAATATCTATTGGTGGTCATGGGCACTCCGTATGCCAAATCAGCATTAAATAAGTACCTCCCGGAGTTGTGTAAACAGCGACACCGTGGAGACCAAGGTGGCCGGGCATGGTGCCGGAGACACCAGACCCTCGTGCGCCGTGCCGGCTTTCATCGGCGCTAACAGCACTTGCCCCAGATTTGAAGCTTTCGTGACTGCAATAATTCATACTCTTAGGTTTTTTCGGTAAAGTCACGTAGGGGAAAATAAATAAATAATGGGGATAAATAATAGAAAAAATAATAGAAATAAAATAATAATAAATCACTATTCTTTTATTTCTATTATTTATTTTTTTACCTACGTGACTTTACCGAAAAAACCTAAGAGTATAGCACTTGCCCCAACAGCCTGCCAAGGTTATACAGGGGATCTTTGTCTCTAGGGAGCCTCTTTGCATTGTTTGACGTTGCAACTCGCTGACCCGCCCACGCTGGACAACTGTGGAAAAGATTTCGATCTAAAGCTTTCGTGACTGCAGGGTTTCATCTTCTTGGTTCTTTCGGTAAAGTCACGTAGAAGGGAAGTAATAAAATAATAAAAATAAAACATAATAAAATTATTCTCACGACGTTTCGGCCACAACGCAAGCAGCCGTCCTCAGGTGAAGACATTCAGACGCTGTCTTCCCGACAGACCTGGTCTTCACCTGAGGACGGCTACTTGCGTTGTGGCCGAAACGTCGTGAGAATTATTTTATTATGTTTTATTTTTATTATTTTATTACTTCCCTTCTACGTGACTTTACCGAAAGAACCAAGAAAATGTGGAAAAGATCTTCAGAGCTCATCGGATTCCTCCAGTCTACATTTTTAAATCCTTTATATTAAGTTCACTTGCTTGCTTGCTTACGACCGTGCAAATCTTTCGGTCGTTTTTTAACCCACTTCCCGTGATCCAATCGAGCTGACATTTCCACACAGACTCATTGTGCGTGACAATTAATGTTCGTGAAATTTTTTTTCCAAAATTTTACACTTTTTAGGACAAAAATATTATATTTAATTACCAATTGCTTAATGCTGCAATGCAATCATCTGACCCATAGGTGGCAGCCATCTCAAGCCAGAGGACGAGAGGACTCTAGCCGCCACGCATATAAAGGATTTATAGTGAAAAATTTTGTTTTTACGGGTTATACTTGTTCAGATTCAGTATCTCACGTGTGCTCGCGTGTCCCCCCACCCCACCCCACCCGCCCCGCACGATGCAGGCAGCCCGTCGGGCCATGCGATGGGCTCGGCGTGCGTGTGGTACGTGATGGTGAAGGCCCTGCTGGACTCGCGCGCCGTGGCGGCCCGCGGGCCCGCGACCCGCCGCTGGCTCGGCGCGGCGCTCTGGAGCGCCTTCGCCGTCGTGCAGCTCGGGGTCGGCATCTCCCGGCTCTTCGTCGCCGCGCACTTCCCACACCAAGTCCTGCTGGGAGCGCTCGCCGGTACGTGTGGGAACTCATCCTCCGCCTCCTCCTCTTCATCGCAACCCTCATCGAAACCCTCCTCCACCGCGTCGGCACCCTTATCGCTTCATCCAACTCATCGTCATCTTCCACATCGTCATTCTCGTCTTCATCCTTCTCTCTTCAACCTCCACATCGTCATCCTCGTCTTCACTCTCTTCATCAGACTCATCTCATTTCCCCACTACCTCCTCATCCTCCACCCAATCGTCCTCCTTTCTCCACTGCCTCCTCCTATGCCTGTTCCTCCTTCGTCATCCCCATCTTTCTCATCCTTCTCGCCCTCCAAAAAAACTTGAGATGTCGTGAGTTCAGAGTATAGAGAGATGCAGGCCACGTAAGCGATGCAGTGAAATGTGAAGAACTGTAGACAAGAGGTCTATGTAGTGAGATGACGGGAGAGATACACGAGATTAAAATAAGACTACTTACTTTGTAAGCTTATCATGCTATTATGCGCACTAGAATTTGAGTGAGCCAAATTTTGACGCAACCTATTTTTCTGTAACATGAATCCAGAGAGCACCTCTAAGGTTTTCCTCCGATTCGCTTACGCCACGCGTGCTCTCGCACACAAAGCTTTCCCATATACGCTTAACAGTTTGTGGGGGCAAGTGGCACAGCACACGAGTGGGTGGCCAGCACCACGCCTGGCCGCATTTATTACCCTAGCGGTGACGTTTACACATCGCGCCAGGTACTTATTTGAGGCCGAGACGACCTACGGGAGGGCCAAGGACCAGTTCAGACAATCGTCACCGGTGTTGGTAGCGGCCGTGATCGGGAATCGAACTCGGCTCGCCGGGTTCGTAGCGCGGTGCGCTAACCGCCGCATCACCAAAGATCCCCCGTGTAGCCTTAACAGACTCTAGATTTGAAGCTTTCATGACTGCAAGGATTCACATTCTTAGGTTTTTTTCGGTAAAGTCACGTAGGTAAAAAAATTAAATTACTAAAAATAAAATAAAAATCACGACGTTTCGGAAGCAACACAAGCTTCCGTCTTCAGGTGGAACAGTCACAGCACGATAGCTGTATCAAGTGAAAGAAATTACAGGAAAACCGTATTTTTATATATATACTGGTTGAGGGTGGGAGTAGCCAAGGTAGGCCCTGGATTTTTTTTTTATAATATTCAGAGCCCACCTTGGCTCCTCCCACCCCTCAACCAGTATATATACAAATACGGTTTTCCTGTAACTTCTCTCACTTGATACAGCAATCGTGCTGTGACTGTTCCACCTGAATACGGACGCTTGTGTTGCTTCCGAAACGTCGTGATTTTGATTTTATTTTTATTAAATTCTTACCTACGTGACTTTACCGAAAAAACCTACGAAAATGAATACCTTAACAGACTGTTGGGGACAAGCGCCGTCATAGCGAGCTCACGTTCTGCTCCCCCGCAACACACTCGCACAGGCATGGCGGTGGCCGACCTCTTCGGCTCCGTGTCCTGCATCCACGACGCGCCGCTCTCGCGCTACGTGGGCACCAGCGCGGCGCTCTTCGCGCTGGCGCTGGGCTTCTACCTGGCGCTGCTCGCCGTCGGCGTCGACCTGCTGTGGACCGTCGCCTTCGCCAAGAAGTGGTGCCTGCACCCCGAGTGGGTGCACCTGGACAGCACGCCCTTCGCAGGCCTCGTGCGCAACCTCGGCGTGCTGGCGGGCACGGGGCTGGCGCTCAACTCGGGGCTGCATCGCGACGCGCTGGCGGGGGCCCGCGGCGAGGCGCCGGCGTTCCGCGCCGCCTGCGCGATCGCCGCCGTGGTGACGCTGAGGCTGTACGACGGGGTCAAGGTGCCGAGCGACGACGAGCTGGCGTTCTACGTGCTTACGTTCTGCAAGAGCCTGCTGGTGCCGCTCAGCGCGCTGGCGCTGCTGCCGTACACGCTGCGCCACCTGCTCGACGCGGGAACGCGCCACCACAAGCTGGCCTAGGCCCCCGCGGGCGAGCGGGGGCGGCTTTGTAGGCGGTAGAGTTGCCTGCGCTCTCTAAATATCGGATAAAAAAATAAACGGGACTTATTATATAGGAGGGAGTACGTGCGGCAATGCCGGAGAGAGAGGGGGGGGAAGGTAAACGCATTGTCTCGGGGTGTACCGTTGTCAGACAGCTGACAAAAGCCAGGACTTCTTAGTGTTATTTTTTTTTGTTCTGGAACGACCGACAGATTACCCCGGACAGCTTGTCTCAAAAGAAAAAACAGAGGGGGCGATCCTGGGAAAACCAGGACGGGTGGCAACCCTAGCGGGCAGGCCTAAAGCTTCTCTCACCCTCGACGGCTTGGGCAGGGCTTAATTCCTCACCGAAGTGGCCAGTGACGAGTCTAGACATAGCCATAGCAAGAGGTGTGCTGGATCACCGGTAAGTTGAAGTATTAAAGTAGGCTGCACGAGACTAATCGTTGCCATCGCGGCAGGAGGTATATTGGACTCGGTGTGCCGACTGAATGTAATCCCCGAGCGCGGGAGATCTTTAGAGTGGCATCAGGGGTGGGTGGTTGAGAGAGGACGTCTCCGCTCAAGACCGATCGGAGAGGGGACACGGGGAGCTGAGAGAGGAGCGGGGAATTCCCCCCCCCCCCCCCGTTTGTTTTGTAACCCAACATCCACGCCATCGCCCTCCGGCCGGGCCCCCCAATGGGGGACCCTAGCGGAGTTGCACCGCCTGCACACTCGACAAACGGCCACGGCCGCCGTCGGGGACGGGTGGAAAAAAAACGGAGCGAGCGAACGAGGCAAAGACGACGGAACGGGAAAAAAAAGAAGAAAGCGTAAATCGATTGACACGGTCGCAGGGAGATGCAACGGACGAACTCAAAGGAGGAGGGCGGTGGCCATGGAACTTTGCCGACTTGAGGGCACGTGCTCGTGCACGTGCACGCGACGCAGGGCACCCGCGCGTGTCCGGCGTTCTTCGTTTCTCTCCCCGTCGAGCAAAGCGTCTGGGAGCTGTGGCAGGGCTGTTATCGCACTGTTGCTGAGGACCCGGTCCCGGCCCCCTCCCTCGAAGTCGACTCGGCCTTGAGCGAGTACCCCGGTGTGATGTGAAATCATCAGCGCTGCGGAAAGGCAAAAGATTGCCGGGCATGGTGGTCGCCATATCGCCCACCGGTCGGGGCCTTGCCATACTCACAGTGGTGTTCGCTCACAGCGCTTGCCCCAACAAGTCTGTTCAAAGGCTACATGGGGAGGTGAGGGGGGTGATCTTTGTCTTTGTGTGGCATTGGTTCAAGAGACCAAGATGAGCGAGAGAGACGGAGAGAGGGGGTTAAATGCGTGTCCCCGACACTGTTTAGTTAAGCTAGAACGTATCTCAGTGAAACCCGGGTAAGTGCCGGGCTCGTGTGTTGATGCGATACGTTACCTATACTCGTGTTTTTGCGACGTTGCCTTATTAAGTTAAGTTATTGTGGTGTAATGCAAAAGCAGCTATCGAATGTACTACACGACTTTGCGATTCCAGGACAATGCACAAAAAACATGCGTTTTAAAATCGTGACGAATTATTTCAAAACGTACTAAATAAAAAAATGTTCTATATTTACGACGGTTTATAAGCCTACGCCTTCACGACACAGTCCCATCATTTGCAATCAATATTATCGGCCCGGATACAATGCTGACTTTTACAAAATAATATTTGGCCAAATATCACAACCAGAACCCCTATTGAAAGCGAGTCTTAATACAAGCACAGCATCGCATAACCGGCCGTCACAAATCCACCCTGACCAATTAACCGACCACACTCAGAGCAGCATTGGTACGTGGTTGTTCACCGATCTGACCTCTTTCACCACCGGCTCTGGGCTGTCAACGGAAGATGAGCAGCACCAATGCATAGATGCTCGTTTGAGCAGGGAAATCAATATTAGCCATGATCATTCCACTGCTGGATGAAGGCTTCTCCCAAGCCACCAACAGGCCTCAGTCCTCTTGAGCAATGCAAAGTGATTATACTAGTCCTGTACTTTACTGAATCGATTGTGCTGTTTGTGTTAACGAATTTTGTTGTTGTTGAGCGTTTAGAGTTAAGGACACGCTACATCGAGTGTGTTAGGTCATCGCGGACGGTTCATAATGAGGCCTTTGCCACCACTCGCATATAGCGCACAGTAGGCATCGGCCGTCGTTCAATTGTTTGCGATCTTTTCGGATTTCAGATGCGAGTCTGAAAACTCACTCAAGCGTAACGGCAATAATTCTTCCCCGCGAGCGCTTCCAGCATTTGATTTGTCCGTGCCGTGGTGTCGCGGTGAGTCCGCCGGAAATGCAAATCCAGGGGTCGCCAGTTCTACCCGATCTACCGGCACGGAAGCTGTGGCTTTTGTACGTTCAACTGCTTTCGCACCGTACGTAGCCCAAACGCGCTAATCGGAGCTGCGGGGGAAGGTCAACACACACAAAAAACTGTCAAAAAAGTTTTCAATCTCGTTGAAACAATGGTGCAATTTTCCTTAAATCCCGCACACTTCACACCGCCACCTGTCCACTCTACAGTTATCATAAACTGCGTACACGACAGTTTATTTTGTCGGCAGGTGCTGGGGTAAAGTGTGGGTTGTTGGGTTGTAGCTCCTACCTTCTCCGAGATCTGACCGGTGCATAAAAACTTGGGGATGCAAATATCCTCGCGTTTGAGCGCCCGAAATCTTCCCTCTACTCGGAGGCCCTTCCGCCAGCAGCAGCGTGAGGGAGCAATTGCGGGGGCTGCGCCTTAACCCAAATCAAAATAAGCGAGGGTTTAGTGCCATTTGCGGTTGCAACTGGCAGCTCAAGTGAATATTTGCCGCGTAGAAATTAAATTAGAGCACTAACACACTTAGGGACTTCCAGATTGAACGAAATCTAGCAAATGCAGTTGTTGTCGTCGTTGCCTCACGTGCCGTCTGTACAATGGTCGTTGTGGCGTTGTTGCTTCTGCTGCTGCTGTTGTTGTTGCCGACTTCACGGAGATGCACTTCGTTGCCAATTTCATTCAAATAAAAAACACAAATCCTCGTCTTGTTTACTCACGCACCCCAGGTGCTCTTTTCTGTGCCTAAGTGCATACGCGGGTCAACTGAAGCCAACATACACTGTGACGAGTTAACCGAGAGGAGAATAATTTGCCAGTAACTCTCGACCCGGTAATTGATTACAGAGACAAGCCTGTGGGAGCAGACCGATGGAGCACATACGAAACTCTTCCGTTCACCGGCATATTGGTTCAAGCAAGCTGAACTCTGCTGAAGAGACACCGAATTCAAAGTTTTGCTTGTGTCGAACCATTTCTGCTGAAATTGTATGCACTTCGATTTAAAGCTTTCGTGACTGCAGGGATTCATCTTCTTGGTTCTTTCGGTAAAGTCACGTAGAAGGGAAGTAATAAAATAATAAAAATAAAACATAATAAAATAATTCTCACGTTTCGGCTACAACGCAAGCAGCCGTCACCTGAAGACGGCTGCTTGCGTTGTAGCCGAAACGTCGTGAGAATTATTTTATTATTTTTCTTATTTTATTATTTCGCTTCTACGTGACTTTACCGAAAGAACCAAGAAGATTGTATGCACTCTCAGAAGGCCGTGCTACTGATGCGATATGTAAAACAATCTTAGTTTTTTTTACGTGGAGACACACATGGGAAGGATACATTGCCTGCTTAGTCCGATTCTGTTCACCTAGACCAGCGGTCGGGAACCTATGGCTCGCGAGCCATATACGGCTTTTCCAGTGATGGCATATGGCTCCCATACAATTTTGAGTTGAAAAAAATAATAAAATAATAAAATAAAAAATCAGTTTGGAACTGATTTTAAAATACTTGTGATATTTGCTGAATAATACCGTTCATTTTAAAGTTAACAGAAATTAGTTTTGAAGATAAATTTCACGGGTCACGCCTGCATGAAGCTCAACCTCACCACGTCGTATGAACCAGACAACACAAGGCCATCAGCAAAACCATGCAGCACCAGAAGTCGCATTAAAACTAAGACATATTTAACTTATTATACGTAAAAAAATACTATATGGCTCTCAATGAAATATATTTAGAAATGTTTCGCTTTTATGGCTCTCCCAGTCAAAAAGGTTCCCGACCCCTGACCTAGACCAGTGAAACGTGGACAGGGGTGGAAGTGCAGTGTTCCTCACAACGAGAAGCACCTGGGGTTTGATTCCCAACGCAGGTACCTTTCTGCGTGGGATTTGCACGTTCCCCACTCTGTGTGGGTTTCCTTTTGGTTCCCCAGTTTCCTTCCCAGAGCTAAGAACATTCAAAGTCGTTGGGTGTTGGCCAAACATCCACCAAACACAGGAGCCCTCCTGCAAATGGGGGTCCTCAAATTCAGCATGACATTCCTGGGTAAATGAGTAATTATTGTTGTAACGGTAGCACCAAAGTAATTCAATCTAGCACGGCAAAAAGAACGTAGACAATTTTAAAACACTTGTTGCCTTTCCAAAAAATAATTTACTTATCTCTGCAAGGCGCCATACGACAGCAAACGAAGAGGCAGAATGATTATCCAGTTACTTATTATCCGGTGACCGATTACGGAGACCCGAGACTCCATACAACTTCTGCCCAACTAATAATGACTGTGCATGATTTCGAGGTTGGCATTATCCACGTGTTGGCAAGAAGATACATTCTTGGGCAATATTTAGCAAGAAAAAATGTTAAATGGCCTAGAAAAAACTGCGGATTTTCAGAAAATCCGACGGAATCACTGACAATCGGCACACAGTTTCAAAGTTGATTTTGCATAACCCGGGAGTGAAAAATCAAGAGACCAGGGCTTAGTGTCCCATTTGCAAAGAGTGACCTTTGAGTCACTAAAATGACAAAAGCCAGACAGAACCAAAACACATTCAAGTGAAGCAAAGAAAGAGGTATTAGATCATTATAATTTACAACCGTTGGGCCGAGCCACTGCTAGATTAAAGGAATGTTTGTGTGCTGGTCGCAAGGGATTTGTGGTCAGAAACCGTGTGGTCAAGCCTCAACCCGCCAAGGCTGCAACATGGTCTGAATGTGGCAGTGCAGATATAAAGTAGGTTGCTGACCTATCTATACAGATTGTTTAAAACTTTGTGTCCTATCTAAAGTATTCTCATCCTACGCAAGAGAAAAACAAAACACAGGACGAGAAAATGAACAAACATCCCACAGAAGACCCCTTCGTGAAAATACAAAAGAGTCCTGAGATTTATTCAGCCTCTGCTGGTCACAAAAATCAAATGTTACCATTACAAATTAAATAAAGCAACAACAACAAAAAACCCACTTAAGGTTAATATACAACACGCACATTCAAGTGAAGGAAAGAGTGGGATAACACCCCTGGGTATAGAGCCAGGGCACACATAACGACAGTTTCCACCATCGCACCGTACACGAACGACCGTGGTGATTTTCCCACAAGTCAGCGGACACTCTCTCGCAAACTATCGGCACGACCTGCCGTCCTACCGACACGTGAAACACGTCTCCCGGCGTTACAAGCAGAACTTAAGACTTTCAGCTTCGTTTGTCTAAACGCAAAATACACCTGGACCCAGCAAAACCAACATCTAGCATACCTCTCGTGATGGCCGTGCCTACCACGATTCACGTGGACGTCCACTCCCATCGATACCGGGAAACCCGGAAAATATTCAGCGAGAAAAAAAAAATTGGCCCAGGACGTTACCGTTAATCCTTCGGTCTGGTGGCGGGCAACCAGGGTGAGAAGGGTACGACTAACAATCGCGTAGCTCCAAAGGAAATATCGATCGAACGGACGGACAAGAGGAGAGGGGACGGGGGTGCAGTCGTCGCTGGGGGTCGACGGACAGCATCCTCGGGATGGCGGCGGTGGGTGAGGGGCGGCTATGGGGACTCCCGGCGAGGCGCGGTGTGAGGGGACAGGAGGTACGTGTTGAGAAGACGCACACGGTGCGTGGCGATGCAGTCCAGAACCCACTCGCGCGTCACGATCTGGGCGCTGTAGAGGCGGTGCAGGGCTGTGGGGGCGGGGTCGCAGGGGGTCAGGGGGGGGCACAGGGAGATCAAGGACGGCACCGCCGAGTCAAGGCAGTACACAGAGTTAAGAGTCGGCTCAAGGAGATAACGAGAGACGTTGCACCAAGAGAGACGACACAGCAGGGCTGGGATGAAACGTTGATCGATTCCTAGGATGCGTGGGTCAAGCTTGAATGGCTCTCGATTCTGATACATTGCACGTAATGGGTTCGTGTCACACCTGCAGCCTACTAGAGGTGCTAACCCGGTCACTGCAATGCTGAAATATAAATTGGATTCTTGAATGGAATCTCAAGCGTGAATGGCGGCGATTTTCTTACGAATCACCAGAGCATGGTGGTCTGGGGAGGTTAGGGGAGCAATAGCACACAGTGGTCAGGAGAGCACGCGGAGTCTATGGGAGACGGTACGTGGATGTGAGGGACAGCACGCGGCATGTACGCAAGGAGCAGGAATGGAACACGGAGGCACACAGCAGGCAGCGTCACGGCACGAGAGGCTCAGTCAGACTTCTGCCGAAGCGTCAACGAGGATTGCACGGGAGCGGCCTGACGTCGCAGTGCGAGTCAAGCTGGGGCCGTGGGTTCCGCGCTGCAGCGGAATGTGTGGCCTGCTCGCTTACATACCTCTTCTTGGTTCTTTCGGTAAAGTCACGTAGAAGGGAAGTAATAAAAGAATAAAAATAAAAATAATAAAATAATTCTCACGACGTTTCGGCCACAACGCAAAGCAGCCGTCCTCAGGTGAAGACCAGGTCTGTCGGGGAGACAGCGTCTGAATGAAACACCACCATGCTTTGCAGCGTATATTTAAGCTGGGCGCTCCAAGCGTGGTGGTGTTTCATTCAGATGCTGTCTCCCCGACAGACCTGGTCTTCACCTGAGGACGGCTGCTTGCGTTGCGGCCGAAACGTCGTGAGAATTATTAAATGTTTTATTTTTATTACTTTATTATTTCCCTTCTACTTGACTTTACCGAAAGAACCAAGAAGATGAATCCCTGCAGTCACGAAAGCTTTAAATCGAAAAATGCTCGCTTACCTGCGAAGTCCATGCTGGCCGCGTTGGCGTCGGGCTGCACGACCAGCAGCGGCACAAAGTTCTGCACATACACAAAAAAACACACGCATGTACACATGCGTGTACACACGCGTGCACAGGCAACTTGCACACACACACATATCCCCCATATAGCCTTTAACAGACTGTTGGGGCAAGAGCTGGTAGCAAGCACTTGTGAAGGCTGGCACAGCACATTGTGGGATGGGTGGCCAATACCATGCCCGGATGACCTTGTCTCCCCAGTGCTGATGTGGACGCACTGCACCAAGTACTTATTTAAGGCCGAGTCTACCTAGGGGAGGCCCCGGACCGATCCAGATATTCGCCGCTGTTATTGGGGGCAGAGTAACACAATGAAACCAATAGTATAGTGTTCGTCAGGGGACCGGTGAAATGTAATTATCGATGCGGGATACGTCAGATGGGAGAGGACTGAGTAAACGGGGGAACGAGAGACAATTCGCCGTTTCAGCCGACACCGCAAACCGCCCACCGGTAAAGCGGAAAATATAAAAACGTCGCGGTCGTGCGTGGAACACACGTCGTGCTAAAGCCTTAAGAACGCACATGCATGTATGTGCACGTGTGTGTGCGTGTGCTCTAAAATTGGCAGAGTAGGGGGCACAGGTGGTGCATCTGTCAGTTATCTCAGTCAGTCAACCTATAACACCTGGGTCTGTCCCAGTACCCCCTGCCGGCGAGCCAACCAGCCTTCTGCACTTCACGTGAAAGCCTCAAAGAGCACCTAGCCTGGCATAAGCCCCGTGGTGACATCACAGCCATTCGGCCGCAAATTGGTGGCTGTTCTGTGCACGTAGAAAGGCTGCCAAGCGTTGTTGTTGTCGCAGGTTCAACTTCCGCGCTACAATGCCAGCCCTCCCAGGTTCGATTCCTGGTCCTGATGCACAGCGCCCGTAGTAAGCGGTATATACGAGCGTGGCAGAGCCTTCCCCCCTATGTTGACTCGTCCATAAACGATCGGCTGGCGAGGCAGCGAGGTGATGAAAAGTGGCTACAATGGGGAGGAAAATGGGGCCAGGGTACGCGCGGTACCGGTCACTTCCAGTAAAAATATGATAATTGGTTCTTTACCCTTCTATCTGGCAACAAAACTGACACCTTTTTGCAAGGAGTCATGTTTGCATAGACCGCAATACCTGCAGTCATAATACAAACAAAAGAACATAACTCTGATAATGTGCTGTCTCGGGTGTGGACCAATCAACTTCAAGGACAGTGCACATTATCAGAGTTATGTTCTTTTGTTTGTATTATGACTGCAGGTATTGCGGTCTATGCAAACATGACTCCTTGCAAAAAGGTGTCAGTTTTGTTGCCAGATAGAAGGGTAAAGAACCAATTATGACGGAGATGATGTTAACAATTATGAAGGTGTTGCCAATGATGCTCCTGCTGCCTATGACGATTATGACAATGCTACAGCTGCCAATAACAATGTCACTGCGGCTAATAATGACAATGAAGATGTTACCGCTGCTGCTCTCGATGATGATGATGATGCTACAGCTTCTGGAGGGAAGGCACAGAACCAGGAACACTCACCGGATGGAAGGAGAAAGCACTCGGATCCTTGACAAGCACGGCTCCGCTCATCTGAACCAGACACTCAATTTGCGCTGTGCGACACACAAACACACAGGTCCTCGCCCGTTATTCGGCATTCATTACGCACAAAGTGCTTGCCACAAATGAGCCACAAATGAACCACAATACCTTGCTGTTCTCGTCAAGGAGAATAAACCATCAGGCAAACTCCGGTCATCCTCGCAGCAGTGGATAGATATTGGCTACGCCATCGGACAAAGACAGTCAAGCGCATCGCTAAGCTCTTTCAGATGCGCTTCTGCGGCTATCTGGAATGCTGTTTCTTCCGATATTGGGAAGCCACTGGGGCTATGCACTTTTAAATCGGGATTAAAAACGAATTTCTTTAGAACTGCTTTTTTGTGTTTAGCTTGTTGCCTTCCCCCGCACCTCTGATTAGCACCGTTTGCTACGTACGGTGCAAAAGAAATTCAACATACACACATAGATATATCTGCAATTATTGATGATGACAGTGGTTCTAGATTTGAAGCTTTCGTGACTGCAAGGATTCATATTCTTAGGTTTTTTCGGTAAAGTCACGTAGGTAAAACATCAAAATTAATAAAAATAAAATAAAATAAAGATCACGACGTTTCGGAGGCAACACAAGTCTCCGTCATCAGGTGGGACCGTCACAGCCAGATTAGCTGCATCAAGTGAGGCAATGATTCAAGATGTAATCCCTTAAAAGCGAGTTGAGGGGGGAGGAGAGGGGGGGAGCTCATCAGAATGTGGTAGCCAATGAATGGAATGTATCGGGAGGGAGGGGGGCGGGGCCAAAAGGGTGGGCGACGGCGTGGAAGCGATTGTGCGCAAGAGACAAACTACTGCACACGCCAACGCATTGGACACCCTTTTGGCCCCGCCCCCCTCCCTCCCGATACGTTCCATTCATTGGCTACCACATTCTGATGAGCTCCCCCCCCCCTCTCCTCCCCCCTCAACTCGCTTTTAAGGGATTACATCTTGAATCATTGCCTAACTTGATGCAGCTAATCTGGCTGTGACGGTCCTACCTGATGACGGAGACTTGTGTTGCCTCCGAAACGTCGTGATCTTTATTTTATTTTTATTAATTTTGATGTTTTACCTACGTGACTTTACCGAAAAAACTTAAGAAGATGACAGTGGTGATGGTATGTATGTCAAACTCCTTTCGCACCGTACATAGCCAACTGTGCAAATCAGAGGTGCGAATTGGAGGTGGTGGTCGTTTTATTTTTCCAGCCTGTGGCTTTCGCAGAGGTTCAAACTCAGCACTGCGATCCATTTTGGTGGATCTCAAGTGGCTCGTGATAAGCCAGCAAGCTCTGACCAACAATTAACCGAATGGCATGGACCATTAAATTTCGATTTAAAGCTTTCGTGACTGCAGGGATTCATCTTCTTGGTTCGTTCGGTAAAGTCACGTAGAAGGGAAGTAATAAAATAATAAAAATAAAACATAATAAAATAAAATTAGATTTCGATTTAAAGCTTCTTTCGTGACTGCAGGGATTCATCTTCTTGGTTCTATCGGTAAAGTGACGTAAAATGGAAATAATAAAATATTAAAAATAAAACATTATACAATTCTCACGACGTTTCGGCCACAACGCAAGCAGCCGTCCTCAGGTGAAGAACAGGTCTGTCGGGAAGACAGCGTCTGAATGAATAGACGCTCCAAGCCTGGTGGTGTTTCATTCAGACGCCGTCTTTCCGACAGACCTGTACTTCACCTGAGGACGGCTGCTTGCGTTGTGGCCGAAACGTCGTGAGAATTATTTTATTATGTTTTAGTTTTATTATTTCCCTTCTACGTGACTTTACCGAAAGAACCAAGAAAGCATGGGCCATGTAATATACAAGGCGCCATCTACTGGTAGAATGTATATATTTTTTATCTATTAATTCTCAGTCGGGGGTTTTTGTCATCAGCCGCTCACAAAAAATGTTGTATTGTCTGCTTACGTCAGTGATTGCTTTGATTTGCGTTGAATCCCACAAAAAATAAATATTTTGCAAGCCACCCACGGATCGTGAACCACACGTTGGCCACCGCTCAATTAGCTGAACCTTTGCCAACATAAATAATTGACCGCCCTTTGTCAATCCACCGCTGGATGAATGCCTCCCAGTACCCCTGTTGGGATTACTATGTCCCCATAAATCTCAAACAAGGCCTAAGAAACGTGATATCCGGTTCTGTGAGCTGTTCTCCAACACAGCGTGGTCTTAGGTGTGGTCTCAGACCGTTTTTCGTTGTTTTGCTGCCTTGCCCAAGCTTGTATTGAAATCCGCAGGTATCTATTTCCTTGTCCAATTTGCACTTATATATTTTATTTATTTATTCGCAGCGACTTCATCACCTTTTCTCTATCTTGCTCTTATATCGTTTTTTATACTCTCTGTTGATGTAACTCGCTGACACGTCCCTACTGGACATCTGTGAAAGAGAGCTTCATAGCTCATCAGATTCCACCTCCAGGATACACGAAGATTCTGATTCTGAACACGATGGATCGCACTGCTCTGCGAGAGATCTCAACGGATACTCCGTCTCAAGATGAGACCCCGATAGAACAGTCTAAGGAGAGGGGCGGGGAAAGGACTCAAACTTAAAAACGCCGTGGTCTTTGGGGCTACTGCCTTGCCTACTCGCGACACATTCCGGATTTTAAGACTCATCTGAAAAATCTGAAAATGAGACTAAATATACCAAATGTGGGATGATCCAAATCAAACCTGTTTTCAATGCTCAGTCACACGACAACACCAACAAGTGGCACCGTTAACACAATATCACATCAGCCTTTTTTGTTTCCCCTGCCAACAGTGGTGTCTCTCGCGGCGTGTCGGCGGGCGACGTCGCCTCTCCGTTAAGACGCGTTCAATCGTCACGCGACGTTCCCAAACTCCGAGCGAGATGCAAATTTGCGAAATGTGTGAAGCTCACCCCCCCCCCCACACCAAAACCTACCTTTGGTCATGTCCTTAAAGGCACCGTAGCAGCAGATCTCATACTCTCGCAGCAGCTGGGACGGGAAAACAAGAGCACAAATGCGCGTCACCGTGTGCCCTCGCCACAGCACAACGGCCCTTCCCTCACCCCGCACCTCCGATTAGCACGGTTGGCTACGTACGGTGCAAAAGAAGTTCAACACACATACATAGCCTCACAAAGAGACCCATAGACTCACACAAAGACCAATAGACTCACAAAGAGACCAATAGACTCACACAGACCCATAGACTCACACAGAGACCCAAAGACTCACAGAGACCCATAGACTCACACAGAGACCAATAGACTCACACAGAGATCCATAGACTCACACAGACCCATAGACTCACACAGAGACCCATAGACTCACACAGAGACCCATGGACTCACGAAGAAACCCATAGACTCACACAGACCCATAGACTCACACAGAGACCCATAGACTCACACAGAGACCCATAGACTCACACAGAGACCCATAGACTCACACAGAGACCCGTAGACTCACACAGACCCATAGACTCACACAGAGACCCGTAGACTCACACAGAGACCCATAGACTCACACAGAGACCCATAGACTCACACAGAGACCAATAGACTCACACAGAGACCCATAGACTCACACAGAGACCCATAGACTCACACAGAGACCAATAGACTCACACAGAGACCCATAGACTCACACAAAGACCAATAGTTTGTTGTCCTTCCCCCGCACGTCCGATTAGCACGGTTGGCTATGTATGGCGTGAAAGAAGTTCACTGTTCATTCAGTACATACACACAACCTCCCCGCACAAAGCTGACAACCACGCGGTACTAGGGTTGATAACCAACACCAACAATCGCCCACTACTGACACACAGGCCGGCGCTGCATTCACCTTGTGCAACACAGGGACAGCTGCCATTAGGGGGGGGGGTCCCTTAGACTGAAACAGAAACTACTCGAGACGCCTGGGCATTGGAATGATTGAGGTGTGATGCGATGCAAGGTGCGATGAAATGCTGCGGCATTACAGTGCCCAACAAATGCTAATTCTTCATGTTAGCGTAAACATCATCCGAGGGGAGGTAAATCATAGCTCGGCTTATCCGTTAAGAGAATAGGGTTAAATTTCGATTTAAAGCTTTCGCGACTGCAGGGATTCATCTTCTTAGTTCTTTCGGTAAAGTCACGTAGAAGGGAAGTAATAAAATAATAAAATAAAACATAATAATACAATTCTCACGACGTTTCGACCACAACGCAAGCAGCCGTCCTCAGGTGAAAACCAGGTTTGTCGGGGAGACGGCGTCTGAATGAAACAGCACACGAGCTTGGAGCATATATATAAGCTGGGTTGGGAGGGGGGGAAAGGGCGCTTCGACAAAATATATATGCTCCAAGCTCGTGTGCTGTTTCATTCAGACGCTGTCTCCCCGACAAACCTGGTTTTCACCTGAGGACGGCTGCTTGCGTTGTGGCCGAAACGTCGTGAGAATTGTATTTTATTATGTTTTATTTTTATTATTTTATTACTTCCCTTCTACGTGACTTTACCGTAAGAACCAAGAAGAAGAATAGGGTTGGTGGTTAGTTTGGGTAACTAGCACGGCTGGGTGTATTTGAGGGATGAGGAAGGTAAGAAGTTCAAGTTGATTTTGTTTCATATTTAAGAGTGACCCGGAGCATTAATCTTGCCAGACTATACCGCGCGTAGAATACGCACGGCTGATTAATGGCGTAACTTTCCAAGCTGGCAAATTTAGATCCCCGACGCCGGCACGCATTCTTGCCTTGCTCTTGCGAATGACGAAGCGGGAGATCTTTAACATCCACTGTGAAGTGGAGGGCGCGTAGTATCACCATGGTCATTATTACACGCCGCAGAAATAATAAGGGGCAGCCGCTGGTTTCCAACTGCGAACCTTTGCAACAAACGGCGAATGCGCTACCGCTAGGCCAGTAGTTCTTTACCTTCACTGCAGCCTTGCACCCCTTTGGTTTTCAATCGTTAAAAAACATGTATAATTTTAGATGTGAAGCTTTCGTGACTGCAAGGATTCATATTCTTAGGTTTTTTCGGTAAAGTCACATAGGTAAAAAATTAAAATTAATAAAAGTAAAATAAAATAAAAATTGACGTTTCGGAGGCAACACAAGCTTCCATCTTCAGGTGGAACCGTCACAGCACGATTGCTGTATCAAGTAAGAATTTTTATTTTATTTTACTTTCATTAATTTAAATTTTTTACCTACGTGACTTTACCGAAAAAACCTAAGAATTTGTATAATTTTAATAAGTACATGGGGTTTGATGAAACAAGTAGTTGGACTTGCGTGCCGTGCTTAATTTGGGTTTCAATGATTTACCTTCGAAAAAAATCTGCCCATCTCTCTCACCCCCAGAAAGGTCATCTTGCACCCCCAGGGGGTACGTGCACCCCAGGTTAAGAACCACTGCGCTAGACCGTGTCACCCGCCCAGGTCCACGCGTGAGGCGAGCTTAAATTCGGACCAGGTACAAGGGCAAGGGTCGGCAAGCTGCAGCTCAGGAGCCGCACGCTGCACTTTACGGACTGCTTTCGTGACGTAACATATGCAGGCATTCACATTGCGGCTTTTAAATTTTTTTTTACCGAATTCGAAAAAAAATTGCTCCTATTGTTATTTTTGGTTGCCAATCCCTGTACTCAGGGTTAGAATCTAGGGCTAGCAGCCACGGCTAGCGGTTGAGGGGCAGAAGCTAGGGTAAGGGCTATGGATAAGGGATAGGTGTCTAAGGTCAGACATCAGGTCCCACCTTCAGGGTTGAAAGCCGTGACCGACGGGGGCCCAGGTGGTCGCGACCATTCACTACGTCGCCCTGAATCTCAAACGGGACCTGCGGGGAATCGCACAGACCAGAGAGCAAAGGGTTATATCATGAAACATCTGTAGACTCTCTGGGTTCCTACGCACTCATAAACACACGAAGAGCAGTGATACATGCTTACATCCATAGACTCATAGTTGTCACAAAAATCCTTCATATAGCCTTAGCCGACTTTTGGGGCAAGTGTTGTTCACGAGCACCTATGAAGGCCGGAACGGCACACGAGGGGGTGGGTGGCCAGCACCATGCCCAGCTGCCTTTGTCTCCCGAGTAGCGATGTTTTTGCACAGTACTAAGTACTCATTTTAGGCTCAGTCGACTGAGGGGAGGCCCAGGACCAGTTCAGAAAATTGTTACTGGTATTGGCCGTAAGCGGGAATCGAACTTGGGTCACCGGATTCATAGCGCAGCACGCTAACTGCTACACTACATTGACAGACACACTACGACGAGCGATACATGCTTATTTCCATAGACTCAAAGTATTCAAACACTCAAAGAAACACTCATAAATAGACAAAGACCAAAGGCTTACACGACAACAACCGCCATTCGCCACTATGCGGCGGTGACGTCAACATGGCGCTTGTGCCAGGCTATATGCACATTCAGGCCACGTGAAGTGTCGAACACCCGCTGTCAGGAAGTCACGGAACAGACCCAGGTGCCATGGGTCAACTGAGATGACTGACCGATGCACCACCTGTGCCTCTTACTGTGCCACACACACACGGCTAGAGCCCCAAGACGAGAGGCCCACACGTCTCTCTATACTCCCAGGGTATTAATAAACACGCACAAGCAAAGGTCAAATATTTTGAACCTTGACCCACAAACACCACATACCCATGCTTATGTATATAGACTCACAGGGTATTCGGAATCTTTCAGTATCATTATTAATCCGGACGGATGAGCTATGAAGCTCTTTTTCAGAGATGTCCCGCACGCGCACACACAGCTGAGCTGCACCAAACGCCCCACACTCACCTCATCCACGACGCAGCCTTGACGCAGACATTCTTCCACCCCTGCAACAGCACGAGAGACGACAGCCTGATGAAGCTAGTTGTAATTACCGGCAAAACGTCGTACTCAGATTGCAAATGTTATGGATTTGCTCTCCAACGTTACCGGCGTGCTGTACTAGTAAGGGATTGGCACGTTCTGTTCACGTGACAAACCTTACTAATTGGCTGCATACTAGGTCGGCAAGATTCAAGTTCAAATCAAGGTCGCGGGTCAACTCAGCCGATCACTCATCCAGGGTGAATCAAATAAGCAGCGGCTCTCCGCGAGCTGTTCAAAATTATGTCCGACGATTCGCTCCCCGTGCTAGGAGCTTCAAGAACTCGGAGCGGAACGTCGGACATCGTGCTGGAAAAACACGTGGCACGACCCAAAAAAGCATCGAAGCTCCGTATGGCATAACCGCAAAAACCAAGGCAGACAGAGGTAACACATTCTCCAGATCATAAGACACACTTTTTTCTCTGTAATAAAAAAAAGTTAGGAGTGTCACTTACAATCTGGTGCGTGTGTGCGACTTGATTTGTAACAACTTTAAAGACACCGGGCACAGGTTTTGGTGCGCGTCTTACTTCTCCAGAGCATTTTATAATCCAGAGAAACCAGCACCACTTGGTGGAATATTCGTCCGTGCCATAATGGTCAACATGACAAGAATGGCTCCTGCCATGTTAATGTGGAGTTTTTACCACTGGCTGAGGGCCGCCAATTGAGACAAGAGCTCGTTTGAGAATGGATAAACTTTAGTCTCGACTCTGACTGGACGAGATGTGAGCTATGGCACGGGCAAACATTGGCGCAAACATTGGCGCACACTTGCCAATTGCTTTTCCACCACCCTGCGATTTAGGCACTAAGTCTGGCTGAACAACAACACTCCTCTCTCGCGAGGTCAGGGACCCATGGTCAAGATTTCAGAGCGCGTGGAGGGGTCATAGGTGAGGCGGCGTGCTTGCTTACAAGAGAAGGTGAGGACCCAGCAATGTCCTGCGTTGCCCAGAAAATACTTCAACGTGCGCTCGCAAACCAGGCTGCCACCTAGCGACGAGGACAAGAACGCAGCTTTCACTGTGGCGCCTGAACACACATGGTGATCCAACACAATCACACACCGTCATACAAACGCAATCGCACACGATCAGATAATCACAACGACAACAACAACGACCGTCTGCCACCGAGTGGCAGGTGGTGACGTCACCACAATCACACACTGTCAAACAAACGCAATCGCAACACTGTCACAGAATAACAATCACACACTCTTGATACAAACACAAAGATCCCTGCAGCCACAAGAGGCGCTACAATGCAGCACGATGTTGAAAAAGAACCGCTTCTTGAAGCGAATTGCAGTCCCGAATCTTGGGTTGATGGATAACACCAATTGACCAAACTCCCTCCCCCCCTACCCATGTGCGTGAAGGTCACCATATCTCCCGGCTTGCCAGGGTACGATGGCGGCAGAGCAAGCGGATGCATTTCCGGTGGATTGAGCACGTGTGGGTCTTCTCCGGCCACTCGGTTTCCTCCCACATGCATAAAGCGAATCATCGATGAAGGTGACCAAACGTCCCAATGTAGGACCAAAGAACTTGGACAAACGTTGGCACCGGTTCTGGTTGGTTTCCCCCTCGTCTCGGGTTTCCCGCGCCTATGAACCATCCTCTCCCTCTTCTTTCTCGGGGCGAATGAAAACTGTGCACGTCGCCAATTCTAAATAGTTCACCGTTTACATTATGAGACAATTCGTCTAAATCCCGAGTGAGCGGAGCGAGCCGTTACAGCTTTACCCAACGGTGGCCAGAGAATGGCTGGCGGGCGGTGAGCCGTGTGTGCGTGGTGCGGGAGGGGGGCCTGTCGAAGGCTGGCACCTGTCTGCATGAGCACGTGAGTCGTTTCAGGAGAGAAGTGCGACTGGAAGGAACCGCCGGTCTTATGCACAAACTGCTTGACCACCAGCTGTTGGACAAAGACACACACACACACTATTTACTATTTAAACATGTTTTTTTTATTTTAGCAGCTAAGGCCCGCTGGAGCTATGTCGCTCTTTTTCAGAAGCGACCAAATTATAGCTCAATGAAGTGGCATATCATGCGGTAATTTACAGGAGCCAAATAAACCTAAACGCACGTCGATTCTAAACGTGGAGGTAAAAACCGGAGGACACGGAGAGAAATCCACGCGACCACTGGGAGAACATGCAAAATCCAAATATACAGGCGTCGGGGTCCTTGTTGGAACCCACAACCTCCTGTATATCAGGGAAAGTACTTAACATCTCTCCACCGTAGAGAGTTTAAAATAAGGAACAACAATCTGGCTTCTGGCGTAGCTAGATTGTGCGAAAAGTGAAGCTTGGATATCGAGGTGTTGCGAGCCATGCAATCAGCATCAGGTGGTGGTGTCGTTGGCACATTCGAGGTCTGCTGAAGTGTCGCTTCGGGCAAGAGTTGACGACGATCTCACGTAATGACGTCATGAGGTGAGAAGAGACACACGCATGACATCATCTTGCGACATCGCGCGTTACGACATCATCATCATCACCATCATCATCGCCTTGGCTGACAAGGCTTACGTTGTCAATTCGGACGGTTTCCAGTACAGGGCGAGTCCCTACGAACAACACGTTACACTAAAATGTTGTTTATATTGGATCATCATTTAGGAAAGATATCGTGACCCCTGTTACAGGCAGAGAGACACGGACAGAGAGATTAAAATAATGCGCCATTTGTAGCCGCACAAAGAGATGACGCAATAGCGCATGACGCGACACGTCATGCGCTATGGCGACAACACTTTGAAACTTAGTTGGAATGCGTTGATATTAAATTTAAAGTCAAGAGGTGAGGCAGGAAGAGATGTAGCAAGAGAGCTACTGCAACCAAAGGTTATATACGTTTGTGGTGGGTACAACCCAAGGGTAAGATCGGAGAGCTCGTCAAGATCAAATTATAGAATTTAACTGGAGTTAAATACTGGACCAACGTGTTTTGGCTCAACTCTAAGAATTAAACAAGTATAACCCGTAAAAACAAGTTTTTCACTATAAATCCTTTATATGCGTGGCGGCTAGAGTCCTCTCGTCCTCTGGCTTGAGATGGCTGCCACCTATGGGTCAGATGATTGCATTGCACCATTAAGCAATTGGTAATTAAATATATTTTTGTCCTAAAAAGTGTAAAATTTTGAAAAATAATTTTCACAAACATTAATTGTCACGCACAACGAGTCTGTGTGCAAAATGTCAGCTCGATTGGATCATGGGAAGTGGGTTAAAAAACGACCGAAAGATTTGCACGGTCGTAAGCAAGCAAGCAGGTGAACTTAATATAAAGGATTTAAAAAGAGGGTTGAGCCATCAGTAGAGGAGGGCTTAGCGTTAGGGGGGCTGCTCAGCCACCCTCACGACATGGCGCTGACTCACCGCATCCTGCTTGCTCAGCCCGGACGCGACGAGGCACAAGCGCCGAGGATTCCCGCTGGATTCTTCCGCGCTGCTGACGCCAACGAGCCTCTCCGCACGGTGAGCGACACCGGGAAAAGTAACGCTACCGCTGCCGCCTGAGGCAGCAGTGTCTACGTAGCACCGGGCGTTCGAGAGCGTGTCGGAGCGCTCGGTCTCCCACGACGAGGAGGCGGCTGCCCGACTGCGACCGCCGTGTCCTGCAGATCCACGGTCGACGGCGCCGGCCAATTCGCCGCCGCCGTTTCCGTCATCCCGGTGCAAGGTCTGGGCGGCCGTCCGTCCGCGCGAGCCGACTTTCCACCGAGGGCAAAGCGAGGGAGGTGTGGGAGGTGAGGGAGGTAAGGGGAGGCAGTCGTCTTGGTCCTCCTCCAGAGCGGCCTCCAGAGCGGCGATCTCGTCCCCCATCTCGTGCAGGTTCCGCATCAGCTCCTGCTTCATCTGCAGCGGGAGGAGACGGGAAGGAACGGGTTTGGAGGCAGCGTTAGTTTAGCGAGACTTTATATTTTACTTTTGTCGTAGTCTTAATCTAGTCGACAACAACACGTGGCGTTTTGAGTCGAATCTTAGTTGTGTGGATTTCATGTACGGGCAGTCCCCCTGACTGACCAACGGGTTCCATTCCTGAGACCCGTTTGTAAGTCGAACGGTTCGCAAGTCGGAACACAATAACGTACCGTATTTAAATGCACATACACGGTGAGCGTTATAAAATGTGTTACGGTTCAACAAAAAAGGGAAGCATTGTTCAAATCACAAAGGAGAAGAGATTTGTAAATTAGTTAATTTTCTGAACCAAAATAGTTGCCGCGGCTCAGTTCTCAAGTGCATGTTCGCGAGTCGGATGGTTAAAGATATAAATATGATGGAAGCTCCATTGGGACCTCATTTGCCAGTAGAAAAATATAATATTTTTTTTTACCCTTTATCTGGCAACAAAACTAACACCTTTTTTTGTCTCAATGGTGTAAATGCTTACCCCGAGCTCTCATACTCTGATGGTGCATTGTCTTTGAGTTGTGTGCCTTTTGGCGTCATCTGGTCCAACACCAATGGAGACTAGGCTCTAAGGAAAGCTGTCTCGGGTGTGGACCAATCAATTTCAAGGACAGTGCATACATTATCAGAGTTATGTTTTTTGTTTGCATTCCGACTGCAGGTATTGTGGTCTATGCAAACATGACTTCTTGAAAAAAGGTGTCAGTTTTGTTGCCAGATAGAAGGGTAAAAAACAATTATCATGATGGAAGCTCGTTCGTAAGTGCGGATGTTCGCAAGTCAGCGACTGCCTGTCGTTATTTTTTCCAAATCTGGTCAACTAAAGCAGTCAGCCAGTCAATGAAGTGAGTAAGTCTTGTTAGAAACATTTATAGCCAATTACCTTTACTTTTTTTGGCCATTCTCAGTATACCGGTGGTGTTTAATTTAGCAAGAAAATATTCTCAGTCTGTGTTCTCATGCACGGATGTGCAAAAGAAACGTTGTGTGAAGTGATTATAGACTGGCGCAGGCGTCCGTGGCGACATCACCGCCACTCTGCGGCAAATGGCGGGTAGTGTATTGTATGGATGATAATGGATAGGCGTACCTTGCACTCTGGCAGTAGTGCCTTATGCCGGTAATAATAATGATGACAAATTGTCATGCACACAAATCCCACAAACCGGGCCGAAGTTCGCACGTATGACTTGGCGTTCTGGAAAATGTGTAAGTGAGAATTGATCTCCGGGTGCGTGAAAGCGCTCTTCTTGGTGTACTGCCGCAGCACCAGCCCTGCCATTTGAGGCGAGGCTTATTGTAGGCTGAGTCAACCTAGGTGGCGGGACCAAGCCACGTGGCTAGGACTCACCTCGGAGTCAACGTCCTGAGATGTCCAGATGACGGTCGACTCGCTCTCGTTCTCCAAAATGCCGTCTGACTCGCACACGAACGCACGAGCAAACACAAAGATCCCACGTGTAACCGAGCACAGACCGTTGGGGCAAGTGTTGTTAGCGAGCACCTATTAAGGCTAGATTTAAAGCTTTCGTGACTGTAAGGATTCATACTTTTAGGTTTTTTCGGTAAAGGCACGTAGGTAAAAAATAATAATAGAATAATAATACATGGAAAAATAACTAAATTAAATCACGACGTTTCAGAGGCAACACAAGTCTCCGTCTTCAGGTGGGACCGTCACAGCTAGATTTACTTATTGATACAGTAAATTTAGCTGTGACGGTCCCACCTGACGACAGCGGGCACTAGTTTTGGGGTGCGTGTTATTTTTCAGAGGTTTTAGCATCCAAAGAATATACGGTCATCTCAAACTATGAAAGCTCAAATAATAATAATAAATCCTTGCCTCTCCTTGACCTTGGCTCTGCTGCGTTGTTGCCCTCCCCACCTGACTCAGGATCACCGTTCAAAGGTCGCCGACGACCGGCAGAGGTCGTCAACCCCGTGGCCTCTGCGACCTCCGCGCGCCCCTCGGCGCCGTCTCGATCGCCAGGGCTGCTTGGCCCATGCCGGCCCCACACGGAGCCCTCCGACTCAAACAGATCCATGGACGCAGTCGAGCATTGACTGAGCGGAGGGGACGACGCGGGGAGGGTGCTGCCCGTGGGGGGGGACGTGCGGGGTCCTCCTTTGTCACGCGGGCTCGCCAACATGCCCCCCTGCTGCTGCCACTTCACCTTTACACCAAGGCTGGGCAGCTTCACCTCGCAGTCGCTGTCCGACGATGACGATGATACAATGACTCTAATCCGCCGCCGCCGCCGCCACCGCTTCCGATCTCGCGCAGCAGCTACGTGCGGCGAGTTGCTCACGGCCGCGACCGCCAAGTCACTGACACCGATGTCAACAGCTATGGACGGCGAGCTGTTGACCGCTTTCACCTCCGGCTGTCCGCGAGATGCAGTGAGCGACCGCCGCTGCCCAAGACCCGCACCCGTGCCGCTGCCAGCCAGCATATCGGACTGACCGCAGGTTAGCAGCTGCGAGCTGCCGATTACTTTCTTCGGCTGGCTGTCGGCCATTGTCGAGATGGACGGTCGACCACTGGAATCTTCCTGGCTGCTGGTGATTGCGCTGGTATGGCTACGCGCAGCCAACGAACCGGGCCGACGGTCGGTTGTATTTCGCTGGGTGGGCATGATGATGTCAGGAGTGCTGTCTGTGCCACTCGGACTAAGCATCGCATCACTGGCCGGAATCGGGAGGGACAGCGCCTTTCCGTGCTGAAGTTGGAGCGTGTCGGTTGACTCGTCGCCACTGCCGGCGCCCCCCCGAAGTGTGTCGTCTCGGCCGGGCGACGGTGGGGATGAGCGCCAGGAGGAGCCAGAGCGTCGCGCGCATCTGCCGGCACGGGTTCTCTTCGTCAGCCGGTTACCGTGGACGATTTCATCAGCGCTAAGTGATGGCAAGCTTGCCAGGTGAGCGTTGTTCTGGCTAGCAACAGGTTTGTGACTGTTGGTTTGTTCATGACCGGTCAAGTGAATGCTGGTTTTAATATCACTGGTCTGAGAAGTGCTGATTGGGTTGTCACTAATTTGGTGAATGATGGTTTGGTTATCACCACTCTGGTAAGTGCTGGTTTGGCTATCACTAGTTTGATTATCACTGGCCGAGTGAGTGATGGTTTGATTAACATCAGTCTGCTGATTACTAGTTTGGTTATCACCAGTCTGGCGACAAATGGTTTGGTGATCTCCAGTTTGATTATCACCGGTTGGGTTAGTGATGGTTTGGTTATCACCAGTTTGGAGAGAGATGATTTGGTGCTTGCCAGTCTGGTGAATGGTAGTTTGGTTATCTCCAGTTCGATCATCACCGTTTGGGGGAATAATAGTTTGGTTATCACCAGTCTGACGAGAGATGGTTTGTTTTTCATCAGCTCCGCGAGTCTCGGCTTGGTTACCACCGCCCCGGTGGGTGCTGGTCTGGTGCTCTCCCGTCCGGTGGGTCTCGGATTGGTGAGAGGCGCCGGGACTCACCAAGCGGAACGAGCGTCTCTTGGAGGGCAGGAAAGAGAGGAGTGCCACCTGGGTGTCCACCTCGCTATCCTCCATGCTCACCACGCCATCCTCCACGCTCCCCATGCCCTTACTTACATCTTTCACCTCACGTGGAACATTTGCAGCTTCGTTTAGCTGCTGCTGCTGCTGCAACTGCAAGTCTAGGTCATTGCCCATTGATTCTTGCCGAGGGATCAATGTAGTCGCAATTGGCTCCTGGTGCTGAGGCAATGAATCAGGCATTGGTTCCTGTTGTGCGCTTAAATCAGGTGGTGTTAGTTCCTGATGCGTGTTTAATTTATATTGCATTAGGTCCCGTTGTGGGCATAACTCATCTTGCGTTCGCTCCTGCTGCCGGTTTAACTTGTACGGTGTTGTTTCCTGGTGCGTGTCGAACTTATCTTGCGTTCGTACCTCCTGGGGGTCGAAATTATCTTGCTTTGATTCCAGCTGCAAGTCTGACTTATTTAGAGTTGGTTCCTGCTGCAAATTTAACATGCTGCGCGTCAGCCCCTTCTGCACCTGCGATGCAATGGAAACGTCCACCAGCGACAAGGCCTCGCCAGCACCTGTCGCTCTCTCCTCCGTCCCCGAGCGCTCTAGCCGAGGGTGCAGCAGCGACTGGCTGTTCTCGACCACACTGCCATTGCTGCCGCTTGCCTCTTCCGGGCCACCTCTTCGCTCCACAAGAGTTTCCGCCGGGGTCAGTGTCACCGCCATCACCCCCGCGCAATCGCCGCCATGTTCTCGGCCGCCCTCCGAGACCCTGCCGTCTTGCTCCGCACCTTCCTCCGGCAGCACCAGCAGGCCATCCGGCGTGTCGTTCGGCGAGACCTCGGCACCGCAACAGTCAGCGTCCTTGCTGCCCGGCTTGTGCTCTGGTTCGGTGGTGGCGGTTCCATGGAGAGCGTGGCGGGCGCGGTGAGCTTCTTGCGGGGAAGCCACGGTCGACCCCGCGGTAACCGCGCTGGGGGGCATCCTCTCTAGGCAGACGTCGCACCTCCTCGCCGGCGCCGGTGCCGTGACGACACCAGCACCGGCAGCACCGGCAGCACCGGCAGCAACGAGGAGGAGAGGCGCGGGCGTGCACGGTGTCTCTGGCACGACCGACGGGGAGCCATGGCACTTGTGGTCACACAGCCACGCCAATTTCTGGCCCGGCGAAACGCTCCGGTTCTTGTGCAGGCCACCTGCACCGTCGTCGGCGACCTCGGCGGATGGAGGAGTCACTCGCGGGTGAGCGAGACCCTCGTCGTTGTCTGCCAGCCGCACGTCCTTCCCTAGAATCCCCAGCGAGCGGCGGCGCTTGTTGGCCTGCAGCGGGGAGTTCCGCCGGGCGTCCTCGCTGCTGCTGAAGCTCTCGATGGTGGCCGGCACCCAGCTGACATGGCTTGGGCCACCAATCTGCAGCTCCAAACGGCGCCGGCTCTTGCTGCCGTCCCCCACTGAGTGATACCGGTGAGCCTTAGCGGCCAAACGCTTCTGTGCCGACGTGCTTTTTCTGAGCGGTCGTGGCTGCTGCTGCTGTGGCTGCAGCGGCGTCTCGTTCACTGCCTGCTGCAGGGGAGAAGTGTTTATATCCTGTGGTAGGGATGGGCCGTTCTCTCCTCCCTGCTTAGGAGATGCATCTGGCTGAAGGGCAAAACCATTCTCTCTTTGCTGTAGGGGTACCCCATTATTCCCCCTTTGTTCTTGGGGCAAACCATTATTCCCTTGGTGCGGGGGAGCTTCATTCTTCGTGTGAGAGGATGCTTCATTTTTAAGTTTTCGCCTTTTGGGTCTTGTCGTGCCTCCCCGCATGCCGCCATCCTCACGGACAGCGTGCACGGAGCCGGTGGTCAACGCTACGGCGCTTGGAGGTTCCCTCCGTATGAAGTCCTCCGGAGACAGCTCCGTGGATCGGCGAGGCCGGCGCTTCCCCACAGCCTTGCCGGTGCTCGGAGGGCGCGTGCTCGCCGCAACCTGGCTCATCTCCGCCACGATGGTATCGTCAGGCGCGCCAGCAGTACCAACCACATGAACAACGCCACCAGAACCACCAGCACCATCAACAGCGACGTCTATAGAAGCACAGACTGGTGCCGAAGCCCCACGACTGCGCTTTGCCGCCCGTACCCGTGCCCGCGGTAGCAGCTTGTGCTGTCGGCCGTAGCGCTTGCCGAAAAGCCGGTCCCCGGGGTTCATAGTCAGCAGTGGCTTCTCCAGCTCCATCAATGGCACATCCACCGGCTCCGGGGACACCTCCATTGAATGATCCTCCAGTAGTGTCGTGCGCTCTGAGCCTCCAGAGATGCTGCCTGCAGCGCCATCACCGCCACCATCAGCCATGTCACCACCACCACCGCCATCCTCATCGTCGTCTTCATCAGCGCCGTCCACATGGTCTGTAGACGCGGATTTGGGTTCACCAGCAACATCCTATCTTCTGCAGCCACTCCTTCACCTTCCGGATGCCTATGCGCTTCGATTTCTTGGCTGGTGGCGCCGCGACTTTGACCTCTTCGGTGACTTCGCCATTCACAGTTGCCAGTGCCGGTGAGCTTGCATCATCTTGTCGAGCCATGGCAGCCGCGTTCCCCGACGGTGCGGCAGAACCGGACGAGGGTTTCATGTTGGGATTGGCGTCGCCAGCGACGCTCGTCGAGTCACGTGACCACTCGCCAGCGAGTGGGGGCGGCGCTGATGGCGCTTCACCCCTTTTCCGTGCGCTGTCACTCGTCGTGTCCCCACCAAGCTGCGCTCGAGATCGCCGGAACGATGAACTGCACGCATAGACGAGCGGGCGATATCATTACTAAACTAACTCAATTATTTATATTTTACCAGGTATGGCTCACTGAGCTATGTAGCTCTTTTTCAGAGGCGACCTTATATTTATCGTGGCCAAATACTCTAAATGCACGTTTCTAAATGTGGAAGGAAAAAGAGCAGGACCCGGAGGAAAAAGCCACGCGACCACGAGGAGAACATGCAAACTCAGGGTCGGGATCAAACTCACAACCTCCTGTATACCAGGCGAGGTTGTTAACATCTCACCACCACGGCTCCCCATCATGATGTTATCATCCAGATTTTATCAAGGCCAAAAGCATTGATGCCACCACACCTTGCCAATTCTTGCTTAATGTTTAGCAACGCCAACGATACAAGCAGCAGCCTGACGATTCTCAAACCAATTTACTATTCTGGCAAATCGCCCGATGATGCTGGATGTAATTACCAGCGAAACGTCGTACTCAAATTGTAAATGTTGTGGATTTACTCTCCAACACACCGGTGGACTGAAGTAGTAACAAATGGGCGCGTTTTGTTTACGTGACAAACCTTACTGGCCGTGGTCGGGTGGTTGGAGGGTTAACACACATTTATACTTACGCGATTTAACCCAAAAACCTTTATTATTAACAATTTACCATGTAATTATATGAGAGGGTGGGTAGCCAACACCATGCCCGGCCACCTTAATCTCTCCAGTAATTGTGTTTACACACTGCACCAGCCACTCATTTAAGGCCAAATTGACTTAGGATAAGCCCAGAACCAGTTCAAATGTTTCCCACTGTTATTTGTCGAAAGCGGGAATCGAACTTAGGTTGCCGGGTTCAAAGCGCAGTACCCTAACCACTACACTACCGCTTCCGCTCGTGTACACACACACACATACTGCATCAGAAGAACACAACTTACCTGTACAGTAAAACCTTGGATTGCGAGCATAATTCGTTCCGGAAACGTGCTTGTAATCCAAAGTACTCGTATATCAGTTGTGATCACGTGATGCTCGGCAGACAAAGCGTACACATACTACTTGTATTGCAAGACCTCACTCGTTTATCAAGTTAATATTTATTTAAAAAATTTGCTCGTCTTGCAAAACACTCGCAGACCAAGTTACTCACAATCCAAGGTTTTACTGTACATTCCTGCAAAATGTTCACTCACTAAGCCCTTACCTCTTCAACCCATCCTCTGCAGCAACAGCAATGATCCAAGGCTCACCATCATCCGACAACGAGTCCAGGTCTGGAACACAACAAACGACAATCATCTTCTTGGTTCTTTAACATTCCTTTCCTTTGTTAATGCTACCCCCCTTCCCCCTCCCTTTGATGCTGCTAATCCTGCATAATGCACGGGCATAATATTAATTTGAAACCCCCCCCCGCCCACCTCCTACGCATTTTCCATATGCTAAATTCCTCTTGATATGCAAATTATTTTGTCAAGGTGCTCTTCTTCCCACCTCCCCCCCTCCAACCCAGCTTAAATATACGCCCCAAGCTTGGTGGTGTTTCATTCTTCACCTGAGGATGGCTGCTTGCGTTGTGGCCGAAACGTCGTGAGAATTATTTTATTATGTTTTATTTTTATTATTTTATTACTTCCCTTCTACGTGACTTTACCGAAAGAACCAAGAAGATGAATCCCTGCAGTCACGAAAGCTTTAAATCGAAACGACAATCAATCGGAACGAGAGGCGGGGGTACTGCAGGGATGTAACGGTTAACGCAAGGTTAAGGAGACTATAAGCGTGAACGCTACGCCGTCATATGCATAACGTGCGAGCCGAGAGTAGCCTCCCCTCATATGTGTGCTGAACTTCTTTCGCACCGTACGTAGCCAACCATATTAATCGGGAGGTTGCGGGGGAAGGAAAACAAATTAAAGGCCAAAAGCAGTTCTAAAGAAACGAGTTTTTCAATCGAGATGATTTAAGAGTACATAGCTCCCTTGGCTTCCTAATATCAGAAGGAAGACCGCTCCAGACGGCCGCAGAATCGCATATGAAAGCGCGCCATGCGGTGGACCATCTTTGTTCGAAGGTTAGCCAAAAGCTGCTGCGAGGATGACCGGAGTTCAAGTGATGGTTGATGCTCCTTGATGAGATCAGCAAAGTGTCGTGGTTAATTTGTGGCAAGGACTTTGTGTGTAATCACTGCGACCTTACGTGTTCGTTTGGCAACCAGAAGCCAACGCAGCTCAGCGAGCACCGGACGGACATGGTCAGATCTTGCAGTATATAGTGTACAGTAGGTATCGACTGTTATTCAAATCTCTAAAGACGCAAGGATGAAAACTCATTCCCTTCTGCAGGCAGTGGCATAAACATGTAATTGTAGGTCTACACTTTTTACCATTTACCATGATAAAGGCATATGAAAAAGTTAAAGAACTGGCCGACAATGTTGTGTGTTGTGTTGTAATGCAGTGCATTGTGATGCTGTACAGTGCAGTGCATTGTGATGCTGTGCAGTGCGCGGTGCAGTGCAATATGGTGCGGTGCTATGTGATGCGTAGCAGCGTGATGCAGTTTCCAATGTGGTGTGGTAAATTCTGCTGTGCAATATGCATTGGGGTCCAATGCAGTACAGTGCAGGGTGCAGTGCAGTGTAGTGTGGGTGCAGGGCGCCATGCAATGCATTCCACTGCGGCGTGAGATGCCATGTGGTGCAATGCATGATGGTGCATTGCAGCCCAGTGCAGTTCATTGCGGCGCAGTGCGGTATCACACACCTAACTCTACGTAGCTCAGCTGAGCCCTCTGTCTCTTCGGGCGGGAGGAGACAGTTTCTAAAAGACTGCTGGCGCCAGCGCGAGACTGATCCAGCGTACGCGGGCGTCTGGAGCCGCGCGGACGCCTGTTGAGCTCCGAGGACCCCCACACCGACACCTCCGGTGGCCCAGGCGCTGCAGTGACTGGTGACATGAGGAATTTGAAACGTTTTTTTTCTTTGACCGGACGATGGCGAAGATTAACGACTTTTACTCTCGCTCGCGATACCACGCATCCACTCGTGCGTGTGAAAATCATCTGCAATACCATGTGCCAGCAACATCTTATAACTTTTAAAAGATACTAGTAGGTAACTATTCATGTGCTAATACAAACGAAGTGGTCATCTGAAAACATTTTTTATAATATATTTTTATCAGGCTCCCAACTCTTATTATCCACCATATCCCTCTGACCTATGTGCTATGAAGAAGGGTCATGCCCCGAAACTTCCGCTATATTTTTATTTATTTTAAGTGCACAGTGTTGACAAATATATTTAGTTATTTTACTGGTAGGAACCTCCTGGTTACACCAGTCCACAGGGGATTATTGTGTCCGTCGTGCAGGGAGGGGCTGGGTGGGGAGGGAGGGGCTGGGTGGAGAGGGGAGGGTGGGGAGGGGCTGGGTGGGGAGGGGCTGGGTGGGGGGTGGGAGGGGTGGTGCTAGGTGGGGAGGGGCTGGTCACCCCGTGGTGCCCTTATAAAACTCAACGTTTAACCTACTCACGCCGGCTTGTGCCCGCCCTCAGTCGGACATATTTGCGGAATACACCACGCCGCCGTTGACCCTGGCCATTGACCGAGTAACCCAACGTTCCTACCAGCTCCCTCCGCAGGAATGTGTTTTTTTACAACAAGGACGGTAACATTTTTGTTTTTGAGTGGCGTCTCGTCAAAAATTCGAAGCGATTTTCTGCTCATATGAGCAATGAGGTGGTGGCTCCGCTCCTGTTTACAGTCCTGAGCCGGCGGTTGAAATAATACATTTACATGGCGGGGCCGGGTCTATCCATAGGACAACCACTCGTTTTATCAAATCACTCGGGACAAAGGGCCGAGTTAACCCCCAAAACAGGATTTGAACTCTCAACCTTCCCATTACAATTATGAAGCTGACATGATTTTCGTTTGACTTTTTTTTTTACTTTGACTTTTCCATGTGGTATGTGCGTAGCCAGCACCAAGCAGATGACACGGCCGAGTGGTATCGTCTTCACCGTTTGTTGCAGAGGTTCGTGGTTTACATCCATCAGCCACCCCGGTTAACGGCGGACATTAAAGATCCCATGTCGTTATTCAAACGAAAGTCGGACGTGTGGTTTATTTGGTCACGGTACAAATTTGCTCTTAAATTAATTAACTAACAAAAGCCAAAAAGCAACATTGCCCTCCGCTACAGGCAGAAAAACCTGTGCTGCACAGGGAAGTTGCCACTGGGGGTTCCATGCGTCAAGGTGCCACGAAACATACTGCATGGCAGGTGCGGTATACATAACAAGTGATGATGATGGGGTGGTGTGCGGGGAGATAAACTCACATTGGAGGCCTGTGTCCTCCTGAAACGCCTGCATCGTACGCTGCACCCCAGCCACAATCTGCTTAAACATGGGGTTCTCCCGCAAGCTCCTTGAATTGGGGTGTGGGGGAGGGGCGGTCGGCACAGGCAGACATTATCTCATTCGTCAATCGGACAGCGGACGAGCAAGCCGGTGAATGAGGTCGGAGAGCAGGTGGTAGAGCGGGTAGGCAAAACGGGTGATGGTGACGGTGTCTGTGGCGATGGGAGTGGCGATGGGTGGAAAAGAATAGTCTTTCACGTGGCTGAAGTTGATCGGCAACGTTTACACGTTTGCGTCGAGGTTGGCGAGTGAGCCAGGTGACGGCTTCAGGAGTATCCTCATGGTGAAGATCTGAAATTCTGCCGAACAATGATTGACGCGGGCACTGGTGGTTAATATGCGGTGCACGGTTTGAGATGGGTTACCGTGGCTTTACTCTGGGCTAGTCTTATGTATCCATCGGTGTAGGAGATAGCCACAGCTGCCAAGTGAGGGGTCCATAACATCAGTGGTGAATATATAAACTGGTCCTATTCTAGGTCTTACAATGAGAATATGGTGTGGTGTGTATACATCAGTAATGGGAAGACCAAGGCAGCCGATTGCGGTGCAAATTATGTAACATATGCAGGGGTAGGCCTCAGGCACCTCCGATTATCACGGTTGGCTACGTATGGTGCGAAAGAAGGTCAACAAACATACACCGCACCTCTGATGAGCACGGTTGGCTATGTACGGTGCGAAAGAAGTTCAACATACATACGTACAACAGGATGTTTTACACTCATTGTGCAGCAGACGGCGTGTAGTATTTTTCTGGTTAGTACACCGGCAATATTCATCACAGCCCTTGCCAGATTCGAACTGTGAACCTCTGCAACAAGCGTAAAATGCGCGACTGCCAGACCACGATCGTGTAATGGCACAATGGTGTATTTATTCTGAACTTCTTTCACACCGTACGTAGCCAACCGTGCTAAATGGAGGTGCGGGGGAAGGACAACAGAAATTGCGCTTCGTGTGATGGGTGTCCGCGTAAAGTTGCACGCAGCTGCTGCGAGTGGCCTACAGCTTCTGCACGTGCACAGTCGCCTAACAGTTTGTAGTTTTGATACGCCTTTCCGCAAGATGTTAATTCAAAACTGTTCACTGTCGAACGTAAGCATTACATAACCTGGCGTGACGACAGTGACCGACAGGGTGAGCGAGCAGGCGAGCGGGTGAACGAGCAATCAAGTGGATAGGCGGGCAAACAGATGGGGTGGGTGAGTGGCTGAGCGAACAGGGGAGCAGCCTCGTGAGCCGGCGGGTGGGTGAGCACGTACCTCCGGGTGACTGTTTCCTTGCACATCGGGCACAGTGCAGGACCTTTGCTTTTTTCCAACAGCTCCAGAATGCAGAAGCTGCAGGCACAGGGAACGGGGAGGAAACCCATGTTCAGCTTACGTGGGTGTGTTCCAAATACTCATAACATAATTGGATAAATCGAGAGCGTTGTGGAAAAATTTGATATCCCACGTGCGTGTGAGAGCCACAAACATGGTGACCCGAGTACGATTCCCACTCACAGCCACCACCACCAGTGACAATTATCTGAATCGTGCCTGGGCCTCCTCTAGGTAGCCTCAAATGAGTACCGGGTGCAGTGTGTAAACATCGCCACTGGGTGGTGCTGGCCACCCTCCTCCTTGTGTGCCGTGCCGGCCTTCACATGTGCTCGCTAACAGCACTTGCCCCAACAGTCTGTTCAGGCTGTACAGGGATCTTTGTCTTTATATTGTATAAAACATGCTAGTTTAATTGGAACACTTAACAATGTGCTCTTCATAGTTTTTTTATTGTATCATCTGCGCCACAAAGGCTGCGAAATTAACTTAACAAATCATGTTGACCACCCATTTAATCCGCCTAATCTCTACCATTGGCAAGCTGTGGTCGCTGGTTTGTGGCCAGAGCCGCCGTTTATCCTCAACTCCCTGGCTCACCGGCAAAATTGGTGATCGCACTTGGTTGAGATGGGCTCCTTCATGATGTCCAGGCTGCCGAAAAGCCAAACGTCATACAGTGAAAATTTTTTCGAAAACACCCTCGTGAGACACGTGCGTTTCATAGAACGAGTTGTTAAACGTTTGATGTTAAACTCGCGTCATACTTTTGTTAAAGTTTACATTACCAATGAGACTCTATGTCCAGACCATTTTCTAGAGACCTCGGCAAAGGCAGGTCTGTCAGTACATTATTGTCTAGAGACCACGTCGGAGATGGGTCTGCCATTCTATCATTGTCTAGAGTCCCCAATGCAGACCAGTCTGCCGGTCTACTATTATCCAGACACCCCCATCAAAGACCAGTTTGTCTGCATCATTGTGAGGAGACCAGAGTAGAGACTGGTGTGTGTGTGTGTGTCCGCTCACCAGATGGGGCACTCCAGCGTCTGCTCCATCAGGGTTAGCACCTGCCGCACACGCAGAATGCGCGCCTCCATGCCGGCGGTTCACCGTCTCGTCCGTGCTACCGCTCACCTTGCCCACGCTGGCACGGCTTCGCACGATCACCGGTCACTCACCAGTCACTCACCGGATGGCCTAACGCATCCAGTGGCCGGTGTCAGTGGCGCACCCGGCTAAAAAAAAATGTCAAGAGGGGGAAAAAATAATTGAGATTTTTTTAATTGCATATTAATAACATTTTCACTATTTTCTGGTTAGCGCACTCTGCTATAAACTCAACGATTCGAGTTTGATGCCCGGCCGTGGCAAACATCAGTGGCAAGAAATATAAGAACAGGTCCTGCCCCAATCTTCACCAACCAGCACTGACCAATGTGAAGCATGGTAAAGAAAACCCATGACCAACATGGCATGGGGAAACCTAAATCCATTAGAGGATTGAGAGTCGTTGGAATTATATTTATTATACGAGATATATCTAAAATTAGTTACAATTTTATACCTCCAATTATTTCTATATCATCACAATTTTAGACACACTAATAGAGTACAGTACTAAAAGGGGGCTATTTTCAACCTGGCAACACAGAGTTTCTAATCTTGACACACTCAGTCACCTGAAAACGTGAACCATCATCATTTTTCGCATTATTATTAGATAAAACCAATGCGTGTATTAATGTGTAGTTTCCCACCAAAAGCATTTGGAAGTCCTACTTAGCCCTCAGCAAGGAAAAGGTTCACAAATCATGCTTTACACCACCTCTCACCAATTCCCCAGTTTCCCATGCGCCAGCTCTTGAGTGAAACTTCCTACCACAAGGCTGACCACAGTTTCCGTCATAATAACGTATAACAATAACAGACATTTTAAAATATAAATTAACAGTTGTTTTTCAACTTTACACACTCTACCTCTCCCCTCTCATTTCAGTCTAATCCCCTCCTCCCATCACTCTCCTACCTCTCCTGTCCCATTTCATTACTCTTCTCCGTGCACTCTCCACTCCAGTAACTAAGCCTTCTATTGAATTCCCAGTCTACCTTCACCCAGTGGGAGGTCGCCCATTCCCCTCTGCTACCCTCCCCTTCCACCAGTCACACATGCTACCCTGCCATTGATCATGTCCAGGATCAAAACTTTCCATTTGTCCTCTGCCGAAGACTGACTGCCTCTTTATATGAAATAAATGAGCTCGCTGTTCTTGTACAGCAGCTTGAGAGGTGGTCGCATCTGTACCCTATATAAATCTAAATTGTGCAAGCGTATTGTTTGTAAATGGGTCATGCGAGCCCTGTAGCTACTGGAGGTGCTTATTTAATTCCTGTAAAAACAAAACAAATGGAACACATTCTTTCAGAAAATCGCAGCACCAACATTGACTGAAAAAGCCTCAATAAAGGTGAAACACGCCCAGTTATTGCGTTCGGCCAAATGCTAAAACAGCTATTGATATGGAATCTCAATGCATCAGTATATTTAACTGCAGAAACTGAGCGATTACAGTACATTTTAAGCGCAGTGCAACATCACATATCTGACTCAGTGAGAATCGAGGCATCGGCAGAGATGTGAAAGGGTCAGATACGTGAACATCTTTTAAATAAAATGACAGTTTTACCATTCTCCAACACTGCCCTGGGTAGTTAATGGCTCAGAGAGCCCGTCATATTCAACTCTCGAGAGCAGTGGTTCTTAACCTGGGCTGCACGCACCCCATGTGGGTGTGACATGCCATTTCTGGGGGTTCAAGACATTCCAGCTTTTATTAGAAGGTAAACAATCATCGAAACACGGACACGCAAGTACAACTACTTTGTTTCATCAAACCTATGTATTAATTAACATAATTGTTTTAAGATTGAGAACCAAAGGGGTGCACGTCTGCAGTAAAGGCTAAGAACCACTGCTCTAGAACTCCCTCGAGTGGCAACTCTTCCTCGAGCAGTGTCGTAGGCGAGCAGTTGCACCTTTACTGTTACGTCATACAGCAATTACACAACTGATTTAAATCATATTTAAAACAGATTACTACACTACTCTTAGGTGATTTCGGTAAAGTCACGTAGGTAAAAATAATAATAAAATAAAATAACTAAATTAAATCACGACGTTTCGGAGGCAACACAAGTCTCCGTCTTCAGGTGGGACCGTCGCAGCTAAATTTACTGTATAAAATGAAGTAAATGTAGCTGTGACGGTCCCACCTGAAGACGGAGACTTGTGTTGACTCCGAAACGTCGTGATTTCATTGAGTTATTTTCATTAATTATTATTTTTTACCTACGTGACTTTACCGAAAAAACCTAAGAGTATGAATCCGTGCAGTCACGAAAGCTTCAAATCCAGAATTAGATTACTACACTGCTGAAGCGCACGGAAAATCACTAAACTGGTTATGCCAAGGTTTCGTCTGAATAATCAACAAAACTTTACATTTTCATCGCCGTTTAAGTTTTCTTTCAAGAGCCTTCAACTATGCATTCATCCTCCATAGCTTATCGTCCGATAGGAAATGACAATTATCTTCCGATAAGCTCTGTACCAGATGTAGCTGTAATCTGTTAGGAACCTACTTGATGTACTGCTCCCACAGCTCGTTGCTACGACCTGTAGCTACATATACTGTACTGCATTAGAGGTTTCATCTTTGCATTGTTCACCAACCTTATCTACAGGTCGCCAGATTAGATAATTTTGTATAAGACTTTTCCATGTATTAAGGAAGTGACAAGCTGTAATATGCTTTACTTGCTAGTGCGCTACGACCGACGCAATCCGTTTCCTTTTCAATGATCAAAGTTTGCATAAAATGCTCACGTATCTCCAAATCCCTTTTTGACCTACGCTAAACATCCCCTTGCTAATCTACTGCTGGACAAAGGCCTACCCCCGCCATGTCCGTCATACTGTGACCATACTTAACTCAGCTGTCTTCAGCTGAGTTAAGTTATATAAACGGAGTGGTAGCTTCTGCAATCTCTCATTTACTTGATACAGCTGTCGTGGCTGTGACGGCACCGCCTGAAGACGGAAGCTTGTGTTGCCTCCGAAACGTCGTGATTTTTTTTATTTTACTTTTAATGTTTTTTTTTGACCTACGTGACTTTACCGAAAAAACCTAAGAATATGAATCATTGCAGTCACGAAAGCTTCAAATCTAGAATTAACTCAGCTGGTCATAGCGGGTTGTTGAAATGAGTGCTAAGTACCGGAGTCACCGCTTCACTCTCTAAACATGTGGCTATACTTGTACCCGTCACAGTAACATGGAGTTTCCGTCACTGGTTTAACACTTTACGACTGTTATGTCTTGCGCCAGGTTAATTTGAGGAAAGAAACTTACACTTTTTGAAAGTGTTTAACCCCGATAAGAGGACCCCCTGCGTCCGTCCCAACCCTGCGGACCAAAGCTGCCCTTCCTCGGTACCCAGAGCAGGAAATACCGAGGCTCCCGCGTAGGCCTAACCAATTCTCGAAACAGACATAAACAAAGTGTATGCGAGTGTTTAAATGCGCTGTGGGTGCATCGCCCACCTATGCGACGACGTCCACGACCTCCGATGTTGTACTTGTGGCTGTTTAATTTGTTTTTGTTGATTCACTCGCTGCACAAAAACGTAAACATTGCGGACGCCGCCATGTTCAGGTTTCCCGCGAAAACGAGCGTTCGGTCACGTGGGCGAGTCCAAGTTTATATATATATTTTTAAAAAGTTAATTTCGTTAACCCTCTTTAAAAAATAAACTAATCTTTTATTATACAGTAGACACACATCTAAAGTCTACATTTTTCCTCAGTGTTTTCATTTCAGGAGTATAAAATAACTTTAAAATTTTGATCACACACACGCCTTCTTAACGGCAATACAGATGAACCATTGCCCGAAACGTCACTAAATCTGTATTTACATCAGCGTCGTGCTATCAGTTAAGCAGACGTGCCTCTGATTGATCCTGAGTTATGCATAAGTTTGAGTTAAAAGAATCAAGTTTAAAACTCGCGTTACTTATATCCCCGATTTACATTGTTCATACTTTTACATAACTGTATATCATACCTGTCAACGACTTATCATCACCTTATTACAGGTCAATTCACACCTTATTGGTCATCCCGTGCCCCTTATAATCTCAACGTTCATCCTATAAAGTCTCCTCACAAGGCAGAAACACAAACACTTCATTTGTTATTTTTATTTGTTATATTCTGTATTTTTGTTGCCCCGTATTGAAACTGCTGTACGCCGTATGAACCTGAAGACTCGATTTGCTTGTACACAGATACGAGGTTAAACCGAATGGATTGACACGTATGAGTGACTAAATAATAATATATCACGACGTTTCTAATCTATTATTATACAAAGTTGCTTGTGTCGTGATTGATTACAATTTTTCTACCTACGTGACTTTAACGAAATAACCAAGGAGTGTGGTTACGAAAGCTTAAAATCAAGAGCGATTTTTTAATTTAAATCACATTTGTTCAGCCCATCCGGACCCTTTGAGTTGTTATCATTCAGCCCACGTGAGCCTTTAAAGTTTGTTAATTTTAATAATTCACGTTGTAATTCTCGTTGCGACGAGTTAAGTATAAATGTTGTGTCAAAACCCTCCACTTACCCGACCATAGCCAATTAATAATGGATTTGCCACGTAAGTAAAACTCGCCAATTAGTCGACAACTTCAGCCCACCGGTGTGTTTGTAGGGTAAATCAACAACTCCTTGGTTCTTTCGGTAAAGTCACGTAGAAGGGAAATAATAAAGTAATAAAAGTATAATGTTTAATTTTATTACTTCCCTTCTACGTGACTTTACCCAAAGAACCAAGAAGATGAATCCCCGCAAGTCACGAAAGCTTTAAATCGAAATTTAAATCAACAACGTTCACCATTTGTTCCAGATTTGAAGCTTTCGTGACTGCAAGGATTCATAGTCTTAGTTTTTTTCGGTAAAGTCACGTAGCTAAAAACATTAAAGTTATTAATTTTAACACCATTTGATTATCGTGATGTGTCGCTGCTGCTACTTACATTAATCAGCATCTTCATCATCAGGTGATTTACCGCAATAGTGAAGCCATCCACCTGCTTCTGATGTTAATTAGAGCCCCAGGATGACGTCATATAATAGTAATTAATTAGTTGACAGTTTAGTAATTAGATAATTGGTAATTAATTAATTAGTAATTAGATAATTGGTTAGTAATCAATTAATTAGTATGTGTCCCCCCCCTCTATTATACCGACTAGAATCAGCCAATGTCTGTCCGTCCCGCGCGTGACGTAACTCCACATGAGACCCACCCCCCCCCACTCGCGTGACGTCACTCCACATGAGGCCCCCCCCCCCCACTCGCGTGACGTCACTCCACATGAGGACCCCCCCCCCACTCGCGTGACGTCACTCCACATGAGGCCCACCCCCCCCGCGTGACGTCACTCCACATGAGGCCCACCCCCCCCCACTCGCGTGACGTCACTCCACATGAGGACCACCCCCCCAACTCGCGTGACGTCACTCCACATGAGACCCCCCCCCACTCGCGTGACGTCACTCCACATGAGGCCCACCCCCCCCGCGTGACGTCACTCTACATGAGGACCACCCCCCCCCACTGGCGTGACGTCACTCCACATGAGGCCCACCCCCCCCGCGTGACGTCACTCTACATGAGGACCACCCCCTCATTAATATTCATGAGTGGGTGGATTTTTACACGAACGCAGAGGAAGGTTTTGCCGAATTAAATAATTTTTTTACGCAAAGCAGCTTCAAATTTGACGTTTCTTTACAGAAAGTGACGGTGAAAAATAAATCTACGCAGCACAGGGCTACATCCGTGCATGACGTCACTGCAAAAGAGGCCCCCCCCCCTTCATTAATATTCATGCGCGCGTGGAAATTTCCACTATCCTTAGATTTTTAAATCCTTTATATTAAGTTCGCTTGCGTGCTGCGTGCTTGCTTGCTTACGACCGTGCAAATATTTCGGTCGTTTTTTAACCCACTTCCCGTGATCCAATCGAGCTGACATTTTGCACACAGACTCGTTGTGCGAGACAATTAATGTTCGTAAAAAATTTTTTCTAAAATTTTACACTGTTTAGGGAAAACAAATTAAATATTTAATTACCAATTGCTTAATACTGGCAGACAATCATCTGACCCATAGGTGGCAGCCATCTCAAGACAGAGGATGAGAGGACTCTAGCCGCCACGCATATAAAGGATTTATAGTGAAAAACTTTGTTTTTATGGGTTATACTTATTTTTCGGTAAAGTCACGTAGGTAAAAAATTTAAATAAATAATAATAAATGAAAATACATCAATTAAATCACGACGTTTCGATAAGACAGAGTCTGAGTGACTCTTATCGACAGACCTGTTCTTCACCTGAGGACGGCTGCTTGCGTTGTGGCCGAAACGTCGTGAGAATTATTTTATTATGTTTTATATTTTTATTATTTTATTATTTCCCTTCTACGTGACTTTACCGTAAGAACCAAGAAGATGAATCCCTGCAGTCACGAAAGAAGCTTTAAATCGAAAAGTGATGGTGGTACTAAAGGCAGCGGGGGAGAGTGGCGGTTGAGGTTTAACATGCCATTAACATGTCATTAACATGGTTAATCACATATTTCCAATGATGGCTCACTTTGAATCCATCTTCTCTGTTGAAGTTATGTCTGTGTTTCTATATCTGTATGGCCTCGTGGACAAATCTTTGGTGGTATCCAGACGACTTGCAAAATGTCGTGCAACCCCTCCCCCTCATTAATAATCATAAGCTGAACATTTTGTTAAATTGAATATTTCAGATTTACTGCAATATACAGTCCCTCCAGAAAAACGCGATTATGCGATCGCAAGATTCCATGCAAAATCAGCCAAAGTCCGCATATTTATGCGGGGGGCGCGTTTTTTCAAATACGCCGCACTTTCGCCGCATAAATTGCAGATTTCCGCGCGCAAAATATGCGGGCTTGCATGATTTCATAATCCCCGCATTTTCGTTGCAAAAAGTCACATATATCTTAGCAGAAAGTTGAAAAATGTTGCGTTTACTTCACACAAGCGCAGCCATTTCCCCTGTTGCCATGGGAACGTTATGAAGTGTTAGAGGCTACGTAGTTAGTTTTATTCAGGAGTTTATGCAACTTTACAGTTGTAAGATTGCACTTTTTTGTTAGTAGTATGTACATTTACATTACTGTAAGACTGTACTGTTACTGTATTGCTTACGTTACTGTGCACTGAAAACACTTATTTTAACAGAAGATGTCTGTTTTGTATAGCTACCTCTGTAAAACAGGAAGCACACATTTTATTTTTTAATATTTTATTTATTCATTTTTACAGAAGTTGTAGCATATTCATTTTGTAAAGCTACAGAACTTGTTCGACTCAATGTTTTGTAAGTTTGAGCCATCTTTTTGTTAAGGTCTGAAATAAAACAAGATGAGAACTTAAATATTCCCAGCACTTTCTGTGATGTAGTATGCTTGCTTATCATAGGAAGTAATAAGAAATTACTCTTTACATTAAAGTAGTAGCCGAGTGAATAGGGTGTTGGGGGAGTCACTTTTTTTTCTCTTTTTCATCAAACCGCAGTTTTTGCAAGTTCCCGCAATTTAATCGCATTTTTTAAGAAAACGTGCCGCATAATCAACGATTTTTGCCCGCAACAATCACCAAAAAACTCCGCGTTTTTCTGGAGGGACTGAATATACACCCGTCCATTAGACGGGTAAAAAAAGCTAGTAAGGAATGATAATTGTAAGATGTATTGCTTAATAATACGCTTCCAGGCCGCACTAACCCTGTGTCAGAGCGGTTAAAATTATTTGAATTTCTCTAAATTTCAATAGATTCTCCAATTAGTCTCGGCCAGTAATAATTACCGTTGTTTTACGCAACATTTCAGCGTTATCAACATCAATTGAGTGTCCTTGTTGACAAGCATGCTCTTCAACTGCCGACAGTTGCTTTCATGGCTTTATTTTGGTGATTTCGAAAAGTGTATTGGTTTAGCCATGTTTGTTGTAGTACGGAGTTAGACTGATGGCCTTAATCTAAGTTGTCTTATGGTTGTTGTTGTTGTTGTTTGACTTGCATCCGACTGGGATTTTTGCACACAGCGTTGGTGTAACGGTGTTTTTTTCTGCAATATTTTGCTGTCTTTTCTTGGATTTTCTGTTTGCACAGTCACATTCACTTTAAGATGTTTTTTGTTCATGTTTTAGTTTTTTGTTTGTTGCGGTTGCACCCGATTCAAGAGCCGAATGGCTCACAGGGCTACACCTAATACATGAACTTGAACTTGAGTTGTGTTTACCAAAAAAACCTTATGAGTAATATTGGACGCGAAAGCCTTACTACGTTTCGATTTAAAGCTTTCGTGACTGCAGGGATTCATCTTCTTGGTTCTTTCGGTAAAGTCACGTAGAAGGGAAATAATAAAATAATAAAACATAATAAAATAATTCTCACGACGTTTCGGCCACAACGCCGAATTATTTTATTATGTTTTATTTGTATTATTGTATTATTTTCCTTCTACTTACTACGTGTTAAACTTTGTGCTTTGTGTTTGAATGCTCGTGGATCGATCATGCTTTGGGGAGTGAGCGGTTTGTAGTTTTTGTGTCGTGATGGGTGATGCTGTGGCTTTCGACGATTCCCTCGAACCTTCGATTATCGCGGTTGGCTAACGTACGGTGTGAACGAAGTTCAACGTACGTACAAAGATAAAGATCCCCCCCCCCCGAGTAGCCTTAACAGACTGTTGGGGCAAGTGCTGTTAGCGAGTAGCAGCACCTGTGAAGGCCGACACGGCACACGAGGGGTGGGGTGGCCAGCACCACGCCCGACCGCCTTTGTCTCCCCAGTGGCGAGATTTACCACACACCGCACAAGGTACTCATTTCAGGCCGAGTCGACCTAGGGGAGAGGCCCAGGACCGGTTCAGAGAATCGTCACTGGCGTTGGTGGCCGTGAGCGGGAATTGAACTCGGGTGGCCGGGGTTCGTAGCGCTAACCGCTGCACCACCGCTCCTCACGACATTGACCCACACACTCGCAAAACACATCACTTCGTCAAATCGAGACCCCCCCCCCCACTTTGTGACACTTTATTTGAATTGCACACCTCACCAATCAAAGTGCATAGCTGTCAACCCCCCTTATCAGTGCCCTACCTTAGAGGCCGTCCATAAATGACGTCACGCACCTGGGGGGGGGGGGATCAGACATTTGTGACAATGTGTGACGAGGGGGGGCGGGTTTGAGAAATGTGACGTCACATCAAAATGCGCAACTTTAAATAAATATAGACAACACGTTCTACTTAATTAAATAGCCTTTGTAATAAATGTTTTCTCCTACAACATCAGAGTGCAGCGCCACATTAAATACGCACTACAATGACAATAGTTTAAAGCGATTTGAAGCATGTTTTAATTGGGGGGGGGGGGGGGGCAGAGCTTTGTGACGTCATATTTGAGGGGGGGGGTCTGACTTTTTGTGACGTCGTGTGACGTTGGGGGGTGGGGGGGGGTCAAAAATCTCCCAAATCGCGTGACGTCATTTATGGACGGCCCCTAAATAATGGGGTTAGGTACACCTCAACAAAATATATCTATGGGCACTTTTTGCAAGTATCAAAAATATTAGATATAAGAAGCGGGTTTACCCTTTCTTAACACCTGTTTTATTACCAGAAATGGTACAACTATCTTATTTTTCAAAACTAGATACGGTGCAGCACTAATTAAATACACACTGTTACTGTAGGCCAAATAAACTAAAAACTAAATAATTTAAATAAACGTGTTAAACCACTATGCAAAACAAAAACATTACTAGACAAACACATTGTCCTGCGGAGGGAGCTGGTAGGAACGTTGGGTTGCTCGGTCAATGGCCTGCAGGGTCAACGGCGGCGTGGTGTATTCCGCAAATATGGCCGACTGTGAGGGCGGGCACAAGCCGGCTTGAGTAGGTTAAACGTTGAGTTTTATAAGGGCACCACGGGGTGACCAGCCCCTCCCCACCCCGCCCCACCCCTCCCACCCCCCACCCAGCCCACCCTCCCCACCCAGCCCACCCTCCCCTCCCCACCCAGCCCCTCCCTCCCCACCCAGCCCCTCCCCACCCTCCCCTCTCCACCCAGCCCCACCCCTCCCATTTTTGGATGCACGACGGACAGACACAATAATCCCCTGTGGGCTGGTGTCACCAGAAGGTTCCTACCAGTATAAATAGTAGTATAAATACTATAACTACTGATGATGCTGCAAAGCGCGTGCATGTTTGTGTGTGTTGCATGTGTAGAGGTGATAGCTACTCACTCTTCGGTGACCTTTTTTCTGCCATATTTTGCTGTCTTTTCTTGCATTTTCTGTTTGCACATAGTCACTTTAAGATGTTTTCTTGTTCATGTTTTTGTTTTTTGTTTGTTGCGGTTGCACCCGATTCAAGAGCCGAATGGCTCACAGGGCTATACCTAATAAATTAACTTGAACTTTGACCTACGGTGCAGCGTTGCCTCCCTCGGTAAACGGTCGGGGTCAGGGAGAGGTGAGAGCTGATCGAAATCACAGATTCCCGCCAGACAAACGGCCAAGGGTCAGATAAGGTGAAAGAGGGTCAGATAAGGTCAAAGAGGATTATGACGACAGATTGGGAAGAACCAATCAGAAGGGTCCACAAAGCAGCGTTGTGATTGGACAAGCCCAGCCACGAACCGGTATAAAAGCCAGAGCGCTGAGAGCTCCGGCTCAGTTCTCCCCACACGAAGACCGAAGCCCGAGCTGAAGAAGATAGGAACCTGGACCAAGACTTCCAGCCCTTCTCAGGGCCAGAGGTCGCAAACGGGTTTTGATTCCTTACCCGTACCCGGCCGCACCAGGGTAGCAAACAGGTACCCGTACCCGTACCTGGCCGGGTACGGGTAGCCAGGTATCGGGTAGGGTACGGGTATCGGGTACCCGGTTGCGACCTCTGCTAAGGGCTGAGGCTCAGTGTTCCAGTGGTCAGGGGAGAATAGGTCCTGGGTAGGCAGGATCCTGGGTCCCAGCCTTCCAGCCCTTCTCAGGGCTGAGGCTCTGCGTGACCAGAGGTCAGGGACCCACCGAGCCAGCGGTGGGTCAGCTAGCCTCCCCTAGGTCCCAGCCGCAGGACACTAGGTTAAGCGGGTAGACTTGTGTGTAGTTCCCGCCAAGTCCGGAGGTTATATATCTCCTTAGGTTAGTAGGTCGGCTGTGTGTAGGTCCTGTCAAGCCGGAGGCTGTACCTCCTTAGGTTAGCAGGTCGGCTGTGTGTAGTTCCCGCCAAGCCGGAGGCTGCACCTCCTTATGTTAGCAGGTAAGGGGACCGTATACCCCCTTGTGTGTTAGGGACCGTGTCGAAGGAAGATAATAAACAGTGTGTGTCTCAAAGGAGGTTATTCGCCCGTGATTCAAGACACTACGCATGTTTGTGTGTGTGTTGCGTGTCTGTGTGTGTGCATGTCTGTGTGTTGCGTGTGTGCATGTTTGTGTGTGTTGCATGTTTGTTTGTGTTGCATGTTTCTGTGCATGTTTGTGTGTGTGCATGTTTGTGTGTGTTGCATGTTTGTTTGTGTTGCATGTCTGTGTAAATGTTTGTGTGTGTTGCATGTCTGTGTGTGTTGCATGTTTGTGTGTGTGCATGTTTGTGTGTGTTGCATGTTTGTGTGTATGCATGTTTGTGTGTGTGCATGTTTGTGTGTGTTGCATGTCTGTGTGCATGTTTGTGTGTGTTGCATGTTTGTGTGTATGCATGTTTGTGTGTGTGCATGTTTGTGTGTGTTGCATGTCTGTGTGTTGCATGTTGGTGTGTGTGCATGTCTGTGTGTTGCATGTCTGTGTGTGTGCATGTCTGTGTGTTGCATGTTGTGTGTGTGCATGTCTGTGTGTTGCATGTTTGTGTGTGTTGCATGTTTGTGTGCATGTTTGTCAGTGAGTGTAGAAGCGGTTCGTGCACTGCGTTCCGACCCCGACGTCCCGAGTTCGATCTCTGCTCACGGTGGGCACCAAGTGACGAATTGTCTGAACCGGCGTGGTGTTGGCCACCCTCCCCCTCGTGTGCCGTGCCGGCCTTCATAGGTGCTGCTTGCTGACGGCACTTGCCCCGACAGTCTGTTGAGGCTCCACGCTTGCTATTAACTCACTGTTGTTGTTGTTGTATCCTCAAATCTTGTAACTCAATTTTAACCCACTATCCAATGTGGTATCGACTGCAAACTTGGTATACGTATGTCATACTAATGACAATACTATAAGCTATCATTAAAAAAATATTTGTAAACATTTTTTTTCTGATATGTTTCGCCTTGGGTCTAATTGTCCACGCTCAACTAACGTTGGCTGTAAATCACCACGGTCCCTTAGGTTATGGCAAGCTTCGGGGCCACTTCATGGAGTCGTGGAGTTCTTCCATTACTAGTACATTTCATTAAAGCGTGTTTTTTAAAAAGTTTAAATATTTTACTTATTTACGGCTAATTCGGCTGCTTCGTTTGCAGCGTCGAGCGCGGTAAACCCGTCGATTCCAGTCGCTCAGCAATCTGCACGTGCGCACTTTGAACTTCTTTCACGCCGTACGTAGCCAACCGCGCTGAATCGGAGTTGCGGGTTCGAACAATCATTCCTACCGCACACAGCGATGCCGAGATACACGACTCGCAAGCAAGAGATTGAATCATGATGTATTTTTTTATTGTTATTATCCATCATCATCAATCTTTACTGAACCAGCACATCATGGTCACAGGCTATAACGCATGGGATGAACTAACGGCTACCAGGGGGTGGGGGGATATAGGCTTGTCCATTATCCATCATCAAGCATGGGCTACATGCAGTGCTATACAGAACAGTAGTTAGTAGTAGTAGTACGTGTACTCTGGGCAGGCCTCTCTCTCTCTCGTCACAGCGCATCGACGCGTCTCGCCGTGACAATGATCCATGATGATGATCCATCACGATGATCTATGATGATCCCACGATGATCCATGATGATGATCCATCACGATGATCTATGATGATCCCACGATGATCTATGATGATGATCCATCACGATGATCCATGATGATGATCCATCACGATGATCTATGATGATGATCCATCACGATGATCTATGATGATGATCCATCACGATGATCTATGATGATCCCACGATGATCCATGATGATGATCCATCACGATGATCTATGATGATCCCACGATGATCTATGATGATGATCCATCACGATGATCCATGATGATGATCCATCACGATGATCTATGATGATGATCCATCACGATGATCTATGATGATGATCCATCACGATGATCTATGATGATGATCCATCACGATGATCTATGATGATCCCACGATGATCCATGATGATGACCCATCACGATGATCTATGATGATGATCCATCACGATGATCCATGATGATGACCCATCACGATGATCTATGATGATCCCACGATGATCTATGATGATGATCCATCACGATGATCTATGATGATCCCACGATGATCCATGATGATGATCCATCACAATGATCTATGATGATCCCACGATGATCCATGATGATGATCCATCACGATGATCCATGATGATGATCCATCACGATGATCCATGATGATGATCCATCACGATGATCCATGATGATGATCCATCACGATGATCTATGATGATGATCCATCACGATGATCTATGATGATCCCACGATGATCCATGATGATGATCCATCACGATGATCTATGATGATGACCCATCACGATGATCTATGATGATCCCACGATGATCTATGATGATGATCCATCACGATGATCCATGATGATGACCCCCACGACCGCAACGTCGGACGCGTAGCAGCGGCGTTCGTTTCTGTCGACAGAGCGGGTTTCACTGTCGCTCACGCGTCCTGCGACACCTCCCGGCGACAGACAGCGGATGAGTCCATCGGAGGCGACTCCCTCATCCACCCATCCGCAGCCTCGCCACTTCTCGCTCGATCCTCCACCGCCCCCCCCCCCCCCCGTACATCCGTTTAAATATTCAGCGCGTTGCCAACTCGGCGAGTTTTGATGTTGTTGGTTGTCACCGCTAGATGTTGTTGTTGCGAGTTTTTTCGTCTCGATGTTTCTATCGATGCGACCGAAGAGAATCTCGCGACATTTTTCGGGAACGAAGACGACGGCGCAGGTTTGTTTTTTTGTTTGGAATGATTCAAGGTGCATTCAGGATCCCGTTCATAGGTTTGCTGCTCAGGTATCAACGATCGGCTTCGATTGTCAAGTGACGATTAATGGGTGACATCTACCCAGTCAACATGGAACGTTGGTTGTAACACGGAGGCTTTCGCGACCAATATCATCCATTATATAGTTTTTTGGGATTTGATTGTAAATGTTGTGGATTTTCTCTCCAACACACAACCGGTGTGCTGTGCTAGTAACGAATTGGCACGTTCTGTTTACGTGACAAACCCATTACTAATTGGCCATGTCAGGTGGTGGCGGGTTTAACGACACATTAATATCTACACGATCTAACCCAAAAAAAACTATATCATGGATGGAACGTTGGATCAACGTTGGTCCAGCGGTTCTAACCACGTGCGAACGTCGACATGTAGCGACTTGAGGTGTCGTTCGGAGACTTGTCGCTTTAAGGAACTGGCAACACCGATCTTCCTTTTATTCCATCAGTGGGCGACGTCGCGCATCGAGCAATGTCGCAGGCCGGATTATAGTCGCACGCTGTCTCTCTGTGAACTCGCCCAGACTTTGCGGCTGGAGGAACCTATGGCCAGTGACTTCATTAACTGCGGCCACCTGAGGCCTTACCACTTAGAAGCTTTCGTTATCAGTCACTGCCAGCGTCTTAAGCCGAACTGATCGGGTACTGGGGGGAAAGATTTTTAGACCTGGCAACAACGTGACATTTCTCATGTTGGCACGCTCAAGTCAAATTTGTGACTGCAAGGGCCCTCTTGCAATGACGGACGTGGCAGAAGTGTGCCTGTGTGCGTGCTTTAACGTGCACCTAGCATGGCACAAGCGCCGTGGTGACGTCACCGCCACTTAGTGGTAAAAGGCGGTTATGTTGTAATGCGTGATTGCCTGCCAAAGATATTTGAAAGTCCTCTCCCACCCCTGTTTTCGGCAGGACCGTGATTGGAGAACGATGTGTTGGCGGCTGTGGGTAGATGGTAGGAAAACGGCTGAGGATGAGACGGAGGGTAGAGGCCACTACTGCAGCATTTACTCCCAAGTCCTTTGTTACTTTTTAAATTTTACCAGGTAAGATCCACTGAACTATGTCGCTCTTTTTCAGAAACGACCTGGCCACAATTTGATAGCCCAACGAAGTGGCTTACCATCACGTGGAAATGTATAGCAGCCAAACACTCGAAACTCGTGATTCTAAATGTGGAGGGAAAAACCTGAGGACCCAGAGAAAAATCCACGCGACCACGGGGAGAACGTGCAAACTTCAAATATACAGCAGCAGGCGTCAAGGGTCGGGATCGAACCCACGATCTCCTGTATACCAGGCGGGGAAGTTAACATCTCCTAGCCACCGTGGCGCCCACACTTCTCCTACCACTACGAGGCCACATCAGACCAACAAAACTTTTCTCATCGCAACGCACACAGTCTTCACCAAAGATAAGCTTGGTGAAGTGGCTTACACTTCATCACCACAACTTTAGAGAGATAACCTTCGTAAAGTTGATCCGATACGACACTAAACTTGAGTGTAAAAGTTGCGTTGTTGGGGACCAACCAGCCTCAGAGAAGAATGAAGCCAACTTGAATGAAGGGGTTGTCCAGTATTTAGAGACAGCTACCAAAGCAAAAAGGACTTCACAAATGTGAAAAACGCATTTCGCGCCAAGTGTTACCCGTCGGCTTCTCGACTACCAATTCAACGCTTCCGAAGGCAAACGCACGTTGGAAAGGTTTGGGCAATCCATGCATATCCGTGACATTTCCTAACTTGATTATCGCAATTCAATAACATCGCATTGCCAGCGATGAGACAAAGATCCCCCATATGTAGCCTTAACAGACTGTAGGGGCAAGTGCTGTTATCGAGCACCGATGAAGGCCGGTACGGTACACGAAGGGGGTGTGTGGCCAGCACCGCGCCCAGCCACCTTTGTATCCCCAGTCGCGATGTTAACACACCGCACTGGGTACTCATTTGAGGCTGAGTCAATCTAGGGGAGGCCCAGGACCGGTTCAGATAATCGTCACTGGTGTTGGCCGTGAGCGGGAATCGAACCCGGGTGGCCGGGTTCACAGGGCAGCGATTAGAATGTCAAACGCAGAGCAGCTTACCGATTGGCTGATCGGCCGCTGCCAGGCTGCCGCCGATTGGTCGATCGCAGCCACACGGGCGGTCTCCCCTCCCCCCCCCTCCAACCCCCCCGGAGCGGGCGGCTCAAAACCTGATTGGAGAATCGACTGGTTTCCGAAGCTCCCTGATTGGTTGGTCAGGTGCCGTCGGAAGAACGGTTGCCAATGAGGAGACGCGCGCTCCGGGGAGGGGGAGAAATGCGGGGTGGTGGTGGGGGGGGGGAACCCCTAGGATAGACACGTGGCACGTGCGTTTAGGCCGCCAGCCGTCGACGACGAATCGGCTGGCAAATGCTGCGATGCGATGTGAAAGAAGGGCAAAAGGTGCAGCCCTGCAATATCGCTGCCGGTGGATGGGCCTCCGCTAGAGGGAGCTCGAGGGTGCTTTAGAGATACACTCTCTAGAGAGTCGTAGCTTATGGAATTTAGATTTGAAACGAATTGCGTTTTAAATCTTGATTTAAAGCTTTCGTGACTGCAGGAATTCATACTAATCGTCTTCAGATTGCCTGCGTTGCGATCAAAACGTCGTGTTCTATTATTTTTCTATCTACGTGACTTTACAGAAAGACCCAAAGAGTTTGAATTGTGTTTTGTTTAGCGTTATGGCATTGTTTAGCCTCGTTACGTAACGATTAAACCCTTCCCCCTCGGCAACTTGCAGCTTAACTGAGTTGCAATTGAGTTGCAATTTGGTGAGGGTTGGGGTGCGATTGAATTTAACAGTCAAATATTTTCCGTCGAATTTTGGTTTGCATCACTCATCGTTTGTCTCATCTGCATAGTTCATAGTTTTGTTTCTTCCATTATCCTCAATAAAAAATGTTTCACCTTATATTTTAAAACAGCCTCATTGCACGCACAGTTAAGGATATGCATACGTTTCACGAGTGTAGGGGGTGTCAGGGGAAGGATTCCCACCAATAGGAGGGGGGTTAGTGGGAGGGGCAATCGAGGAGATATAAGGGGAGAATGGGAGGGAAGAAGGGGGCTTTTGGCGGGAACCAGATTGGGATGGCTGGGGACAGGTGTGGATGGGGAGGAAAGGATTAAAAGACGAACCCCCCTGCAATCTTGTGTCGGCTCTCCTTCACACGAGTGTAAGGTTACATTTTTAGCTGTGATTGCATTATGACGTGCCTTACGTTTGATAATTGTGATATACTCGAGCAAGTTGAAATCGCCTGAGTTCTCCTTTGTCCTACCATCCTGTGTTTTTGACCCTGCTGATGAAGTCAAACGCAGTAAAACATTGGATTGCGAGTAGCTTGGTCTGCGCGTGTTTTGCAAGACGAGCAAAACTTTAAATAAATATTAACTTGATAAACGAGCGAGGTCTTGCAATACGAGCAGTACGTGTATACGCTTTGTCTGCCGAGCGTCACGTGATCACAACTGATATGCGAGTGCTTTGATATACGAGTGCTTTGGATTACAAGCACGTTTCCAGAACGAATTACGCTCGCAATCCAACGTTTTACTGTATGGAATGGGGTAACATTTCCAAAGCGATAACATCGGTCCCTGGCAATCGTAACGATCGGCTAATGTGAAATCGCACTCCGGCCAAAAATGTATTCAGCAAAGTTTCGGAGTTCAGCCCAATTCAACCGTAATCGACGCCTCTATCAATCGGATTCAATGTCGCACACAAATTACTGAGAGCAAGCGGATCGTCGCTGCAGAGTCAAAATTCAGGACCCTACATACTTGGTCATGGCCTCAAAGATGAGGTCTCGTTTCAAAATCAACGCCGATTGGACAACCGAAAGTGGGCGTGGCTCTCTTTTTCCCCACCGGCCAATCAAACCCGAGCACACGAGTGGGGGGTGGCAGCACCCATGACACCCTTTGAGTGCACTTTGCAAAAACTCACCCACGGTTGACTCGGGCATCGAAGCGCGCGTTTACAAGGACTCACGGTTCGGCTCCGGTTACTGAGATGACGCCAGATCATGTCAATGCGACAAGGCAGTTTTGCCATCAGTCCGATGTGGTCATTCATTCTGCCCTGCAATCCCCTCTCACCTGCCAACGCACTCCCCTCGCCCAAAGCTAAAAGCGGATCACCTGCTCCGAAACAGACGGAATCGTGTCGACCATTTAAGCCTGGTCCTCGCCGATGCAATGAGTTGCACGCAATTGAATCCCTTAAATGCGGACGTCCCTGCAACCGGTTGTGAGCGGTGCGCGCAACCGGTTGCCCGCTCGCAGTCGAGACGAGCATCGATCCACTTGGTGGTTTCGCAGCGACGCGTTCGTTACGCAATCCGTTATGCAATCCTCGGAACAGCGCCGTTGCAATTTCCGTGCTGGGACCCCTCGGTCAGACGTGGACAAAGCAGTCGTGCGGCAACCGATGTTTGAGTTGCGCGATGACTCCGAGAACGGTTCGGTTCACGCGACCGACGGCTCAACGGGGGGGGGGGGGGGGGGGGCGTGCATGTGCGTGCGGTGCGTGTCTGTGAGCGGCGCTGCCTTTGGATTTGAAATCGTGGGGGGCGGTGAAGGGTGGTTTGAAATGTTCTCGGTTCGAGACGGACCCCTCTTGAGTAGACGCACGCCTGCCAGCGACACGGTTAATATCATACACAACAGCAGCGGTGGCCGGGCGGTGGTCGCGACGGCCAACACACACGAATAATATTCACCGTTGTTGTTATTCATCATAATAATAATATCATTATTATTGGTATGTACTGTGTTTATGTATAAGCTATACCTGAAGCTACCCGTCCTGTAATGACACAATTAGAGGGAGGGATGGAAGGGCGGGCGGCGGGCGGCAGAGATAAAATTAACGGTGACATCGACAATTACGACAGCGATAACCGAACAACGTAACGTTACAAACGGTGCACGCGCACACACACAAACGTCCGTTCCACCGACGTTTCACAAACGCGCGTGCTGCGTGCGTGTCTACGTATGTGCGTGCGTACGCATGAGTGTTTTGGCTTTTGCCAACAACAGAGACTAAGATCCCGTGCCGCCTTTGTTGGGCAAGTGCCGTTAGCGAGCGCCTATTAAGGCCGGAACAACGCGCGAGCAAAGGCCATCACCGTGCCCGGCCGGCTTTGTCTCCCCCGGTGCCGATGTGTTTACACACCTCACCAGGTACTCAATTTGACGACGAGTCGACTTAGGGGGAAGGCCCAGGACTGAGTTCGGATAATAATCGCCACCCGATTTTTGGCCATCGATGGGAATCGAACTCGGGTCACCGGGTCCGGAGCGCAGTGCCACGAACCGCTGCGTTGTGGTTTTTGATGCACACGAAGACACATCCCCCCTAGAGACTTGACAGATTGTTGGGGCAAGTGCTGTTAGCGAGCAGCACCTATGATGGCCGGCACGGCACACGAAGGGGCGGGCGGCCAGCACCAACGCCAGGCCGCCTTTGTCTCCCCAGTGGCGATGTTTACACACCGCAGCAGGTACACATTTGAGGCCGAGTCGACCCAGGGGAGGTCCAGAACCGGTTGCGCACACGCATACACACACACATACACACACACGCTCACTACGTGTTAAATACCATTAACAGCTATCCATATATGTACAGAGGGCAGTATTTGGAGGGGGGGGGGGGTCAGTGGTGGCGCTGTTTGGGTCATCATCGTTAACAATCCCAGTAAGCGGGCAACGTTGGCCCGACGTCGCACGCGTTACTGGGATGTCGCTCACCGCCGATGCGAAGGAATGGGCGTTCTCCCGCTGCAATACCGAGAGACGGCACGGGTCGCTGCTGTGAATGTGTCGCTGTTCGCTCCGATTGGCAAGGTTGGCAACGTACGGCGCGAAAGAAGTTCAACATGCACACGTAGCTCTGTAGCAGGCGTGTACCGATTCGACTTCCTGGGGCGATTCGATGAAATTGTGGCAAATCGCAAGGGCCAGAATTCGATTGAAGAATCGATTTTTTTTGTTATTTTTACTCAACACATTAATCGATAACACTGTGGCTTTCATCTATACAGTAGACTCTCGATTATTGGCGTGCGGTTTATCCGATTTGCGGATTAACTGTGCACCTGAGATTTTGACATGAATTAATAACCCGCGGATTTCCCCTTAAGCCCAGATTAATAATCTAAAAATAGTTCACGCAACGTTGTTATTCTTGTAAATGTTTTTCACAAGTCACGTGCTTAAACCGAACAAATATTGACTTAAAGCTTTCGTGACAGCAGGAATTCATATTCTTTGGGTCTTTCGGTAAAGTCACGTGGATAGGTTCAAAGAAAATAATAAAAAATAACAAAAAACTACGACGTTTCAATCGCAACACAACGAAACGTCCTAGTTCGAAACGTTGTAGTTTTGAATTATTTTGTTATTTTCTTTGAACCTATCTACGTGACTTTACCGAAAGACCCAAAGAATACCGAACAAATATGTTGCTCCGGTGAATCCGAAACCCACGTGATCGCCTCTCCAGTACAGTAGTTGCATATTTTTCCAAGTAAATTTTCTTCAATTGAACGAAATTTATACCTATATCAGTGGTTTTTGGCATCGAGATTCGCGGAAAAGTTTTTATTTTTGGATTATCCGCGATGTTGAATTATCCGCGCGGCCGTCCTACCCGTCATTAGCGCCGATAATCGAAGAGTCTAACTGTAGATGTCAAATCGGCAACGTTTTCGGTAACGGTCCGTCTCTGTCACGCGTGAAAAGAGGCCCATTTCCCGCAACATCGTCTCTGATAATATCTTTCCCATAGAGGCCCCACGCACAAAGTGTTCTCGACACGGAACGCGCCAAGTCTGTTGCGTTGCGCACTATGGCCAACGCAGCAGCAGCAGCAGCATCACCAAATAATTGTTTGACTTGCGGTGCACCGATCGACCGTCCGTCTGGCTGACGGTACGAATGATGGAATCGTCGCTTGATTTAACCCAGGCGATAGACCCTGTTGAGATTCGGCACCGCCAGGTGACCTCATCTCTCTGTGTCGTTCGTAGTCTCTCTTCCGTCATCCTCCCGTCGTCGTCGTCGTGATCGTCGTCATCGTCATCGCGGTGCCACAGAACTTTGTCACCGCCAACCGACCCCCGACCCCCGTGCCCCCCCCCCCGCCCAAAATCTCGCCAACGCTAAAGTTACATTAACGCCCCACCCCAACTCGCCCACCCAACCAACTCCACACCACCACCCCCCCAAAAATAAGTACAAATTAAATAAAAATAAATAACACGCGCGTACACAAAACGACGACGCGAACGCGGACCGGCGTGAGGAGTTGGACGGACGCGTCGTGGGCCGTCTTCAGAGCGCGCCGTTCATTACCGTTAACGGGGGGGGGGCAGGGGGGGGGGGGGTCGCCGCACTGACTCGCTAAGGCGTGCGGCGCTGGCGTTTAAACGAGGCGGCGGGGGGGGGGGGGAGGTGGTGATCGCCCGTAAAGAGGTCACCGCGACACTCACCTCGTCGACCTCCTCCTCCTCCTCCTCGCCGTTACCGCGTTGCATTATGGGTATATCCAGCGAAGCGCAGCGTTGGTCGATCGGTCTTAAAATATATATATTTTGACGGTGCCGGTGGTGGGGGAGGGGGGGCGGTGGTGGGTAAGTACGGGTCTGGCGAGAGGGGCGAGTGGGTAGACGGGTGAGTGTGTGGGTAGAGACGTGGGGGTGAGTTGGGTTGCGGTCAGGGTCTGGTCGGATATGTTCGTTTCCTGCAGAGACAAAGGAGAGACACAACTCGGGATTAATCGTTGCGGCTGTGTCTTCATCTTGTGTAGGGGCTGATGTGACCTCGTAGTGGTGGTTGTAGGGGCAGCGTGGGCTAGGAGATGGTAACTACCTCGCCTGGTATGCAGGAGGTCGTGGGTTCGATCCCGACCCTGACGCCTGCTGCTGTATATTTAGAGTTTGCGTGTCTCTCTCTCTCATCATCATCACGGTGGCTAGGAAATGTTAGCTACCTCGGCTGGTCTACAGGAGGTAGTGGGTTCGATCCTGACCGTGATGCCTGCTGTATATTTGGAGTTTGCGTGTCTCTCTCTCTCATCATCATCACGGTGGCTAGGAGATGTTAACTACCTCGCCTGGTCTACAGGAGGTCGTGGGTTCGATCTCGACCCTGACGCCTGCTGTATATTTGGAGTTTGCGTGTCTCTCTCTCTCATCATCATCACCACGGTGGCTAGGAGATGTTAACTACCTCGCCTGGTATAGGAGGACGTGGGTTCAATCCCAACCCTGACGCCTGCTGCTGTATATTTGGAGTTTGTGGTGTCTCTCTTCCCATAGTCGTGTGGATTTTTCTCCGGGTCCTCCTGTTTTTCCCTCGCTAGCTGCCTGTCACCTGCGATCAGCGCGGTTGGCTACGTACGGAGCGAAAGAAGTTCAGCGGACGTACGTGCGTGCGTGCTCAGATGGCGGCAGCCTCCTGTTGGCACAGCAGCAGCTTGGACGGGTCCTCCGCTTCGTAGCCACAGTGGCTGCTGCCATTGCTGGAACGCGCACACACACACACAGATAGAGACAAAGATCCTCCGTGTAGCCCAAACAGACTGTTGGGGCAAGTGCGGTTTGGGAGTGCTGATGAAGGCCGGCACGGCACATCAGGGGGTGGGTGGCCAGCACCACGCCCACCTGACTTTGTCTTCCCCGTGGAGATGTGGGTGGGGGGGGGTGGCGGGGTAGGGGGGTGGGAAGGTGGGGGGTGGTGTGGGTAGGGGGTTGGGGGGTGGGACGGTGGGGGTGGGGTGTAGGGGGGTTGGGGGGTAGGTGAGGGTGGGGGGTTGGGGGGTGGGGGGGGTGGGGGGTGGGGGGTAGGAGAGGGTGGGGGGGGGTAGGGGAGGGTGGGGGGTAGGGGAGGGTGGGGGGGGGTTTGGGAGGGTGGGGGGGTACGGGAGTGTGGGGGTGTTAGGGGAGTGTGGGGGTGTTAGGGGAGGGTGGGGGGGCAGGGGAGGGTTGGGGTGTTAGGGGAGGGTGGGGGGTAGGGGAGGGTTGGGGGGGTATGGGAGGGTATGGGAGGGTGGGGGGGGGAGGGTGGGGGGGGGGTAGGGGAGGGTGGGGGGGGGTAGGGGAGGATGGGGGGGTTAGGGGAGGGTAGTGGAGGGTGGGGGGGGGTAGGGGAGGGTGTGGGGGGGCTCACATTTTGTCTGGGCGAGCACCGCCGCGGATTCCGCTGGAGTCACGGTGGGGGTAGAGGCAGCCCGACCCGCCGCGGATCATGGGGTGAGTGGGGGAGGCCATGGGGTGCTGGCCGGGCCTGATGGGCTTGGCTGTGCGGGACGGCACGCGGAGGCACACAACCATCGACACAATCAATCATCGACACGCAATCATCGACACAATCATTGACACACAATCATTGACACACAATCACCGACACGTTCACGCGAGGGTCACCGCTAGCACGATCACAACCACGCAGGCGCTGTCGCATAGCCGCAGTCGCGTACGCACGCACGGGTACACACAATCACGCACCTGCACGCACTCAGGCGCGTGCGCACACAGATCGTGCACACACACACAGATCACACATATTTTACACACACACAGATCATACACAGATCACACATATTTTACACACACACACACACAGATCATACACAGATCACACACACACAGATTTTGCACACACAGATCGTACACACACACAGATCACACACACACAGATCGTGAACACACACACACACAAATCACACACACACACAGATCGTACACACACACAGACAGATCGTACACACACACAGATCGTACACACACACACAGATCGTACACACACACACACAAATCACACACACACAGATCGTACACACACACAGACAGATCGTACACACACACAGATCGTACACACACACACACAGATCGTACACACACACACACAAATCACACACACAGATCGTACACACACACAGACAGATCGTACACACACAGATCGTAGACACACACACACAGATCGTACACACACACACACAGATCGTACACACACACAGATCGTACACAAACACACACGGGTAACACGCACCGATCTGCGCGGAGTGTCCGCGCCGCGCCATGTTGCGTGTGCGCACTGCCTCCTTGATGCGGTCCACCTCGTGCTGGTAGCGCTTGCGGTCGCGCATGGCGCTCTCCTTGGCCTCCCTCAGCGCAGCCTCCAGCGCCTTGACGCGCTCGGCAGTGGCGCGCAGGCGCTTCTCCAGCTTAGGAAGCTCGCAGCGCAGATCCGCATTGTCACGAACCAGCTGGCGGGGGCAAGGGGGGGGGGCAAGGGGGGCACGTGGAAGGAGAGGTAGGGGGGGGAGAGAGGGAGGGGGAGATGGAGGGGGAGATGCGGGGAGGTGGGGGGGGGAGATGGAGGGGGAGATGGGGGGTGGGGGGGAGGTGGAGAGGGAGATGGGGGGGAGATGGAAGGGAGATGGGGGGGGATGGGGGGGAGATGAGGGGGGAGATGAGGGGGGAGATGGAGGGAGATGGGGGGTGGATGGAGGGGAGATGGAGGGGGAGATGGGGAGGATATTGAGGGGAGATGGGGGGGATGGGGGGGAGGTGGAGATGGGGGGGGGAATGGAAGGGAGATGGGGGGAGATGGAGGGGGAGATGGGGAGGAGATGGGGGGGTATTGAGGGGGAGATGGGGGGGAGGTGGGGGGGAGATGGAGGGGGAGATGGAGGAGAGATGGGGGGATATGGAGGGGAGATGGAAGGGAGATGGGGGGGGGATGGGGGGGAGATGAGGGGGGAGATGAGGGGGGAGATGGAGGGAGATGGAGGGTGGATGGAGGGGAGATGGAGGGGGAGATGGGGAGGATATTGAGGGGAGATGGGGGGGATGGGGGGAGGTGGAGATGGGGGGGGGGGGAATGGAAGGGAGATGGGGGGAGATGGAGGGGGAGATGGGGAGGAGATGGGGGGGTATTGAGGGGGAGATGGGGGGGAGGTGGGGGGGAGATGGAGGGGGAGATGGGGGAGAGATGGGGGGATATGGAGGGGAGATGGAAGGGAGATGGGGGGGGAGATGAGGGGGGAGATGGAGGGGGAGATGGGGGGAGATGAGGGGGAGATGGAGGGGGAGATGGGGGAGAGATGGGGGGATATGGAGGGGAGATGGAAGGGAGATGAGGGGGAGATGGGGGGGAGATGGAGGGGGAGATGGGGGGAGATGAGGGGGAGATGGAGGGGGAGATGGGGGGAGATGAGGGGGGATATGGAGGGGAGATGGGGGGGAGATGAGGGGGGAGATGGAGGGGGAGATGGGGGGAGATGAGGGGGAGATGGAGGGGGAGATGGGGGGAGATGGAGGGGAGATGAAAGGGAGATGAGGGGGGAGATGAGGGGGGAGATGGAGGGAGATGGAGGGTGGATGGAGGGGAGATGGAGGGGGAGATGGGGAGGATATTGAGGGGAGATGAGGGGGAGATGGGGGGGAGATGGAGGGGGAGATGGGGGGAGATGGAGGGGGAGATGGGGGAGATGAGGGGGGATATGGAGGGGAGATGGGGGGGAGATGAGGGGGGAGATGGAGGGGGAGATGGGGGGAGATGAGGGGGGATATGGAGGGGAGATGGGGGGAGATGAGGGGGGAGATGGAGGGGGAGATGGGGGGAGATGAGGGGGGAGATGGAGGGGGAGATGGGGGGAGATGGAGGGGGAGATGGGGAGAGAAGAGGGGGGAGATGAGGGGGGAGATGGAGGGGGAGATGGGGAGAGAAGAGGGGGGAGATGAGGGGGGAGATGAGAAAGAGGGGGGAAGGAGGGGGACAAGGGCAGAGGGAGGTGAGAGAGGGGAGGGGGTGGAAGGAAAGAGATGGATGGGAGGGAGAGGTGGGAGAGAGATGGTGAGGAGGGAGAGTTCGTTGTGGGTTGGAGAGAGTTGGAGAGTAGACGGGGGGGTGGGGGGGGGGGAGGAGGTGGAAGCAGCGGTGAGAGAAAGTGGGGAGATGTTACAGAGAGAGAGACGTGGGTCGATGGGAGAGACGAGGTGAGGGGGAGAGATGGAATAGGAGACAGCAACAGAGAAGTGGGAGACATGGAGGAGAGGGGAGACATGGGGGGGGGGGGAGGGTGGGGGGGATAGGGGAGGGTAGGGGGGGTAGGGGAGGGTGGGGGGGGGCAGGGGAGGGTAGGGGGTGTAGGGGAGGGTGGGGGGGGGGCAGGGGAGGGTTGGGGGGATAGGGGAGGGTAGGGGGGGGGCAGGGGAGGGTTGGGGGGGTAGGGGAGGGTGGGGGGGGCAGGGGAGGGTTGGGTTGGGTTGGGCGGGTATGGGAGGGTGAGTGTGGTAGGGGAGGGTGGGGGGGGGGGAGGTTGGTGGGGGTAAGGGAGGGTGGGGAGGGTTGGTGGGGGTATGGGAGGGTGGGGGGAGGGTAGGGGGGGTAGGGGAGGGTGGGGGGTAGGGGAGGGTGGGGGGGGAGGTTGGTGGGGGTAGGGGAGGTTGGTGGGGGTAGGGGAGGTTGGTGGGGGTAGGGGAGGGTGGGGGGTAGGGGAGGGGGGGTTGGTGGGGGTAGGGGAGGGTGGGGGGGTAGGGGAGGGTGGGGGGGTAGGAGAGGGTGGGGGGGGTAGGGGAGGGTGGGGGGTAGGGGAGGGTGGGGGGGGAAGGGAACGAGCGAATGAATGAATGAAGAGATTGAAGGGAGAGTGATCGGTGAGAGAGGTGGGGGAGAGATGGAGGGGGAGGCAGGTGAGGGAGTAGGATACGAGAGAGGGCCTCAGGTTGGCTCCCACAGCGGTGGTGCTGGAGGTAGTCATAGACCACAGCCCTGGAGAGGTGCGGCAACACCGGGGCTTACCTGCTTGTGCACCTTTGTAAGCTGCTCCAGGTTATTCTCAAGAAAGGAAATCTTCTGTTTCTGAGCCACGCTGCCTCCGGTGTCATCAGAGTCCATTTCTGCTGTCTGTGACACAAACCCAGACACACACGGCCATCATCATCGCCCTCCATCATCAGCAACTGCGTCATCACATTCATTATCCACGTCAGATTCATCACTGTGTCCATCATCACCATCATTAGCATCATCAGTCGTTATCATCATCATCAGCATTATTATAATCATCATCGTCATCATCACCATCATCATAAATCTCATCATCACCATCATTATCATCAGCATCATCAGCAGCATCAACAGCATCATCACCATCATTATAGTCAGTACCATCTGTATAATCGTTAGCATCATCATCATTCCTCTTGTGCCATTAGCATCCATCTCTGTTACACACCAACCAAACATTCATCATCATCAGCAGCAGCATAATCATTCACATCAGAATCATGACTGTTACTGTCATCATCACCATCATCATCAGTTATCTTGCGTTATCAGCTTCCATCTCTGTTAGACACCAGCCAAACAATCATCATCATCCTTCCGGGGTGGACAAAATCACCACTCACTTCGCAACACCTCAACAGGGCTGCGTCGGGTGGTGGCGGGTTTAACGACACATTTATCTTTACGCGATCTAACCCCACAAACTTCTAGTACGGGTGATATTGGTCGCGAAAGTCTACGTGTTAAACTAATGTATGTACGTTGAACTTCTTTCGCACCGTACGTAGAAAACCGTGCCAATCGGAGGTGCGGGGCGGGGGGGGGAAGGAAAACAAACTAACGAGACAAAAATCGGTTCTAAAGAAATTACATTGTCAATCTAGATGATGTAAAAGTGCAGAGCTCCCAGTAGCTTCCTCATAGAACCTCTAATGGCGCACCGATTGCCTCTCACTCTCGGAGAGAGAGAAACACGGAGCGGCAGAGGCGCAGAGAAACCCACCGACGAGTGGCAAGGCAGCCAGAAACCTACGTCAGTCACGTATAAAAATAAAATAATAAATTAAATAATAGCATGCTATAGCATGCTAAATAATAGCATGCTATAGCATGCTATTATTTAATTTATTATTTTATTTTTATACGTGACTTTACCGAAAAAACCAAAGAATAATTCCTGCAGTCACGAAAGCTCCAAAATTAAGACTACGTCAACAATTGCCCGAGTTCTGCGGTCCTACGTTGGGGATGATTGGCGAACTAAGGGCCCTCTGATTGCACGACCCCCCCCCCCCCCCCCCGGCCCAATGACCCGCAAACTCGTGACCTCCTGACAGTGCCAGATCATCCTCGTAGCAAAAGTAGCTACAACACGTGTAGTAGCTGCACGTGTAGTAGCTGCACGCGTAGTAGCTGCACGCGTAGCAGCTGCTACACGCGTAGCAGCTGCACGCGTAGCAGCTGCTACACGCGTAGCAGCTGCTACACGCGTAGCAGCTGCACGCGTAGCAGCTGCTACACGTGTAGCAGCTACACGTGTAGCAGCTACACGTGCAGTAGCTGCATGTGTAGTAGCTACAAGGCCCCGCCCTAAATGCTTTCAAGCTACCGATTCCGGTTCAGTGATTCTGCACTTGCTCTATCACTATAGTACTATACCGCCTTAAACTTTTATGAACCAAAGAGTATGGATCCCTGCAGTCACGAAAGCTTCAAATCAAGACCGGGTGTTTAAGGTGAGCGATTTTGTCGTAATATCTGGCTGTATAGCAAATGAAAAAATACAATTACTTTACTATGCAAGTTAAAAATTTCGTGTTTTAATATTTGTGTTTTTTTTTTTAATTTAGGGCCCCTTTATAACATCACATGCTACAGGCCCCGCACTCAGCTTCACCCGGCACTGACTCCTGACCTTCTTGACTCGGGTGGCGATGTCCTGCACGAACAGCCTGCGCAGGTTGTGCAGGGTCTGGAGCTCCTTCGCCTGTGGCGGGAGGCAGGGCAGAGGGTTGCCGAGTCCCGTTGCGCGTGTGAGTTGCACACGCCGAGCGGTGCGCTCACCGCATTCGTGAGAAGCTGCGTGATGATGATGGTTGTGATGATGATGATGGTTGTGATGATGATTAGTGAGATGATGATGATGGTTGTGATGATGATGATGGTTGTGATGATGATTAGTGAGATGATGATGATGATGGTTGTGATGAGGATGACGGTTGTGATGATGATGATGATGGTTGTGATGATGATGATGATGGTTGTGATGATGATTAGTGAGATGATGATGATGATGGTTGTGATGATGATGATGGTTGTGATGATGATTAGTGAGATGATGATGATGATGGTTGTGATGAGGATGACGGTTGTGATGATGATGATGGTTGTGATGATGATGATGATGGTTGTGATGATGATTAGTGAGATGATGATGATGGTTGTGATGATGATGATGATGATGGTTGTGATGATGATTAGTGAGATGATGATGATGAAGGTTGTGATGATGATGACGGTTGTGATGATGATTACTGAGATGATGATGAAGGTTGTGATGATGATGATGGTGGTTGTGATGATGATGATTGTGATGATGATGATGATGAAGGTTGTGATGATGATGATTGTGATGATGATGATGGTTGTGATGATGATGATGGTGGTTGTGATGATGATTGTGATGATAATGATGATGGTTGTGATGATGATGATGGTGGTTGTGATGATGATTGTGATGATGATGATGATGATGAAGGTTGTGATGATGATGACGGTTGTGATGATGATGGTGGTTGTGTTGATGACGCTTAATGAAAAGCTGATGATGATGGTTGTAATGATGATAATGGTGGTTGTGATGATGATTGTGATGATGGTTGTGATGATGATTAGTGAGATGATGATGATGATGAAGGTTGTGATGATGATGACGGTTGTGATAATGATGGTGGTTGTGTTGATGACGATTAATGAGAAGCTGATTATGATGGTTGTGATGATAATGGTGGTTGTGATGATGATGATTAGTGAGATGATGATGACGAAGGTTGTGATGATGATCACGATTGTGATAATGATGGTGGTTGTGTTGATGACGATTAATGAGAAGCTGATGATGATGGTTGTGATGATGATGATAATGGTGGTTGTGATGATGATTGTGATGATGATGATGAAGGTGGTTGTGTTGATGACGATTAATGAGAAGCTGCTGATGAAGAGGGTGATAATGATGAAGGTGGTTGTGATGATGATGAAGGTGGTTGTGATGATGACGATTGATGAGAAGTCGATGATGATGATGACGATTGTGATGATGATTATTGAGAAGCTCATGGTGATGATGAAGGTGGTTGTGATAACAATTAGTGAGAATCTGCATGATGATGGTGCTGCTGCTGCTGTGACTAAACGTACCACGGTCTCCTCCAATCCTTTAAGGTCCTGTCTGGCCTGCTCCCGTCTGTCCTGCAGGAGTCTGTACACACACGCACACACACCCGCAGACACACACGGGCACACGCGCACAGACACACACGGGCGCACGCAGGCGTGAACGCACCCACAGATACACACGCACACGCACGCGCACAGACACATGCATGCACACGGGCACACACAGGCATGAACACACCCACACACGCACACACGCGCACAGACACATGCATGCACACGCGCACACACAGGCATGAACACACCCACACACGCACACACGCGCACAGACACATGCATGCACACGGGCACACACAGGCGTGAACACACCGACAGATACACATGCACACACGTGCACACACGTGCACACAGACACACACGGGCACACACAGGCATGAACACACCCACACACGCACACACGAGCATAGACACATACATACACACGCGCACACACAGGCATGAACACATCGACAGATACACACGTGCACACAGACACACACGGGCACACACAGACATGAACACACCCAAAGAAACACACGCACACACGAGCACAGACACACACATGCACACGGGACACACAGACATGAACACACCCACAGACACACACGCACATACACACAGACATGCATGTCGGCACAACATAAGTGGACACACACAGGCGTGATCACGCAAACGCAAAGATCCCCCGTGTAGCCTTAACAGACTTTTGGGGCAAGTGCTGTTAGTGAGCACCTATGAAGGCCGGCACTGTGGCACACGAGGGGGTGGGTGGCCAGCACCACGCTCGGCCGCCTTTGTCTCCCCAGTGACAATGTTTACTACACACCGCACCAGGTGCTCAATTGAGGCTGAGACGACCTAAGGGAGACCCAGGACCGATTCAGACAATCGTCACCGGGTGTTGCGCTAACCCCTCACCTCCAATTAGTGTAGTTGGCCACGTCCGGGGCGAAAGAAGTTCAACAAACGAACGAACGCACAAAGACAAAGATCCCCCGTATAGCCTCTTAACGGACCGTTGGGACAAGTGCTGTTAGCGAGCAGCTGTGACGTGCCGGCACGGCGCACGAGAGGGCTAGGTGGTCATAACCACGCCCGGCCGCCTTTGTCTCCCCACTGGTGATGCCATCGCATAGCACCCAGGTACTCGTTTTAGGCCGAGTCGACCTAGGGGAGGTCCCGGAACCGGTTCAGATATTCGTCAACGGGTTCCGTGGCGCGGCGCGCTAACCACTGTGTGCAAAACTACAACACGCATGAACACGTGAAGATTGCAAGCAAAGTTCACGAACCCGCTCGCTGCACGGCCATATTGTGCCCCCCCCCACCTCGCAGAGGCTTTGGGGAGCTTAACACATCTCTGCGCGATACGCCAACCCTCGCTTCCAAACCGCGGGGTCACGGGCCGCGTACCGCCACTCCCCGGCTACAGCGATGAGGGCGACACGCGGCCACGCGGCCACGCAGCGCGCCGACGGGAATGCGACGCGCCATGCGGGAACACGCGCAGCATGCCACAACAACGTGCGATGACGATGGCACGAAGTATTTTCCAAACCTCGCCGAATCGCGCCGTTGTCCGCCGGATGAGCCCCCTCACCGCCCCCCCCCCCCCCCCCAGCCTGTGCCAGTGGAGCTCCGAGGCTTTGGAACGCGTTTGGCTTCGCTAGTGAAGACAACCGGAGTGATGAGCTCGATTATGCAAATTATTTTGTCAAGGCGCTCTCCCCCCTCCAACCCAGCTTAAATAGACGCTCCAAGCCTGGGGTGTCTCATTCAGACTCTGTCTTCTCGACAGACCTGTTCTTCACCTGAGGACGGCTGCTTGCGTTGTGGCCGAAACGTCGTGAGAATTATTTTATTACGTTTTATTTTTATTATTTTATTATTTCCCTTCTACGTGACTTTACCGAAAGAACCAAGAAGATAGATTGAAGTGCCTTCTGGAAAAGTCACCGCTGCAGACTGCGCTTTGCCCACCACTGGTTCTGGCAGTTTACCCAGCTGTTACTGAGCGAGTGGGTGAGTGGGTAAGTGAGTGAGTGAGTAGATGAGTGGGTGAATGGGTGAGTGAGTAGGTGAGTGACTAAGTGGGTAAGTGAGTGAGTGGGCGAGTGGGTGAGTAGGTGAGTAAGTGAGTGGGTGAATGAGTGACTAGGTGAGTGGGTGAGTGAGTGGGTGAGTAGGTGAGTGGGTGAATGAGTGACTCGGTGAGTGGGTGAGCGGGGAAGTGAGTGAGTAGGTGAATAGGTGAGTGGATGGGTGAGTAAGTGAATAAACTGGCCTTTAGCCACCACTAGCTATGGCCCTTTGCCCAGCTGTTTCTGAGCGAGTGGGTGAGTGAGTGGATGAGTAAGTGATTGAGTGGGTGAGTGAGTGGGTGAGTAAGTGAATGAGTGGGTGAGTGAGTGGGTGAGCGAGTGGACGAGTAAGTGAATGAATGGGTGAGTGAGTGGGTGAGTAAGTGAATGAGTGGGTGAGCGAGTGAGTATGTGAGTGAGTGAGTGGATGAGTAAATTGGCCTTTTACCCCCCCACCCCCCCCCCCCCATGACTTCTGGCCATTCCATGTATTTACTGTCTTTCCGTACATGGTGGCGCATTGGTGAGACCTACAGATAAAAATGCACCACTTTTACAACGTTTTAAGGATCATTATCATTATTTAAACCGCATCCCGACATTCAAATCCGAACATCGGCATCGTCAGCCATGGTCAATCCACTGCTGGATGAAGCCCCCTCCCCCCCAAGCCATAGCCACCTCGCAAGGTCCCCTGATACCACGAGAGGCGATTTCACTGCTCCACCAGACAATAGCGGAGCAGATTTTCACTTCTCCACCGTTAGCACTGCTCCACCAGACAACCGCGGGGCAGAAAACCACCGGTGGAGCAGTGGAAATCATCGGTAGGGTTGGAAAGTGTGCCGAGCCCAGCACGGACTGAGCAGCAACATGTCAACGTAGCGCCATGACGTGCGATGCGCCGTATCATGCGATGTGCCACCTCATTCACCATGCCATGCCACGCTTTTGCCATGCAATGTGGAAGCTTGTTGGTTGTGGGTTGAGCATGTGACCCACCGCGGGACCTCCCATCGCGATACAATCAACTGAGAAATATTTTCTTGTTTTTTTTATCATCTCGTTTTGATCGCATTGTCTCGCTAGCATCGTGATGTTTGTCTGAGTTGGCATCGCCTTATTAGTGTCTAACGTTTCATTTGTCTGTCTGCATTTGTATCGTGCGGAACGCCCCACTGAAGAGCAATCCATTTTTAAATCTAAATTGGTAAAACGAATTTCTTTAGAACTTTTTTTGTGTGTGTCGGTTAGTTTGCTGTCCTCCCCCTGCACCGTTGGGCTACGTACGGTGCGAAAGAAGTTCAACGCACACACACGATGCTCGTTCTGTCGAGTTCGTTCCATTAGAACTATCAGTTCCAGATTTGAAGTTTCGTGACTGCAAGGACCCATACGTGGGTGAAAAACTAAATAAATAAAAATGACAATTTAGTTGTTTTCATTTTCATTTATTTCGTTTTTTGACCCACGTGACTTTACCGAAAAAAACCAAGAAGTTATAGAGCCATCAGGTCAAATTTGTAGATCGTTTGCATCTCGATTTGGGAGGGATCGATCCCGGCGCAATGCGTCTGCCGCCAGCGCGAGGATCGCCGCCACGAGTCGACGGAGGTCGCCCCGGTGGTCACGATGGTCGGCATGCAGCCTGCCATGTCGTGATGCCAGCATGCAGGTGAGTGGCGGGTGGTGAGTGGTGGGTGGTGAGTGGTGGGTGGTGGGTGGTGAGTGGCGGGTGGTGAGTGTTGGGTGGGGGTGGTGAGTGGCAGGTGGTGAGTGGCAGGTGGTGAGTGGCAGGTGGTGAGTGTTGGGTGGTGAGTGGTGAGTGTTGGGTGGTGAGTGTTGGGTGGTGAGTGTTGGGTGGTGAGTGTTGGGTGGTGAGTGGTGAGTGTTGGGTGGTGAGTGGTGAGTGTTTGGTGCTGAGTGTTGGTGGTGAGTGTTGAGTGTTGGGCGGTGAGTGTTGGGTGGTGAGTGTTGGGTGGTGGGTGGTGAGTGTTGGGTGGTGAGTGTTGGGTGGTGAGTGTTGGGTGGTGAGTGTTGGGTGGTGAGTGTTGGGGGGGTGGTGAGTGTTGGGTGGTGAGTGTTGGGTGGTGAGTGTTGGGTGGTGAGTGGTGAGTGGTGAGTGTTGGGTGGTGAGTGGTGAGTGTTGGGTGGTGAGTGTTGGGTGGTGAGTGTTAGGTGGTGAGTGGTGAGTGTTGGGTGGTGAGTGTTAGGTGGTAGGTGGTGAGTGTTGGGTGGTGAGTGTTGGGTGGTGAGTGTTGGGTGGTGAGTTGGGTGGTGAGTGTCTGGTGGTGAGTGTTGGGTGGTGAGTGTTGGGTGGTAGGTGGTGAGTGTTGGGTGGTGAGTGTTGGGTGGTGAGTGTTGGGTGGTGAGTTGGGTGGTGAGTGTCTGGTGGTGAGTGCTGGGTAGCGGTGCTGCATGGCGGGTGGCGAGGCGGAGGCAGGCACGTACGTGAGCTCATGGAGTCTCCGACTTTTCTCCTGTTCCTCACTTTTTAGCTTCTCGTAGTCGGAGCGCAGCCGCTCCTGCTCCAGCTGCAGCTTCTGGTTGAGGCTGCACGCGCCACGCGACACGACGAGGGGTGACGCAACAACGTCGCTCGACACACACACACACGCATGCACACACACTCTACAGATACATGCACACACGCACGCATGTACACACTCTACAGATACACACACACACGCATGCACACACACTCTACAGATACATGCACACACACTCTACAGATACATGCACACACACGCACGCATGTACACACTCTACAGACACACACACACACACGCACGTGCGTACTCACACGCACGCATGTACACACACACACGCATGTACACACACTCTACAGATACATGCACACACGCACGCATGTACACACTCTACAGATACACACACACACGCACGGGCATACTCACACGCACGCATGTACACACACACACACACGCATGTACACACACTACACACACACACCTACAGACACACACACACACACGTGCGTACTCACACGCACGCATGGACACACACTCTAGAGACACACACACACCTACAGATACTCACACACATGCACACACATGCACGCACACACGCGTGCGTGCGTGCGAGCACTCACTCCTTGAGTCCGTCCACGATCTTCTGCTTCTCGTCGATCTCGTCGCGCAGTCGAGACAGCTGCTTGTGGTGGCTCTCGCGGTGTTCCATCATCTGCTGCTCCAGGGCGTTCTGCCACAAGCAAGCAAAGACGACGATCCCTCGATGGTGCTCACGATGGCGCCGATGATGATGGTGCCAATGATGGTGCTGATGATTATGATGATGGCGCCGATGATGATGGTGCTGATGGTGCTGATGATGATGGCGCTGATGATGGTGCTGATGATATCTCTGATAATGATGGTGCTGATGATGGTGCTGATGATTATGGTGATGGCGCTGATGATGGTGCTGATGATTATGATGATGGCGCTGATGATGGTGCTGATGATTATGATGATGGCGCTGATGATGATGCTGATAATATCTCTGATGATGATGGCGCTGATGATGATGGTGCTGATGATATCTCTGATGATGATGGCGCTGATGATGGAGCTGATGATGATACTGATGATGATGGCGCTGATGATGATGGAGCTGATAATGATGGCGTTGATGATGCCGCTGATGAAGATGGCGCTAATGATGATGGCACTGATGATGGTGCTGCTGATGGCGCTGATGATGATGGTGCCGATGATGACGATGCTGATGAAGATGGTGCTGATGATGATGATGGCGCTGCTGCTGCTGCTGATGATGGTGCCGATGATGACGCTGCTGATGATGGTGTGCAGGGCAAGCTGCACGATGGGCACCTGATGGGCATCATCCCCCGCATCGTCCAGGACGTCTCAACTACATCTACTCGATGGATGAGAATCTCGAGTTCCACATCAAGGTACAGAGATAAAGATCCCCCGTGTAACCTTCACCAACTGCTGGGGCAAGTGCTGCTAGCGAGCACCTGTGAAGGTCTGGTGAGGCACACGGGGGGGGGGGGGGTGGCCAGCACCACGCCCGGCCGCCTTTGTCTCCCCAGTGCTGATGATTACACACCGCACCAGGTACTCGTTTAAGGCTGAGTCGACCTAGGGGGGGTAGGGGTAGAGGTTGAGGAGCCCACCTTCATCTCGTGAGCGTCCTGCAGTTTGTCCAGATGCTCCTTTTCCTTGTCCTTGAACGACACTTCGTGCATTTTCTCTGTGACGAGGAGGAGGGTGAGGAGGGTGAGGAGGAGGGTGAGGAGGAGGAGGGTGAGGAGGAGGAGGGTGAGGAGGGTGAGGAGGAGGGTGAGGAGGGTGAGGAGGAGGGTGAGGAGGTGGGTGAGGAGGAGGGTGAGGTGGGTGAGGAGGTGGGTGAGGAGGAGGAGGGTGGTGAGGAGGAGGGTGAGGAGGAGGGTGAGGAGGAGGGTGAGGAGGAGGGTGAGGAGGGTGAGGAGGAGGAGGGTGGTGAGGAGGTGGGTGAGGAGGAGGGTGAGGAGGGTGAGGAGGGTGAGGTGGGTGAGGTGGGTGAGGAGGAGGGTGAGGAGGGTGAGGAGGTGAGGAGGGTGAGGTGGGTGAGGAGGAGGGTGAGGAGGGTGAGGAGGGTGAGGAGAGTGAGGTGGGTGAGGTGGGTGAGGAGGAGGGTGAGGAGGGTGAGGAGGGTGAGGTGGGTGAGGTGGGTGAGGAGGAGGGTGAGGAGGGTGAGGAGGGTGAGGAGGAGGGTGAGGAGGAGGGTGAGGAGGAGGGTGAGGAGGAGGGTGAGGAGGGTGAGGAGGGTGGGGAGGAGGGTGAGGTGGGTGAGGAGGGTGGGGAGGAGGGTGAGGAGGGTGAGGTGGGTGAGGAGGGTGAGGAGGAGGGTGAGGAGGGTGAGGTGGGTGAAGAGGGTGGGGAGGAGGGTGAGGTGGGTGAGGAGGGTGAGGAGGGTGAGGAGGGTGAGGAGGGTGGGGAGGAGGGTGAGGTGGGTGAGGAGGGTGAGGAGGAGGGTGAGGTGGGTGAGGAGGGTGAGGAGGGTGAGGAGGGTGGGGAGGAGGGTGAGGTGGGTGAGGAGGGTGAGGAGGGTGAGGAGGGTGAGGAGGAGGGTGAGGTGGGTGAGGAGGAGGGTGAGGAGGGTGAGGAGGAGGGTGAGGAGGTGGGTGAGAAGGAGGGTGAGGGGGGTGAGGAGGGTGAGGAGGAGGGTGAGGAGGTGGGTGAGAAGGAGGGTGAGGAGGGTGAGGAGGGTGAGGAGGAGGGTGAGGAGGGTGAGGAGGAGGGTGAGGAGGGTGAGGAGGAGGGTGAGGAGGGTGAGGAGGGTCAGGTGGGTGAGGAGGTGGGTGAGGAGGAGGGTGAGGAGGGGGAGGAGGGTGAGGAGGGTGAGGAGGAGGGTGAGGAGGGTGAGTAGGGTGAGGTGGGTGAGGAGGGTGAGGAGGAGGGTGAGGAGGAGGGTGAGGAGGGTGAGGAGGAGGGTGAGGAGGGTGAGGTGGGTGAGGAGCAGGGTGAGGAGGAGGGTGAAGAGGAGGGTGAGGAGGAGGGTGAGGAGGAGGGTGAGGAGGAGGGTGAGGAGGAGGGTGAGGAGGAGGGTGAGGAGGAGGGTGAGGAGGAGGGTGAGGAGGAGGGTGAGGAGGGTGAGATGGGTGAGGAGGAGGGTGAGGAGGAGGGTGAGGAGGAGGGTGAGGAGGAGGGTGAGGGAGAGGAGGGTGAGGAGGAGGGTGAGGAGGTGGGTGAGGGAGAGGAGGGTGAGGAGGAGGGTGAGGAGGAGGGTGTGATTAAAACCATCATCAGAACACGATGCCTCCTGGTAACGAGACACCATGGCGACTGGAAGTCATGTCAACCAGTAGTCATAGAAACATGACGGCATGGCTACTGGTGGTCATGGGAACGCGATCGTTACAGTGACCGTGGCAACAAGGTGTCACGGTAACCGGGTGTGGTGGAACCAAGGTGTCGTTGCCACAAAGAAACCATGGCAACCAAGTAGAATGATAACTATGGGCCATAGTGAAAAGGCGCGACAGCAACTTACTGCCATGGCAATGAGCCATTTTGGCTATTGGGTACCAAGGTAACAAGTTGCTATGGCAACAAGGCTTTAAGGCTACGTACAGTGCAAAAGAAGTTCAACATACGTGCCATTAACCGCAGGGCATTGCGGTGACCAGTCGTCATGACAATACAATGCCATGGCAACCAGGTGCCATGGCAACCGACATCACATCAACCGGGTGCCGTGGCAACCAGGCACCATTCTGAACATAATTGAACATATGTAGGTGGAACTTCTTTCGCACCGTACGTAGCAAACCGCGCTAATCGGCTGCGCGGGGGAAGGACAACAATGCATTGCAGCGACTGGTCGCCGCGGCAACGAGTCTCCGCGGCGACAGGTCTCCGCGGCAACGAGTGTCCGCGGTGACGGGCTCGGTGGACCGACCCTGAGCGCGCAGTTGAGCGAGCTCCTCGCTGAGCGTGTCGTAGGCGTCCTCCAGCTGCCGCTTCTTCAGCTCCACGCTCTGCATGTACTCGCTGAGCGAGCGGATCTTAGCCTCGTGCTGTGGGGTTGGGGGGGGGTCAGGGGGGGGAGAGGGGGGGGGCAGAGGGGGGAGGGAGGGGGGTACAAGCGCGGTGAAAGGTTCAGCCCAATTGCGTGTACGAGTTGGATGACGATGGCTGGTGGTGGTGACGGCGATGGTGGCGGTGAGGCCGATGGTGATTGTCACGGCGATGGTGGCAGTGATGGTGATGGTGAGGCCGATGGTGATTGTCACGGCGATGGTGATTGTCACGGCGATGGTGGCAGTGATGGCGATGGTGGTGGTGACGGCGATGGTGATTGCGACGGTGATGGTGGCAGTGATGGTGGCGGTGAGGCCGATGGCGGCACGATAATGACGACGACGACGACGACGGCGGCGGTGCGGGTGCGTCACCTGCGAGATGAGCAGCTGGCAGGCGGCGAGCTCGCGCTCGGACGCCTCGGCCTTGCGGCTGCACTCGCCCTGCGTGGCCTCCAGCTGGCGGCTACGCTTCACCAGAGACTTCACCTCCGACTTCATCTTGCTCACGTAGAGGCGCGCCACCGTGAACTCCTCCTCGATCATGCCGCTCGCGTCCGCCGCCTGCGGGCCACGGCGACGCGGGCACCGGTTAGCGCCGGGGACGCCGGGGACGCTGGGGACCGTCAACACCGCCGGGGGCGCGCACGCGAAGGCGGCACACGGCACACACGGCACACGCGGACACGGCACACGCGGACACGGCACACGCGGACACGGCACACAGACACGGCACACACAGACACGGCACACACGTGCTCACACGGACGCGTGCGGATGCGCGGAGGGCAGCACCGAGGGCAGGAGGGGTGAGGCCAAGTCAGACCGAGTCAGAGGGGGCAGTGAAGACAGGACAAGCAGAGGGTACGGCACGGTAAGAGGAAGGTGAGGAGGTGGGGGGGGCGTGGTGAGGAGGGGGGGTGAGGAGGGAGGGGTGAGGAGGGGGGTGAGGAGGTGGGGGGGCGGGTGAGGAGGGGGGGTGAGGAGGGGGGGTGAGCAGGGCGTGGTGAGCAGGGGGGGGGGGTGAGGAGAGAGGGGTGAGGAGAGAGGGGTGAGCAGGGTGTGGTGAGGAGGGGGTGGGGGTGAGAAGGAAGGGGGAGGTGAGGAGGGGAGAGGTGAGGAGGGGGGGTGAGGAGGGGGGGGGGGGTGAGCAGAGCATGGTGAGCAGGGCGTGGTGAGCAGGGGGGGGGGTGGTGAGGAGTGAGTGAGTGAGGGGGGGGGTCGTGGACCTTGATGTCGCTGTTGCCCACGGCCGTGCCGATCTCCCCCAGGTCCTTGAGCAGCGACGACAGCATCTCGGTGACACGCTTCTTGTGGTGGCTGCTCGTCTCCTGGAGCCGCTGCACCTCGGCCTCGCTCGACGCCAGGGAGCTCTGCGCACACCGACGTCATCGTAACCGACGTCATCGTCACCGTCGTCATGGTCACCGTCGTCATGGTCACCGTCGTCATCATCACCGACGTCATCATCACCGACGTCATGGTCACCGTCATCATCACCGTCGTCATCATCACCGACGTCATCGTCACCGACGTCATCATCACCGTCGTCATCGTCACCGTCGTCATCATCACCGTCGTCATCGTCACCATCGTCGTCATCACCGTCGTCGTCATGGTCACCGTCGTCATCGTCACCGTCGTCGTCACCGTCGTCGTCATGGTCACCGTCGTTATCATCACCGTCGTCATCATCACCGTCGTCATCATCACCGTCGTCGTCATCATCACCGTCGTCATGGTCACCGTCATAATGGTCACCGTTGTCATGGTCACCATCGTCATCGTCACCGTCGTCATCATCACCGTCGTCACCGTCGTCACCGTCGTCATCACCACCGTCGTCATAGTCACCGTCGTCACCGTCGTCATCATCACCGTCGTCACCGTCGTCATCATCACCGTCGTCACCGTCGTCATCACCACCGTCGTCATAGTCACCGTCGTCACCGTCGTCATCATCACCGTCGTCACCGTCGTCATCACCACCGTCGTCATAGTCACCGTCGTCACCGTCGTCATCATCACCGTCGTCACCGTCGTCACCGTCGTCATCACCACCGTCGTCATGGTCACCGTTGTCATCACCACCATCGTCATCATCATCATGTCATCTTATCGCGTAACATCGTGTCGTCGTGTCATTGCATCATTGTCGTTATCATCATTAACTTCATCATCACGTCATCATCGTCATCATCATCAACATCGTCATTACCATCACATCATCATCGTCATCTTCGTCGTCATTGTCATTAAACATCGTCATCATCATCAACATCGTCATTACCATCACATCATCATCGTCATCTTCGTCGTCATTGTCATTAAACATCGTCATCATCATCAACATCGTCATTATCATCACGTCATTATCATCACGTCGTTATCACGTCGTTATCATCATCGTCATCGTCATCAACATTATCATCAACATCGTCATTATCTTTCGATTTAAAGCTTTCGTGACTGCAGGGATTCATCTTCTTGGTTCTTTCGGTAAAGTCACGTAGAAGGGAAATAATTAAATAATAAAAATAAAACATAATAAAATAATTCTCACGACGTTCCTCGACAGACCTGTTCTTCACCTGAGGACGGCTGCTTGCGTTGTGGCCGAAACGTCGTGAGAATTATTTTATTATGTTTTATTTTTATTATTTTATTATCGCCATCATCGTCTTCATCGTCATCATCGTCGTCGTCATCATCATGCTCATCATCATCATCATCATCGTCGTCACGGCGCGTCGACGCACGATCTTCTGGGCGAGCTCCTCGCTGAGTGCCGCGTAGTCGCGGCCGCGATCCTCGGCCTCCTGCGACTTCTGGTCGTAGTTGACGGCGAGCTCCTCTAGGGCCTGCAGCACCTCCTTCACCTCCTCCTTGGCCGCCTCGTTCTCTGCCTGCAGCCGCGACAGCTCCTCCTGGACGCCCTCGTGGTCGCGGCGCGTCGATGCGATCAGCTGAGACGCGGCCCAGACAACACCGCCACCATGATCAGCATCGTCATCACCATCGTCATCAGCATCGTCATCAGCATCGTCATCACCATCACCGTAGTCATCGCCAATTTCACCAGCATTGTCATCGCCATCGTCATCAGCATCATCGCCATCGTCATCACCATCGTCGTCAGCATCGTCATCAGCATCGTCGTCATCGTCATCAGCATCGTCATCAGCATCGTCATCACCATCACCGTAGTCATCGCCAATTTCACCAGCATTGTCATCGCCATCGTCATCAGCATCATCGCCATCGTCATCAGCATCGTCATCGGCATAGTCATCATCATCACCATCGTCAGCATCATCACCATTATCATCACTATCATCATCCCCATCATTATCCTCGTCATCACGATCACCATCAGCACCAGTATCGTTATCACCATCGTCATCGTCAGCATCGTCATCAGCATCGTCAGCATCACTGTCACCATCGTCATCACCATCGCAATCAACATCGTCACCATTACCATTGTCATCACTATCATCATCCCCATCGTCACCATCGTCAGCATCGTCACCATCATTGTCATCGAAGACACCACCGCCACTTGTGTGCCCACGGCTCTCACCTCCTCCTGATCCAGCATCTGCTGCTTGAGTTTCTCGGCCAGCTGGCTCTGCTGGTTGATCTCATCATCCTGAGCAGAGCGGGCGACATCATCATCATCATCATCGTCATCATTGTCGTCATCATCGTCATCGTCATCATCGTCGTCATCATCGTCGTCATCGTCGTCGTCATCATCATCATCACCGTCATTGTTATCGTCAATGATGGTGATGTTAAAGACCCCGCGACGACTCCCCGTCATTCGTGCTCTGTACCCGGCTCTTGTAGTATAAATAAATAACGAGATATTATGATGATTATAAACACAATAATAAAAACAAAACTTTTCACCGGTGATGTCGTTCTCGCATGCGTGACGTCATTCCCGCGTGTGTGTAACGTCATTCCAGCGTGGGCGTGACGTCATTCCAGCGTGAACGTGACGTCATTCCCACATGGGCGTGACGTCATTCCCGCGTGTTCCCGTGCCCCCCGACCTATATCCAACCACCGCTCCCCCCCGTTGGCCCGCCACCCCAACCCCCCACAGCACCCCCCCCCCACCCCTCACCTTGTCGTCGAGCTGCTTGTAGAGGTGGCGGATGTCGTCGTCGTACTTGATCCGCTCGGCGTCGCCGATGCGCGGCGCGGGGGCCGCCGGCGCGGTGGGGGTGTCGGCGCCGCCGCCGCCGCCGCCCCCGGACGCCGGCGCGTTGTCCACCGTCATGGCCTCCAGGCTGCGGCGCTCCTTGGCGTCCAGCTGCTCGCTCTCGGGCACCGACTCGCCTGCGGGGAGGGGTTAGAGGAGAGAAGTCGTTGGGAGAGGTCGTGGGGAGAGGTCGCGGGGAGAGGTCGCGGGGAGAGGTTGTGGGGAGAGGTAGCGGGGAGGGGTCATGGGGAGAGGTCGCGGGGAGAGGTCGCGGGGAGAGCTCGTGGGGAGAGGTCGCGGGGAGAGGTCGCGGGGAGAGGTCGCGGGGAGAGGTCGCGGGGAGAGGTCACGGCGTCGTCATTTGCAGTTATGAGTCATCACAAGTCGTCGTCACGAGTCGTCGTCACGAGTCGTAGTCACGACGTCACGAGTCGTCGTCACGAGTCGTCGTCACGAGTCGTCGTCACGAGTCGTCGTCACGACGTCACGAGTCGTCGTCACGACGTCACGAGTCGTCGTCACGACGTCACGAGTCGTCGTCACGACGTCACGAGTCGTCGTCACGACGTCACGAGTCGTCGTCACGACGTCACGAGTCGTCGTCACGACGTCACGAGTCGTCGTCACGACGTCACGAGTCGTCGTCACGACGTCACGAGTCGTCGTCACGACGTCACGAGTCGTCGTCACGACGTCACGAGTCGTCGTCACGACGTCACGAGTCGTCGTCACGACGTCACGAGCCGTCACGCACCGTTGCGCCAGCGCAGGAGCTCGGCCTCCAGCCTCGTCACGGCCATCTTGAGCCCCTTGTTCTTGTCCTTCTCCTTCTCGAACTTCTTCTTCCACTCCTCGGCCGTGAGCTCCAGGTTCACGCTCACCTGGTTCTTGATGGTCTTCGCCCTGCGCACACAGCCCACGCGGCCCGCTATAGCGTGTATGTGTGTGTGTGTGCAGGTGTCGCCCCTCACAGCTGTACGCGTGTGTGTGTGTGCAGGTGTCGCCCCTCACAGCTGTACGCGTGTGTGTGTGTGCAGGTGTCGCCCCTCACAGCTGTGCGTGTGTGTGTGTGTGCAGGTGTCGCCCCTCACAGCTGTACGTGTGTGTGTGTGTGCAGGTGTCGCCCCTCACAGCTGTACGCGTGTGTGTGTGTGCAGGTGTCGCCCCTCACAGCTGTGCGTGTGTGTGTGTGTGCAGGTGTCGCCCCTCACAGCTGTACGCGTGTGTGTGTGTGCAGGTGTCGCCCCTCACAGCTGTACGCGTGTGTGTGTGTGCAGGTGTCGCCCCTCACAGCTGTGCGTGTGTGTGTGTGTGCAGGTGTCGCCCCTCACAGCTGTACGCGTGTGTGTGTGTGCAGGTGTCGCCCCTCACAGCTGTACGCGTGTGTGTGTGTGCAGGTGTCGCCCCTCACAGCTGTGCGTGTGTGTGTGTGTGCAGGTGTCGCCCCTCACAGCTGTACGTGTGTGTGTGCAGGTGTCGCCCCTCACAGCTGTACGCGTGTGTGTGTGTGCGCGCCTTCATAGGTGCTGCTTGCTAACGGCACTTGCCACAGCAGACTGTTAAGGCTATACACGGCGGGGTCTTTGTCTTTGTGTGTGAGCAGTGCAGCGGTCAGCGCTACGCTGCGCTGCGAACCTGGCGACCCGAGTTCGATTCCCGCTCACGGCCATCACGACCGATCACGATTATCTGAACCGCTCCTCAGCCTCCCCTAGGTCCACTCAGCCTCAAACAACTCCCCGGTGCGGTGTGTCACGTAAACATCGACGCTGGGGAGACAAAGGCGGCCGGGCGTGCTGCCGCCGGCCACCCACCCCCTCGTGTGCTGCTACTCTCCGACAGCCACTTGCCCCAACAGTCTGCTGAGGCTACACGGGGCGGACTCTTTGTCTTTGTGTGTGCCTCACCGCTGGCCGAACATGAGCGTGGACTTGGACTCGGCCTCGTTGTAGGCCGAGGGCGAGCAGCAGATGACGATCGTCGTGCGGCAGTTGCCGCCCAGCGAGTCCTGCAGGATGCGCGTCATCTTGCTGTCGCGGTAGGGCACGTGCGTCTTCTGCAGACAAAGACGACGCAAAGACAACGGTCGTCACCACCCCCCGCCCCGCCCAGCGTGTAGCCTCAACAGACTGTTGGGGCAAGCGGCTGTTAGCGAGCGCCTATGAAGTCCGGCACGGCGTGTGAGGGAGGGGTGGGTGGCCAGCAACCATGCCCAGTGATCTTAAAACACCCGGTCCTGACCCTCACCCTCGCCATAACCTTAGCACCAACCCTAACTTTAGCAATATCACTCCTCCCTTACTCTAGCCCTGACCCTTGACCCCAGCTCTATCCCTAACCCTTGACCCCAGCTCTATTCCTAACCCTTGACCCTAGCTCTATCCCTAACCCTTGACCCCAGCTCTATTCCTAACCCTTGACCCTAGCTCTATCCCTAACCCTTGACCCCAGCTCTATCCCTAACCCTTGACCCCAGCTCTATCCCTAACCCTTGACCCCAGCTCTATCCCTAACCCTTGACCCCAGCTCTATCGCTAACCCCTAACCCCTGACAGTGACCCCGTGCAGAGCTGAGCTCACCGTGCCCTCGGCGAGGGCCGAGATGACGTTGCCGAGCGAGGAGAGCGACTTGTTGATGTTCTTTGCCTCGTCCAGGACGGATCCCTCCGCTCCCGTCTTGCTCACCTGGCGCGGACAACACACGGCAGGGAGCGCACAGAGGCAAAGGTCACCTGCGTAGCCTCAAACAGACCGCCGGGGCAAGTGCCGCCGTGAGCGAGCGGCGACCCCTACGACCCGGAGGCGATGCCGTTGCTGCTCCGCTCTACGGAGCGTGAGATGGGGCCTTCACCCATCAGCCCCACACAAAACAGAACACCACAAAGCTCATGCCCGGGTATGTTATGTCATTAAATACACTGGTCAAAAACAAAAAAACTTTTTTTTTCTGGCCTGGACTTTTGCAGCCGTTTTAGACTAATTTCAGGGTGCTGATTCCAAATCTGATCTCAGATTTGCTCTATTTTTTATACAATCGGCATACCCCATTTTCATTGATTTTACCCGAAATTACCTCTGTCACTTATGATTGCAAGTTGTTGCGAGTCAGTGACTGCTTTAGTGTTAAAATATGGTGCTGTATTTTAGGATAGTGTGTTTATAATATCATTTTATGTAGATATCCACATTTATTTAATATTTTTCTTCTGCAGTTTTTATTGAACATGCAATATTTGATATCTCAAAAACTGATGCCAGATTTGGAATCAGCACCCCAAAATTACCTTAAAACCGTTGGAATACCTTATGTCAGAAAAAGTGTGTTGACCAGTGATATTTTCCCGCTCCCTTCACTCCCCGTAGTTGTGGAGAGAGTGGAGGCGTTCCCATTCTCCATTGTCTTCACATCAGCTGCTACCTGGCCTACCGCTCCACGCGAAGCTCCGGGTCTTCTCGGCCACGGCCATTGCCCTCCCCGTCTCTACGCTTGCGAAATGTGGACCCCGTTGAAGGAACATCTGCGCCGATTTGACACATTCAGGCTGGGCCAGCTGCCTACGAGCCATGCTGAGTTTAACCTGCAGACTGGATTGTGTGTGGAACTCAAAGATCCTTGAAAGATCTCCACCGTTCTGTTAGTGAGCTCCTCTGGCTGGGTCACGTAGCCTGCATGCCCAGCCACCACATGCCCAACAGCTTCTGTTTGGCTGGATCGAGGGGGCTAAACGGGCATGACAAGGGTTGGAGAAGAGATGGAGTGATGTGGTACTGGAGGATGTGAAGCTGAGTGGACTTGCTAATGACCGGTACCAGCGATGTCAAGATCGGTCTCTATGGAGGAGGCTCGTGAAGGACGCTGCTACTGGCCAGTTGGAGGCAGTCGCCCTCCAACAACAATGCAGGGCAAAGGAGCGACGCTCACAACAATGAGCGGAGTGTCGGGCGGATAAAGCGAGTTGGCACAGTGAGGAGCACAGTTCATGCATCAGCCAGTCATCTCAGTTAGTCAACTCATGGCACCTGGGTCTGTCCCGTCCTTGAAGTTGATTCAACAATCAACTTCAAGGACAGTGCATACATTATTAGAGTTATGTTTTTTGTTTGCATTGACTGCAGGTATTGTGGTATATGCAAACATGACTCCTTGTAAAAAAAGTTGTCAGTTTTGTTGCGAGATAGAAGGGTAAAAAACCAATTATCAATGATGATGACGACGATGACGACGATGACAACAATGACGACGACGACGATGACACCGATCCCGACGACGACGCCATCTCACCTTCTCGCTGCCAGCCAGGTCGACGAGGTAGAGCTTGCCACTGAGCTTCTGCTCCGTCTCGACGTTCTCCTGCTTCACGTTGATGAGGAAGATGCTGTGGCTGCGCGAGCTGTGCTCGTTCATGTCTGCCACGGCGCACAGAGACACCAGGCCACCCACGGATCCCTCAACAGGCTTGAGAAAGGCTACACTGGGGATCTGCGCGCGCGTGTGTGCGTGCGTTTGCACGTGTGTGTGTGTGCGCGTGGGTTTGCATGTGTGTGCGTGTGTGTGTGTACGTGCGTGTGTGTGTACGTGTGTGCACGTGTGTGTGTGTGTGGGTTTGCATGTGAGTGTGTACGTGTGTGTGCGTGTGTGGTGTGTGTGTGTGCACGTGCGTGTGTGTGCGTGCGTGTGTGTGCGTGCATGTGCGTGCATGCGTGTGTGCGTGTCGCGTACTCGTCACGGCGACGTGCCGGTTGGACTTCCCCTCGTCGATGACGTCCATCACCTCCTCGGGGCTCGACACGAAGCGCTCCGTGCAGCCCTAGACGTCGACGCGGTGACACGGTGATACGGTGACACGGTGATACGGTGACACGGTGATACGGTGACACGGTGATACGGTGACACGGTGACACGGTGACACGGTGACACGGTGACACGGTGACACCGTGATAGGGTGACACGGTGATACGATGACACGGTGATACGGTGATACGGTGACACGGTGATACGGTGACACGGTGACACGGTGACACGGTGATACGGTGACACGGTGATACGGTGACACGGTGATACGGTGACACGATGACACGGTGACACGGTGACACGGTGACACGGTGACACCGTGATAGGGTGACACGGTGATACGATGACACGGTGATACGGTGATACGGTGACACGGTGATACGGTGACACGGTGACACGGTGACACGGTGATACGGTGACACGGTGATACGGTGACACGGTGATACGGTGACACGGTGATACGGTGACACGGTGATACGGTGACACGGTGACACGGTGACACGGTGACACGGTGATACGGTGACACGGTGATACGGTGACACGGTGATACGGTGACACGGTGATACGGTGACACGGTGACACGGTGATACGGTGACATGGTGATACGGTGACACGGTGATACGGTGACACGGTGATACGGTGACACGGTGATACGGTGACACATCGAAATAGTGACTCGAGATGCACAAACACACCACCTGAACACAGCGACACATCGCCATCGCCACGGCCACGCGTCAACATACCGCGTGAACACAGCATCACATCGCCACATCGCACCAAATGCTACACCCGACACGAGCACTGTGAGAGAGAAACGCTCTGCGGGAGTGTGATTGGCAGCGACGTCACAACGCTCGCGGGCTGTGATTGGCAGCGACGTCACAACGCTCGCGGGCTGCAATTGGCTGCAACGTCACAACACTCTGCGGGCTGTGATTGGCTGCAACGTCACAACGCTCGCGGGCTGTGATTGGCTGCAACGTCACAACACTCTGCGGGCTGTGATTGGCTGCAACGTCAGAACGCTCGCGGGCTGTAATTGGCTGCAACGTCACAACACTCTGCGGGCTGTGATTGGCTGCAACGTCACAACGCTCGCGGGCTGTGATTGGCTGCAACGTCACAACGCTCGCGGGCTGTGATTGGCTGCGACGTCACAACGCTCGCGGGCTGCGTGGCACAGCGGCACAGTGACACAGCGCTCCGTACCTTGACGTACGGCACGCGGTTCTTGTCCTCGTGAACGGAGAGGTTCGTCTTGGAAACTGAAAAACGCACACACGCACGTACGCTCACACTCGCACGTTTACACGCGTGTTCACACTCGCGTTTACACACACGCACATTCACGCACTTGCATGTTCACACGCAATGCACGTTCCCTGTGTGTCTTCTCTGTGTATGTACCTCGTGTCTGTTCACGAGTCCCTGTCCTCTGTTTTACGTTGGCATGTTCAGCCCGGATGATGAACACGAGAGATTCGGCAGTCTTTGTGAAATACGTGGTCAACCAGGTTAGTGTCTCACTGTGTTGTTGGCCGACTGGTTTGCGTCACGTGATGCTCACGTGCAGTTTGACGTTCTCTGTGTGCTGTGCACGTGGTGTCCCTCCTCTGTGTGTTCCCTTGCTGTGTGTTTCACCCCATTTCCACCTGACGATGAGTGCTTGTGTTGCGTTCGAAACGTCGTGATTTATTTTAATTATTTTATTTTAGTTCTACATACGTGACTTTACCGAAAAAACCAATGAGTACAACACATGTTCACACACAACACACGTTCACACACACAAAAAAAAACAAAGATCCCCCGTATAGCCTGAACAGACTGTAGGGGCAAGTGCTGTTAGCGAGCACCTATGAAGGCCGGAACGGTACACGAGGGGGTGGGTGGCCAGCACCACGCCCGACCGCCTTTGTCTCCCTAGTGGCGATGTTTACACACCGCACCAGGTACTCATTTAGGGCTGAGTCGACCTAGGGGAGGCCCAGGAACGGTTTAGATAATCGTCACTGGTGTTGGCCGTGAGCGGGAACACACACACACACGCACGTTCACACACACACGTTCACACACACACGTTCACACACAACACACGTTCACACACAGCACACGTTCACGCACCCACCTGTTCACACACGTACAGCACATGCACATGAACACGCTTGACGCGACTACCGCTCCTCTCCAGCCTCCACACAACCCTCACCGCCCCCCCCCCTCCCCCATCGCTAATGAACGAGACGTTACAGGTGGCAGCAATCTGGAGCACACGGAGGAAACCCCGAGCGGGCGATGGGGAACAGATGGAGAACACGTGCTAGTCGGCTTTCGCGACCAATATCATCCATAATAAAGGTTATAACTCTTTGGTTCTTTCGGTAAAGTCACGTATAAAGATAAAATAATAAATTAAATAATAGCATACGTATGCTATTATTTAACGAAAGAACCAAAGAGTAATTATGTTGGGTTAGATCATGTAAATATATGAATGTGTCGTTAAACCCCTGCACCACCCGACACAGCCAACTAGTAAGGGTTGTCACGTAAACAGAACGTGGCTGATTTGTCACTAGTACAGCACTAGTGTATAGTGTAGTGTATAGTGTAGTGTATAGTCGTGTAGTGTATAGTGTAGTGTATAGTAGTGTCGTGTATAATGTAGTATACTAGTACAGCACTAAACGGTTGTGAGTTTGAGAGCCAATCCACAACATTTACGATCTGCGTACGACGTTTCGCCAGTAATCATAGTAATGATGATGCTAGCTGTAATTACTGGCGAAATATGGTACTTGAGATTGTAAATGTTGTGGATTTGCTCTCCAGCACACAACCGGCGCGTGCTATACTAGTGACGAATTGACCACGTTCTGTTTACGTGACGAACCATTCGTGGTTGTCTGTGTCGGGGTAGTGGTGGGTTTAATGATAACACGATTATATATTTATATACGTGACCTGACCCAAAAACAACCTCGACGATTAGAGATGGAGGTTAGTCCACACCGCCTCTTCGACGCCCACGGCAAGGGAGTTTCACGTCCCATCTGCGCTTACAGGCAGCCGCGTGCAGCAGCGTAGCCACCACCACAATCATCATCAGCAGCAGCATGAGCGACACAATCATCAGTAGAAGCACCACCACAATCATCAGCAGAAGCACCACCACAATCATCAGCAGAAGCACCACCACAATCATCAGCACGACCACTACAATCACCATCAGCAGCAGCATGAGCAGCACAACCATCAGCAGAAGCACCACCACAATCATCAGCACGACCACCACAATCACCATCAGCAGCAGTATGAGCGGCACAACCATCAGCAGAAGCACCACCACAATCATCAGCACGACCACCACAATCACCATCAGCACGACCACTACAATCACCATCAGCAGCAGTATGAGCACCACAACCATCAGCAGAAGCACCACCACAATCATCAGCACGACCACTACAATCACCATCAGCAGCAGCATGAGCAGCACAACCATCAGCAGAAGCACCACCACAATCATCAGCACGACCACCACAATCACCATCAGCAGCAGTATGAGCGGCACAACCATCAGCAGAAGCACCACCACAATCATCAGCACGACCACCACAATCACCATCAGCACGACGACGACCACCGGCACCACCGCATGACGTTCTCACCGTCAAGGAGATCGCGAATCTTGTCCATGTAGATCTCAAAGTAGGAGACCTGTACGGGGGGGGGGGCAAGAGGTCACGTGACGGTGATGAGCTCGTCCACTGGGTAGTCTCATACCTGTCAACCCCTTGTCAGTGCCCTGCCTTATTACAAACCAATTCACACCTTAGTGGTCACCCCGTGCCCCTTATACATCTCAACGTTCATCCTACAAAGTCCCATCACCACAAGGGAGAAACACAAACAAAGACACAAACTTATTTCTGTTGCCCGTATTGAAACGGCTGTGCGCCGTGTGGACCTGAAAACTCGATTCGCCTGCACAGGAATACGGAGTGAACCGTGATGGGTTGACACGGTGTGTAGTCTGCGTGCATGCGTGTCTGTGTTGTTTGTGAGGAGTGGTGGCGCAGCGGTTAGCGCAGCGGTTAGCGCGCTTTGCGCTACGAACACGGCGACCCGAGTTCGATTCCCGCTCACGGCGGCCGCCAACCCCGGTGACGATTATCTGAACCGGTCCTGGGCTTCCCCTAGGTCGACTCAGCCTCAAATGAGTAGCTGGTGCGGTGTGTAAACATCGCCACCGGGGAGACAAAGGCGGCCGGGCGTGCGTAGTTGCTAGGCCACCCATCCCCTCGTGTGCCGTGCCGGCCTTCATAGGTGCTGCTCGCTAACAGCACTTGCCCCTACAGTCTGTGAAGGTTACACGGGGGATCTTTATCTCTGTACCTTGATGTGGAACTCGAGATTCTCATCCATCGAGTAGATGTAGTTGAAGACGTCCTGGACGATGCGGGGAATGATGCCCATCAGGTGCCCATCGTGCAGCTTGCCCTGCACACCATCATCATCAGCAGTGCCATCATCATCATCAGCGTCATCATCAGCAGCAGCGCCATCATCATCAGCACAATCAACATCAGCATCGTCATCATCGGCACCATAATCATCGGCGCTACCATCATCAGTGCTATCATCATCAGCACCATCATTATCATCAGTGCCATTATAAGCAGTGCCATCATCATCAGCGCCATCATCATTATCAGCGCCATTATAATCAGCACCATCATTATCAGCGCCATCTTCATCAGCGTCATCATCAGCGCCATCATGATCAACACTATCATCATCAGTGCCATCATCATCATCAGCACCGTCATCATCGCCGTCATCAGCACCAGCATCATCAGCGCCATCATCATCAGCACCATCATCATCAGGGCAGCGTTAAAAGTTGACATTATTCCATGAGTCAGTGATTGCATGTTCAAAATTATAAGAAAAAACAACTGGATTCACGGTTTATGAATCTGCACGTTACACTCAGCGAGTATATTTATAAATGCACAACTCTTAGGTTATCACGGGTGCGCAAGATTCATACATTGTAAGCTCGATTGAACAGTTCGATTAAACCTACTCACTCTACACAACAACAAAAGACAAAGATCCCCCGTGTAGCCTTAACAGACTGTAGGGGCAAGTGCTGTTAGCGAGCACCTATGAAGGCCAGAACGGTACACGAGGGGGTGGGTAGCCAGCACCACGCACGACCGCCTTTGTCGCCCTAGTGGCGATGTTTACACACTGCACCAGGTACTCGTTTAAGGCTGAGTCGACCTAGGGGAAGCCCAGGACCGGTTCAGATAATCGTCACTGGTGTTAGCCGTGAGCGGGAATCGAACCCGGGTCGCCAGGTTCATAGCGCAGCGCGCTAACCACTACACCACCACTCCCCACATACACACACACATGTACACGCACACACATGTACACACACACACACGTACATACGAATCAGATTACACTTCCTACCGGAGCACGAAGATGCGGGGGCTTACAGGAACCTTTCAGACGCTAATCCGATTGCAGTCAAGGGGATTGTGACTCTCACCTCCATCGTGTGCGTCTTGCCCGACGACGTCTGTCCGTACGCGAAGATTGTTCCATTGTATCCCTCAAGGACATCTGCACACAGACACCCGCAGCCATGTTTGTTTGTTGTAGTACAGAGTTAGACTGATGGCCTTAATCTAAGTTGTCTTGTGGTTGTTGTTGTTGTTTGACTTGCATCCCACTGGGATTATTGCACACAGCGTTGGTGTACGGTGATTTTTTTTTCTGCAATATTTTGCTGTCTTTTCTTGAATTTTCTGTTTGCACATAGTCACTTTAAGATGTTTTTTGTTCATGTTTTAGTTTTCTGTTTGTTGCGGTTGCACCCGATTCAAGAGCCGAATGGCTCACAGGGCTACACCAAATAAATGAACTTGAACTTGACACACACACACGCCAGCAGCCACACACAGACAATGTACGCGCCAAGAGGCAGACGCACGACAACATCCACCGTTCACCGCTAAGTGATGGTGACAGCCACAAAGATAAAGATTCCCCCCGGCCACGTAGCCTTCAACAGACTGTAGGGGCAAGTGCTGTCAGCGAGCAGCACCTATGAAGGCTACCGGCACTGTGGCACACGAGGGGGTGGATGGCCAGCACCACGCCCGGCCGCCTTTGTCTCCCCAGTGGCGATGTTTACCACACACCGCACCGGGTACTCGTGTTGAGGCTGAGCTAACAGCCACAAAGCCACACCGACTAAACACCATCACGACATCACACACGAACCGCCATCACTATCGCCATCAGCCTAACCACCGCCGCCACCTCTTTTTTAATTTAAAGACAATTTTGTTTTTTAATCTCCGGGCTTTGATCCCCGGATCGCCGCTGTTGTCGTCATCATAATCATCGTCGTCGTCATCATAATCGTTGTCATCGTCCTCGTCATCGTCATCACAATCGTCGTCATCGTCGTCATCATCATAATCGTTGTCGTCGTCATCGTCGTCATCATCATCATAATCGTCGTCGTCGTCATGATCGTCATAATGAAAATCAAAAATATAAAATTCTCACGACGTTTCGATTGCTTGTGTTGCAATCGAAACGTCGTGAGAATTGTTATTGTTTTATTTTATTATTTCCCTTCTACGTGACTTTACCGAAAGAACCAAGAATATGAATCCCTGCAGTCACGAAAGCTTTAAATCGAAATCGTCATCATTGTCGTCGTCATCATCGTCATCGTCGTCATCATCGTTGTCGTCGTCGTCATCATCGTCATCATTGCCGTCATCATCGTCGTCTTCATCAGTCATCATCGTCATCATTGTCGTCATCATCGTCGTCGTCATTGTCGCCATCACAATCGTCGTCGTCATCGTCGTCATGGCATCACGACGACAAAGAAGCGGCGTGGACGCCTCCGCGTGAGCAGAGAACGGCCCGCGGAAGTGGACATCACAGAGTTAGCTCCGAGATCCCTTCTACACGTGACACTCTAGTTCACACACACACACAGTATCGGGCAGCACTGCCTCACCCGCTCTGCCGTACGAGAGGGGTGCCCGTCACCAGCGATAGTTTCGTTCTCAGAGAGCCAGAAATTTGGCAAATTAAGCACAACCCAGTTTATGCAAGTCTATGGGTCTCTGTGTGAGTCTATGGGTCTCTGTGTGAGTCTATGGGTCTCTGTGTGAGTCTATGGGTCTCTGTGTGAGTCTATGGGTCTCTGTGTGAGTCTATGGGTCTCTGTGTGAGTCTGTGGGTCTCTGTGTGAGTCTATGGGTCTCTGTGTGAGTCTATGGGTCTCTGTGTGAGTCTGTGGGTCTCTGTGTGAGTCTATGGGTCTCTGTGTGAGTATGGGTCTGTGTGAGTTTATGGGTCTCTGTATGAGTCTATGGGTCTCTGTGTGAGTCTATGGGTCTCTGTGTGAGTCTATGGGTCTCTGTGTGAGTCTGTGGGTCTCTGTGTGAGTCTATGGGTCTCTGTGTGAGTCTATGGGTCTCTGTGTGAGTCTGTGGGTCTCTGTGTGAGTCTATGTGTCTCTGTGTGAGTCTATGGGTCTCTGTGTGAGTCTATGGGTCTCTGTGTGAGTATGGGTCTGTGTGAGTTTATGGGTCTCTGTATGAGTCTATGGGTCTCTGTGTGAGTCTATGGGTCTCTGTGTGAGTCTATGTGTCTCTGTGTGAGTCTATGAGTCTCTGTGTGAGTCTATGGGTCTCTGTGTGAGTCTATGGGTCTCTGTGTGAGTCTATGGGTCTCTGTGTGAGTCTATGGGTCTCTGTGTGAGTATGGGTCTGTGTGAGTTTATGAGACTCTGTGTGAGTCTATGAGTCTCTGTGCGGGTTTATGGGTCTCTGTGTGAGTCTATGGGTCTCTGTGTGAGTCTATGTGTCTCTGTGTGAGTCTATGGGTCTCTGTGTGAGTCTATGGGTCTCTGTGTGAGTCTATGGGTCTCTGTGTGAGTCTATGGGTCTCTGTGTGAGTCTATGGGTCTCTGTGTGAGTCTATGGGTCTCTGTGTGAGTCTATGTGTCTCTGTGTGAGTCTATGGGTCTCTGTGTGAGTCTATGGGTCTCTGTGTGAGTCTATGGGTCTCTATGTGAGTCTATGTGTCTCTGTGCGTGTCTATGGGTCTCTGTGTGAGTCTATGGGTCTCTGTGTGAGTCTATGTGTCTCTGTGTGAGTCTATGGGTCTCTGTGTGAGTCTATGGGTCTCTGTGTGAGTCTATGTGTCTCTGTGCGTGTCTACGGGTCTCTATGTGAGTCTGTGTGTCTCTGTGCGAGTCTCCGGGTCTCTATGTGAGTCTGTGTGTCTCTGTGTGAGTCTACGGGTCTCTGCGCGAGTGTGGGCCTGTTCGCGTTACGTTCGAGAACGCGATTCGAACTCAAACGCACGACCTCGCCTGTGACGGCTTGGGTCCAATGCCAGCCACCCCCGTGACCCCCGTGACCCCTGCGAAACCTCCCCCCCACCCTCCCGAAACCATCGCCGTCACCGTGGCGACCACGCGACGGGCTGCATAAAAGCAAATAAATAAATAAGTGGTGCCTCCCAAATCGTCCATTAGTGGGAGCTCTTTGGGTTGCCATGGCGACGTCAGGGTCTCTGAAGAGATGTTGCTAATGAGCTAGGATGGGGAGGGGGGAGGGGGTGTTGGGGGATGGAGGGAGGGTGGAGGGGAGGGGTAATGGGGGATGGAGGGGATGGAGGGGGGGGTAATGGGGGATGGAGGGGGGGTGGAGGGGGGGTGGAGGGGAGGGGGAATGGGGGATGGAGGGGATGGAGGGGGGGGTAATGGGGGATGGAGGGGGCATGGGGGGAGGGGGAATCTGTGCTCGTGTCTGTCCCTCCACCGGGGTGGTGGGTGAGGTCTCCCGATGTGACGGGATACGGACAAAGAAAGACAAAGGCGGACGGACGACGAGTGACGGACAGACAGGCGGGGGGAGCATGGACGGATGGGTGCCGTGGCCGCTTGGACAAATAGCGACAGGCAGACTCGGCGGACACACGGGTGGACTGAGACAATGGGCAGGAGGACGAGACACGTGGTGAGAGACAGAGACAATGGGCAGGAGACACGTGGTGAGACACGTGGTGAGAGACAGAGACAATGGGCAGGAGACACGTGGTGAGAGACAGAGACAATGGGCAGGAGACACGTGGTGAGAGACAGAGACAATGGGCAGGAGACACGTGGTGAGAGACAGAGACAATGGGCAGGAGACACGTGGTGAGACACGTGGTGAGAGACAGAGACAATGGGCAGGAGACACGTGGTGAGAGACAGAGACAATGGGCAGGAGACACGTGGTGAGAGACAGAGACAATGGGCAGGAGACACGTGGTGAGAGACAGAGACAATGGGCAGGAGACACGTGGTGAGACACGTGGTGAGAGACAGAGACAATGGGCAGGAGACACGTGGTGAGAGACAGAGACAATGGGCAGGAGACACGTGGTGAGACACGTGGTGAGAGACAGAGACAATGGGCAGGAGACACGTGGTGAGAGACAGTGACAATGGGCAGGAGACACGTGGTGAGAGACAGAGACAATGGGCAGGAGACACGTGGTGAGAGACAGAGATACTGGCAGAGAGACAAAAGACGCTACGAGACAACATGGGACAGGCAAGCAGAGACACGGACAATGAAGAGCATAGACACAGAGCCACAGGCGGACACGCGTCTGTCAGGGCCTGTCCCATTCACCCGCAGAGGTTAAAGTGCACCTAGCCTGGCAGGGGCGCTGTGCGCGACGTCACCACCACTTGATGGTGAATACTGTTGTAGGTACGTGTACTGCACAGGTGCGTGTACACGTGTGTGAGTGTACATGTAATTCAGCTAAAATGTTCTTGCTGTAGTTTTCACACTTGATGATGATTGCTTGTGTTGCAATCGAAACGTCGTGAGAATTTTAATTGGTTTTTTTTCCTACGTGATGACTTTACCGAAAGAACCAAGAATATTAATCCCTGCAGTCACGAAAGCTTTAAATCGAAATGTAATTCTAGTTATGCGTGAGTATGTGTGTGTGTCTGTGTACACTCATACACGTGTAGACACGTGTATGAGTGTACACAGTGGGGAGCGGTGGTGTAGCGGTTAGCGCGCTGCGCTATGAACCCGGCGACACGGGTTCGATTCCCGCTCACTGGCAACACCAGTGAAGATTATCTGAACCGGTCCCGGGCCTCTCCTAGGTCGACTCAGCCTCAAATGAGTACCTGGTGCGGTGTGTAAACATCGCCACTAGGGAGACAAAGGCGGTCGGGCGTGGTGCTGGCCACCCACCCCCTCGTGTACCGTTCCGGCCTTCATAGGTGCTCGCTGACAGCACTTGCCCCTACAGTCTGTTAAGGCTATACGGGGGATCTTTTATGTATGTTTATGTATGTGTATGTGTGTGTATGTGTGTATGTATCTTCGCCGGTTGGAAACATTTAGGCTGGCCTGCCTACGATCCATCCTGGGTTTAACCAGGCTGGATTGTGTGAGGAGCTCACAAATCCTTGAAAGATCTGAGCAAAGTCCCATCGGTGAGCTCCTCCGGCAGGCAAGGCTGCGTTGGCTGGGTCATGTAGCCCGCATGCCCAGCCACCGCATGCCTAAACAGCTTTTGTTCGGCCGGATCGAGGGGGCTAAACGGGCGCGGCATGGGCTAGAGAAGAGATGGAGTGATGTGGTACAGGAGGACGTGGAGCTGAGTGGACTTGCCGATGACTGGTACCAGCGGTGTCAAGATCGGCCTCTGTGGAGGAGGCTCGTGAAGGACGCTGCTACTGGTCAGTTGGAGGCAGTCGCCCTCCAACAACAACGGAGGGCGGAGGAGCGATGATCACAACAACGAGCGGAGCGCCGGGTGGCTAAAGCACAGCAAGTTGGTACAGTAGGGGGCACAGGTGGTGCATCAGCCAGTCATCTCGGTCAGTCAACCCGTGGCACCTGCTGGGTCTGCCCCGTGACCTCCTGCCAGCGGGCGTTCGACACTTCACGTGGCCTCAAGGTGCACATGGCCTGGCACAAGCGTCGTGGTGACGTCACCGCCACTTAGTGGCGAATGGCGGTTGTTGTTGTCGATGTGTGTGTTGTGTGTATGTGTGTGTATGTGTGTGTATGTGTGTGTATGCGCACGTACCTTTCACGATCTGCCGTGCACACGCGTTGTACACTTGCTCCTGAGTGGTGTTGGGTGGAAACACGCGGTCAAAGATGTACGGCTTTCCCTGCACACACACCACACACACAACCACAGAGACGCAACACAAGTGGGGCAGTGTTAGCGAGCACCTATTGAGGCCAGCATTGCGGCCACAGCAGCAGTGGTGGTGCGCGCCCGTAACCAAGACAAAGGTCCCCCGTATAGCCTCCAACAGGCGCGCTGGGGCAAGTGCTGCTAGCGAGTAGCACCACCTATCATCTGTGGAGGTCTGCAGGGCACACACCTTTGATCGGTTTAAAGTTGCAAATCGATTCTTAAATCGATTTTGTGTATTAAATTTAAAGTATTACACTGCTGTCCTGTATAATGGTGATCTCTTTCGTCATTACTATTCTCCATAACGACAGTGGCTATTGTAGCGTGTATTACCATATAACTGTATCGTGTATATTACTATATAATTCAACGTCGCACCAAGGACACGCAACTAACAGAAGGTCCTTGCTGATGAAACACGAAATGTCAAAACCGGCCCACGCCTACAAACATCTGGGAAGATCACCAGGACTGGTTAAGGCAAAGCCTGACTGTGCAGCTGATGAGACACTGGATGTCAAAACCAGGCCACGCCTACGAACATCTGGGAAGATCTGCACTGGTTCAGGCCAAGCCTGACTGTGCAGCTGATGAGACACTGGATGTCAAAACCAGGCCACGCCTACAAACTTCTGGGAAGATCACGTGCACTGGTTCAGGCCAAGCCTGACTGTGCAGCTGATGAGACACTGGATGTCAAAACCAGGCCACGTCTACAAACTTCTGGGAAGATCACGTGCACTGGTTCAGGCCAAGCCTGACTGTGCAGCTGATGAGACACTGGATGTCAAAACCAGGCCACGCCTACAAACATCTGGGAAGATCTCCTGCACTGGTTCACTCCAAGCCTGACTGTGCAGCTGATGAGACACTGGATGTCAAAACCAGGCCACGCCTACAAACATCTGGGAAGATCTCCTGCACTGGTTCACTCCAAGCCTGACTGTGCAGCTGATGAGACACTGGATGTCAAAACCAGGCCACGCCTACAAACTTCTGGGAAGATCATGTGCACTGGTTCAGGCCAAGCCTGACTGTGCAGCTGATGAGACACTGGATGTCAAAACCAGGCCACGCCTACGAACATCTGGGAAGATCTGCACTGGTTAAGGCCAAGCCTGACTGTGCAGCTGATGAGACACTGGATGTCAAAACCAGGCCACGCCTACAAACTTCTGGGAAGATCACGTGCACTGGTTAAGGCCAAGCCTGACTGTGCAGCTGATGAGACACTGGATGTCAAAACCAGGCCACGCCTACAAACATCTGGGAAGATCTCCTGCACTGGTTCACTCCAAGCCTGACTGTGCAGCTGATGAGACACTGGATGTCAAAACCAGGCCACGCCTACAAACTTCTGGGAAGATCACGTGCACTGGTTCAGGCCAAGCCTGACTGTGCAGCTGATGAGACACTGGATGTCAAAACCGGCCCAGTGGTGTTGGCTTGCAGTCGATGCCTGGCTGCTGGCAAGATCGATTTCGCACTCCCAGCGAGCTGCTCTGGTGGAGCAGATGGCTCGCCTCGTGTGGCGTTGTTATTCATGCACTTAGGTGTGGGGGCACACACGGTACTGTACAACTAACGCCACCAAACGCCACGTGGCGATCATCTGAACCAAGGCCGTAATTATAATAAATGTCCCCTCCAATATATTGCTTTAAAAAAATTGCTATGCTATGTAAATGAAAACAGCAATTTGCTTAACCTTGGCCACAATATCTGGACTCGTCTTCATATAAATCAATGCGTAGATTTCTGTTTATATGATTGAGGTTATGGTTGTACTTTATTAATCCCTAATCTCTGCCATTACATACAATGAAACAAGAAGTGGTAAAAAAGAAAAAAAACTAGAGCAATGTAATACAATACATTCTAGATTTGAAGCTTTCGTGACTGCAAGGATTCATACTCTAAGGTTTTTTCGGTAAAGTCACGTAGGTAAAAAATTAACTTGATACAGCAAATTTAGATGTGACGGTCCCACCTGATGACGGAGACTTGTGTTGCCTCCGAAACGTCGTGATTTTGTATTATTTTATTTCTATTATTACTTTTATTAATTTTAATTTCATTTTTTACCTACGCGACTTTACCGAAAAAACCTAAGAGTATAATACAATACACTATTCCACATTGTAAAAAATAAATAAAAAGTCCATCTCATGCGTTAGTAATTTTTTTAATATTTGAGGCAGGAAATGAGTTTTCAAATTTAGATATTTTTTTTCTGGGTTGGGACCCCCAGACACCCTGGAAGATTTCGTCCCCCCCAATGTTGTCTCCATGGCTACAGCCTTGATCTGAACCGCTCCTGGACCTCGCCTAGGTCGACCCGGCCTCAAATGTGTACCTGGCCCGGTGTGCAGTGCAGCGCGCGGTGTGTGAACATCGCCACTGGGGAGACAACGGCGGTGCTGACCACCCACCCCCTCGTGTGGCAAGGTGCCAGCCTTCGTTGGGTGTTCGCTCACCCCCTCCCCTCCCAAAGGTTGCGTTAAGTCTAAACGGGGGGGGGGCATCATTGTTCTTTGATGATAGTGCAGCTTCGTGCCTGCAGGGGTGACGTAAGCCCATTTATTCCGGGGGGGAGGGAGGGGGTGGCACTGCATCTGCATTGTCATGGAACAAATACTCTTATCGGAAATGTGTCCATCGGATGCGTTTCCCAGGGCTTCGCCTCCCAAAACCATTTCTCGTGCACTCCACATCTCTCTCTCTGTCTGGCTTCTCTTGTGCGCCGTGCAGAAGGCACATTGCCCGAAACAACACCACGCGCGCTCGTCAATAATCACCGCATGGCCCTTAAAGAGAAGGGTCATTTCCCGACGTTTCGGGCAATGACCCTTCTTCGTAGCATAGACAGGGTGCTTCAAAACGTGTTTAATGCTTCTGGGAATTTGCAACGACGCCGCGGGAAACGAGCCGCCTCCTGGCTCTGGAGACCACCTGGAGATGATTCCAGGCCACGTGTTGATGACGATGGTGAACACGTGGGAGACTCGGTGACGTCACAGTATTATTATTATGATTATCCGTTCCATTAAAAACGACAGTCCCATACAAGTTTTACATTTTGAGACATCTCCTTTACTAGTGGCAAAATATAGTAATAGGTGCTGTTTCATTCAGACGCTGTCTCCCCGACAGACCTGGTCTTCACCTGAGGACGGCTGCTTGCGTTGTGGCCGAAACGTCGTGAGAATTATTTTATTATGTTTTATTTTTATTATTTTATTATTTTCCTTCTACGTGACTTTACCGAAAGAACCAAGAAGATGAATCCCTGCAGTCACGAAAGAAGCTTTAAATCGAAGTAGTAATAGGTGTTTACCCTTTTCAACTGGTACAAAAACTGACACCTTTATACAAGGCATCATGTTTGCAATAACCACAACACAAGCAGTCAAAATGCAAACCAAAAGAAACAACTCTGATAATGATATGCACTGTCCTTGAATGTACGCCTTTTGGCGTCATCTGGTCCAACACCAATGGAGACTAGGCTCTAAGAAAAGCTGTCTCGGGTGTGGACCAATCAACTTCAAGGACAGTGCATAGCATTATCATTATCAGAGTTGTTTCTTTTTGTTTGCATTTTGACTGCTTGTGTTGTGGTTATTGCAAACATGATGCCTTGTATTTTTCGATTTAAAGCTTTCGTGACTGCAGGGATTCCATCTTCTTGGTTCTTTCGGTAAAGTCGCGTAGAAGGGAAGTAAAAAAATAATAAAAATAAAACATAATAAAATAATTCTCACGACGTTTCGGCCACAACGCAAGCAGCCGTCCTCAGGTGAAGAATGAAACACTGCCAAGCTTGGAGCGTATATTTAAGCTGGGTTGGAGGTGGAAGAAGAGCGCCTTGCAAATTCTTTTGTCAAGGCGCTCCTCTTCCACCAGCAGCAGCATGGTCAGGCGATTGGCCAGAATAGTAAACGGGTGTGGGGTTATCGTGGAGACCGTTGTTTTGTTGTTGCCAGTATGAGAGTAGTGAAAAGTAAGGCTGTAGTCGTAGTAGTAGTTGGTGTTGACTCTCTCTCTCTCTGTCTGGGGGGAGTTGCTCTCCATCGCAGCGGTGGTGCTGAAGTGGGAAATCACGGGCGCGTTCTGTTCACAGCGTGACGAACCACACTCAATGTGGCTGCGTCGGGTGGAGGAGGGTGGTAACGACACATTGACCAGATCTAACACAACAACAACAACAACAAACACACTTTGTCGTGAATGATATTGGTGGCGAAAGCCTAATGTGTTAAATTAAAGACGGCTACAGCAATCAATCCGAGCTGTACTTGACGGTCTTGTGGCTGTCTGGGTACGACTCACCGATGAGCTTGAATAAGGAGAAAACGTTCATCCTGATTGCATAGGAAGGTCCGGGCGTCTAATGAACGAGCCGTTCAAGTCAAAGCTGCCCTCTTATAATGGAATTAATTGGGCGGTGCTGGTGCAAGGACCACAGCATTGCAAACCAAAGACAAAGGCCCCCCGTGTAGCCTACAAAGGCTGTTGGCGAGAACGCGTGAAGGAGGCTTGAACGGCGCAGAGGTGTGGCCAGCGACCACGCCCGACCGCCTTTGTCTCCCCCCGGGTGCCGATGTTTGCACGCCGTACCAGGTAGGGATATTCATGTTAAGGCTGCGTCGAGGGGGTGTGGTGGTCTAAACCCGTTTCGGACGATCAACACCGATTTATACTTTTGTCGTGAGCGGGAATCGAACTCGGCTCGCCGGGTTGGTCGTGAGCGCAGCGCGCTAACCACTGCACCACCGCTCCCCCCCCCCCCCCCCCCCCGATGCAATGTACACCACCGGTACACACGAACATCCCGTACGCGTGGCCGCTGTGTGAGCGGCTACGGCGTTGCTGATGAGCACGAAGAGGGGTCGAAGCGCGCGCCTGGCAGATAGGAAAATGGGAGCAGCGTGACCTTGGGAGCGTCCAAGAATCAGAATATTTATT